CAAGTCGTCAAGGATAGAGAGGAAAAAATGAGGCAAATAGTAGATAGCCAACGGGACTTAACAGATAAAGGGACATTAGGGGCTGCCATGGAGATTGAAAAGAGGAATCTCAAAATTGCTGCATTAAGCGCGATGGCATCACTGTGTGTAAGTTGTAAAAGAACACAATTTAAGGTGCGTGTTAGGCTAATATCGGTTTATAGGCCGGTCCTGTTATGGGTGACCTATCACAAAATGTTGCACCCATGCTTGAATTCAACGTCGAAGAGCTTTTCCGGTGGATCGAATCCATATTTGCATCGCCAAGTGATAGGACTCACCGCATTGGACGACGAGCGCTCAAAAACATTTTATTATACAACCAACAAACAGTTTTACTAAACAATGCTATGAAAAGATGTTATTGCTTCGACTCTTCAGCAAAAGCTACGCAAAGCTATTTCGCTGTTATTTCGGAGGTGCTCAGAGAGGTTCCGGATTATTTGGATGGCGTATGGAAAATCATGGCACTTTGCTTATTTAAGCTGGGTGACGAGAACGCAGAAGTCAGACTACAGGCGGCAAAATTGCTGAGAGTAACGGAGGAACGTGCCTGGAATATTTCAAGGGTTCAGGATTTTGAAGTCAGCATCTCAGATAAAACTGTTGCCGTTTATAAACGTGCACAGTTCCATCTTTCGAAAGGCCTCTCGATAGACCATCCTGAGCAGGCAATGTTCATATTCTCCGAACTCACTATGTTTTTCAATCTTACAGAGGGGAAGGCTCAAAGGGACATACTGCACGCCCTGCTGCCCTGGATTCAAACCATCGACCTGGCTCTTGAGCCCAATGGAGATCTATTCCCCTCGTCATATATGGTCCTTGCGAACTTATATGAGATTACAGTTAAGTTTAGCAGCAAGATCCACAGTGAAATTCAAGCTGTGTGGCAGTCTCTTGCGACAGCACCGTTTCTCGGTAATGTGCAGGTCATTCTAGATTTCATTTTTAATCAGAGTCTTGAACGCCGTGAACAAAACTTTGTCGAGTTTGGAAAACAGGTCATTGTATTCTTATCTGAAACCGTTGCGGGGGCAAAATTGGTGGAGGCTTTGATGGGATACCTTCAACCAAGATTAATGATAATCACAGTCAAAGAGCCTACACCACCACCGGATGCATCCCAATTTCCGTACGTAGCAGACTTGTCAAAGTGTGTCCCAAATAGCGGGAAGCCGGTAAGACTATTCCCTCTTATTTGGGTGTTGCCCAGCACTAATTCGATTAGACTGGTTTCTCTTTTGGACACCTTGCAATGATAATGATGGTTGATCTTCTCGTTGGACCTGTCCCCGAAATGGCTGAGAAGTTGACACTACTCTTGCAAGTTGTATTTGTTCTATGGGACCATTACGTTCCATTGGTTCAAGAGCAAGCAAAGGAGATGCTGATACATCTCATACATGAGCTGGTTATTCCTGCACTTAATCAGGAAGAGGACCGTGCGACGAGAATTGCAACACTCGAGTTTATTGAGACCGTTCGACAACGCGATGGCAAGACTTTCTGGTCTTATGAAGAGATCAGCTCTACGGAGGAAAATGGCCTTAGAGTTCCAAAATCAATGGGTCACATGATCACATGCGTGCTTGAAATGTTCTCGACTGTGTCGCCGGGATTGAAGCCTGCCTGGGGTAAGGTTGCGCTTTCATGGGCAACCACATGTCCAGTACGGCATCTGGCTTGCAGATCTTTTCAGGTCTTCCGGTGTCTTCTTACCACATTAGATCATGGTATGCTGTCGGACATGCTTGCGAGATTGTCAAATACGATTGCGGACGACGTTGCGGATATACGATTATTTGCCATGGAGATTCTTATCACACTGAACGCCATCATTGCAGAGATGGACGAAGATTATCTTTTACAATATCCGCAGTTATTTTGGGTAACTGTTGCCTGTTTGAACACCGTCCATGAGGGTGAATTTATGGAGGTTTTATCATTGTTGGAAATGTTATTAGACAAGATTGATTTGGCAGATCCAGCTAAGGTTAATTATCTCATGGATGCATTCCCGCCAAAATGGTTCGGCAAATTCGAGGGGCTTCAGAGTCTTATTGACAAAGGACTCCGGTCCTCAGTATCATTTGAAAAAACTTTAGCAGTGTTCGATAAGCTCAACATGATACCCACAAATGAACTCGTTGGGGGCGATAGCAGGTTATTATTCGCAATCTTGGCCAATCTACCAAGGTTTTCGGAAGCTCAAGAAGGGACACCTAACGAGGATGTCATTCTTTGTGCAGAAAGATTGAAATTGTTAGCAGAGGCCCAGGAACACAAATCATTAACCAGGGTAATGTCGCTCTATGCCGGTCAGAGGTTCAGATCGAAGAAGGATTTCATATCACAGACTGTCAACGCTTTGAAGGAGACATTTTTCCCCACCTATGAGGCTCAAGCCTTGATCTTCCTAGTTGGACTCCTCTCGAACAAGCTGAAATGGGTCAAGTTAAGGACAATGGAATTGCTGACAATAATGCTACCCTCTATCGATATGCGGAAACCGGCCTTTGCTGGAGTGGGCGCCGATCTCATTTCACCGTTGCTAAGGCTGCTACAGACAGATTTTGTTGAGCAAGCGCTCGAGGTACTTGACAAAATGATTACTATTTCAGGCGGCCCCATGGATCGACACGTGATGAGGATGAGTATGGGGAATAGGACAATCCGGAAGGAATACGAAAAAACACAGACACTATTTGGGATACCAGACGAGAGCGGTTGGGCGATTCCCATGCCGGCAATTAATGCAGTTATGACAAGAGATAATGTTCACGCTGTTTTTTACACCTGCACACAGGCAGCTGCCGCAGAGGAAGAAGCGCCTCCCACACAGGACGTCGAGTTTCATATGGAGGATTATTCTTACACTAGCATGCAAGATAGGACAGCGACAATGTTGAGCGAAGACGGAAGAGGCGAAGGTGGATTTAGTGATACTGTCTTGAGACTGGGCGACTTGGATGCATTCTTTGGCGGAGATGATAGTGCACCTAACCACAACCAAACACCATCACAGACAGACACTGAATTTACGGAGAGCGGTGAAACTGCCCCGCAGGTCTACGACAACCGAGTGTACGCAATCCTGAATAGGTCGCTTGCTCGAACACCCAGTGTTACATCCTTCCAGACATCTTTTGCAGATTCTCTAAACACGCCGGTGGTTACAAGGGAGCAACCGCCGGGCGTTATGACCCCGACTGCATTCACGGCTCCGCCTATTCCCTCGTCAAGCAGGTATGCTCCGAGATCCGTTTCCTCGCCGCAGATGCATATGATGGGTCGTACTGGAGAAGAATCCCTATCGGAAGCTGAAGAAGAATACGATCATCTACACGGCTCTGACTTAGACCCAGGTGATTCTACAGCTCCAATATCACGCGAAGGAACTCCGGAAAGCGCGTTTCTCTTGGATAATCTACTTGATAGAGGTATGAGAAGAATGTTCAAGGGTGGGAGAGATAAGGGCGAAACCTCATCAGGTAGAGCGCCGTCGAGGGGGCCGACAAGTAGAACCCCAAAAAGCCCAAAGAATTTCAAGAGGGGAGAGTATCAGGGGAGGATGCATAACGGATTTTAATGGTTTTTTGAAGTGACGAGGCGCGCATTGTTTTCTTTCTTTTCCTTTCATTTTGTTGATCTGGGGTTTTTATATCTTTTTCTTATAATGGTACGCAGTTGGATGTATTTCATTGCCTGGGGATTCCTTGGTTGCATTAGTATTACCTCATGTCACAGTTATTGTATTTTCCTTTCATTTCATTTCTTCCTGGGTAGTTAGTTCGATTCTTTCAAGTGGATCTATCCAACTCTATGTAATATTTTTTCTAGTATGGTGTGAGGGATATATGGTATGGTACATGGTCTAAAAGTTCATATCATACTAGCTCCTCGTCCCCTTTATTATGTCAAGATTTTAGAGGAATACTCAAGATTGGGATTTATTGACTGAGTGAAGCATCCGGCCATGACAGAGATTATCATATCAACAACACAGTCACTAAACGCCAATATCCCGTGCAAGCCCAGCATAGAACAAGAGTCCATATATCCATCCTTACTCCTATATAATCAACATAAGTGAAAAGTGAACTCCTACTGCCAAAGCTTTCAAAAATTGCTAGCAGATACATACAAGTGTCTTTCCAGCGTGACTGGCTATTGTGAGTACGAGTACGTAAGTTTTTGATTATGGGATGAAGGAAGTGCACTGCTAAGCTAGTTACATGTATGCACGGCGCGTATATATTGTTGGATGCGCCGCGGGTAGAATCGATATTTCAATCACCACAGATCATTCGAAAGATCGAGTGATATTATATGTCGCGGTTACTAACCCACAATCATTTTTGTTACATCATTAGTATGATACTATCTTTGATTTCTGCGGCATAACCGGTTTTTCCACGGACCCCAAAGGCCGTCGTCTTCAGATGCCAGGTTATAGCTCAATCTGAATTCATGTAAAGTAATATCTCAGAGAATCACCCATGCTCACACGCACACAACCCTGGTAATTGCGTGATATAACATCGTTATTCCGTACGTACAAACTCCAACCCAAATACCTACACTACATCATATTATACCCTACCATAAAACAATCGCTTCGGTTAGACGGCAAGAGTAGCATCGATGGGCACGCCCGTCTTATCTCCAATTATCTCTATTGTCTCATTGATCATTTGCAACTGCCTCTAGATCTTATATCAATTGCACAATGACCCACTCACATCACGAAACCCAATTGATCAGCCAATCCACAAGGAAGGGAAGGGTGAAAAATGTATATTTAATGCTCAAGTACTTCCATCTCATCCTGAAGAGAACCTCCAATCATACAGACCACAGATTTACAATGGCTCCTGCAGTAACTATCGCGACAAATGATAATGTCCCCGTAGGAGACTATAAAGAAATAAGTCACGGCCCTAAAGCTTTTAACAAAGATGTTGAAATCAAAGGTGCCGACGGGCATGCTCCAGCAGCTGTATGTATACCTCAACCCTCTTGCCGGTACACACTCATTAATAGCCTCACTAGTATCCTCACTATCTCCCTACTTGGGTAGGCGATAAAAGGTACCCTAATCCAGTATCTATCTCTATACACAGACGTAAATAAACTAATAACATATAACGCTTAGCTACCCTCCTCTGACGCCGTTCGAGCACACTGAGCACGCACTCTCCGCAGACCCAGCCTTCCCCAGCCTACTTCCCCCTCACGTGGAGCTCGCCCATCTCAGTCCCAAATTCGGCACAGAAGTCAGAGGGATTCAGCTTAGCTCCCTTACCAACGCGGGCAAAGACGAACTTGCACTCTTCGTTGCCCAACGTGGTGTTGTCGCTTTTAGAGATCAGGATTTTGCAGATCTTCCCATCGAAAAAGCACTTGAATTTGGAGGGTATTTTGGAAGACATCATATCCACCCTTCTTCAGGTCAGCCAAAAGGGTACCCGGAAATTCACTTGGTTCATAGAGGCGCGGGAGAGGCTGTGGAAGCGAGTGTATTAGAGAGTAGAACGAGTAGTGTCGCATGGCATTCGGACGTCACCTATGAGGTTCAGGTGAGTAGCTACAAAATACATGCTCGCTGGATATCTATAGTTGACAGAATTTTATCCAGCCTCCCGGGACTACATTTTTGTATGCACTTGATATTCCGAAAACAAACGGCGATTACTCAGGAGGAGATACGGCATTTGTAAGCCAAGTGGAGGCATACAATAGGCTTAGCGAGCCGTTTAAACAACGTCTAGAAGGTTTGACAGCAATTCACTCAGGACACGAGCAAGCCGACCTGGCTAGAAGGAAGGGTGGTGTGGTCAGGAGAGAGCCTGTTGCGAATGAGCATCCTATCGTCCGGACGCACCCAGTATGACCCACGAATTTCCCGGATGAAGTATTATCAGTCACTGATCCTCAATAGGCTACTGGAAAAAAGGCACTTTTCATTAACCCACAATGTAACTACCAACTTCCTATACTCCATCATTTCTTTATTTCACTAACTCACAGAAAACCAGTCACGCGCCATATAGTAGGCTTTAAAAAGGAAGAAAGTGACGCTCTCCTAAAGTTCCTTTACGACCACATCGCATACGGACTCGATTTCCAGATTCGCGTGAAGTGGGAACCAAAGACAGTTGTGGTATGGGATAACCGAGTGACTGCACACTCAGCTTTGTTAGACTGGGATGATGGTGGCAGAAGACACCTGGCAAGAATCACACCGCAAGCTGAGAGGCCATTTTGAACTGGATATTTAGAAGTAGGTATCATGAGCTAGGGTTTAGAGATTTGTTATCTGGGCCATATGTACGCGTACGAGTAGATAAATATATGACATTGGATACTTTTCTGAGATACGAGACATTCGTAAATACATAAGAGTATAGTAGCTATAAGGAGTACATAAGGCTAGCCACATCGCTTATAGATAGTACCAACTGCATGTAAGTAGTAGTAGCTCCCGTTATATCTTATTCTCTATATGTATATTAATAACAATTAACCCCATAAAACGTTCATACGACCCGGCCGGCCTCGGATAATTAGAAAGAACCCGAAATACACTAAACTCTCTTAGATTATCTAGGGCATCAAACATGCTGTGCAACTCTAGCTTTAAAGAAGAGGTATTATGGGTTGTCAAAATTATCCGGATGTTCGCGTCGCAACCACACAGATTAGCTAGAATGACCGATTTTTGAAACCACTTCAATTGACTTCATATTGAAGCTTAAGATAATAGAGGTATAAGAAATCACAGAAATCAAATCTCTTGTACTCTTTCCTTGTGGTTGTGGAAAAAGGCGACGTTGAAATTGAAAATTTGGTTGCAACAACGCTCGGATAATTTTGTCAACTCGTAATACATGTATGTCCCTTGTACTTAATTGTTAGATGTTAGAATAAAGTATGTATATAACTATAGCGAAAAATACATGGATACTATACTGCGGACAGTCTAAAGAATAAATACAGATAAGTACATGCTATGCAGTACCTTAATAAATATTGGCAACTTTCATATCCGTCAATGAAAGTCAAATAAATATAAGTGCTAGAGTCTGGTATATCAAAGGGAATCATGATCAAAGCTACATAACTATTGCATTATTTCTGTTCTATTTAGCAACGCATACATTTCCTATCATAGGTTTGTAACAGCACTTGCACATTGAGAGCTTCTCGATCGTGATCGAGTTAAAACGAGAGTGTGAGGTTGGGAGAGCTAAGAAAAATACTATACTGTTGAAAGGGTTTACCTCAGTCATATATATATGTATATACCTAGCGGTGCTTTGGCTCTGGGTACTTCCTTCACCTTCATTCGGGATGCAAGCACAGGTCTGGTGGTTTTTGTGACAGTGAGGAAAATGTACATTGAGGGCACGGGTTTGTTGTATGTCCCCTTATGATTTGTATACTGTTGATAGGCTATAAGTCCAATATTCTCTGATGGTAACATGACGTTTGACCCTTTTAGGTGGTAAAAAGCGCTTAAGAGCTTTAGCGTTTAATGAATTAAACAAAAAAACAAAGATTTAGCGTTTCGTCATGATATATCACTCGTATCAATCTCTGCTGCCCAGGGACTTAAAACATACATTTTTTTTTTTGTTTAACTCACTAATTACTTAAAACATACATATTTAATATGCTATCGGCCAATTCTCTTACCGCAGTACTCGTATATAGTGCTCGGGATCCCTAATAGTAATTGTACGCATTTATAGCAGAATCAAGGGGGTGGTACACTTCCTGGGGTATCGGGCGACAATTTATTAACAGCTTCCTATGTAAATAGACATGAGCACCTAGTTAATGTCTTCTAGATCTGTTGTGGAATAATATAATAATAATAACAATAACAATAACAATAATAATAATAATAATAATGTATCCCTCTCTCCTCCTCTCTTGGATCATTAATAAGTCTTGGTAATTAAATGCCTAGGGTTGCGAGATTTATCATTATGTTCATCACCCCTACCGTGGTTACATGTGCATACTAGTACATGTAACCTGAAAGATCGACTCAAGAGTATGTACCTACTCTAGGTACACTTAGGAACGTATCTAAAAATTACAATACTGTATTGTTGGCTGCTTATGGGAGGAGTTGGTCGCCTTAATAATAATATCTATGTTACTCAAAGTCCGCCATACAGATCTATGGAAAGGGGCTGTGTATATATCTCGATGTCAAATGCAAGTTACTGATAAGCTCTGGATCACGCGCAGTGTTCACTAATCGAGGTGCGCTACTATCATACCATATGGAAGGCTGCCAATATAGGCCCAACGCATGAAGATCGTTTCGGTGTGACAAGATCTCATTGGTGTATGTTAGTAACGCATAAACGTACCTCGATTTGAAATCACGCATAATATTATCCTCTGCAGGCAAGAAAACAAATGTTGAATTCCATATTCGGGGCTTTAATTGGATCCTTGATTTTCTCCTCGAAGGTTCTAGCAATTGAAATTCATTTGCTAGTTGATCGTGATTACCGTGCTTCGTGCTAGTAGTTATTCTTACTAGTATAAAAAATTCTGTATGAATTAACATGTGATTGTATAATATCGCTCCAGTCAAAAATGTACCTGGTTCGGTACAATCCGAAATCTGGTGGGTCTTCTAACCGGCGTTAAGCTAAGCTTTGGCCCTCACATGGACTAGCCCTAACCCTAGCCAACCTAAAATCTTGGCATATGTATTAGATTTGCATGTGAAAGTGTCCCAACGGAAAATATAGCCCGTAACTACCCGAGACAAGGCCGTCCGTATTTCGAGCTGAATCTTGAGGTCATGAGAAGTATGTATAGCAGAAACAAGCGATCAAAACAGCCTGATGACGTTGAGTTTTGAAACACAACTGATCTCTTTGATAAGTTTATGGAAGCGTGAACCCAGGACCCAATGTCATCGCAGCTGGACAACTTGCCAAGAGGCCAACCTCCAGCAATACCAGTCTAGGCCTTGAGACGACGACGACCAATTCTAACGTTGAGAGGCGAAAAATTGTTGTCCCGTTTCTGTTGGGACTCACACTCTACCCCGCGTCCGGTCGCCGCGATTTAGAACGTGGGGCTGGCGAGCCGCCACAAGCGTAATTGGCCTCAGACTTAAGATGTATGTACTCTAAACGAGTACTCTATGTAGGAACGCGCAGTAGCGATACATAGCTAAACTATATTGAGGTGCGCAGATGCCAATCCCGATCAGCAAGCTGCAGAGGTGTCGAGATGTTGGACTTCTAATTTGATCCGTAACTGCCTGTGTATTGTTCTACATAGAGTTTACGGCTAATTGCATATTCGATAGACATCTTACTCTCCTAGCTCTATAGCCAAACACTCAACTATGGATCGTAGGCGTGCGGTAGGGCTAAGACCAAGTCCAAATAGCTCTGGGGGCCTTGGGACCAGGTTCTGACTGAGAGAGCATGTGATACACAGATACAGGTGAACATGAACATACATTAGGTTCTTGAGTCGTCAGCTGCTAATATGCCCAATTGAGAAACAATATGTGCTGCATCGAAAAGATACATAATTTGTTTTTTTTAACTCCTCCAAAACCGGATGTACTTACGAGAATTGTCTGCCTGAATCGTCTGTATGTACTTGATTTACTTCTGTCACATATTTGTGTTCGGTGAAGTGTCTACATGTATCCTTTCTAACCAATTTTTTTTTCCTACTGACGTTGCTGTCCTTTTCATCCCGCGCGTGCTCGTTGGCTCGGTTGGGCATCAGCCCCTGCCCTGCGTAACACAGCGGCCATCCACAGAACCTCTGATCTCCCTTGATTGGTTGCCGGTAAAAGAGGCGCGGAATTGCTGGTATGAAATGACAGGTCTTCCCTTTGAACACCTTATGAGAGTACAGTATCAAAGTTCCACTGTAGAAAGTGATATAGACCCGTGAGCTCCGTCCCTTCCCCGATCTTTTCTACTACTCTCACACTTTCCACCTTACCCAGCTCACTCACATCTCTTTAGCGAATCCTTCAACAGGAACCTTACCCCCGATAAACACCTTTAACGGCCTGTTGTGAGACTTTTTCAACAATGGCCGTGGAGTCGGAGGAGTCCAATGGCTCGAAGCTAATCAATACGAAGCTTCGTAATAGGCCCATTGATAAAAGCACACATGAAGTACCAGCGGCGAATATGGTCCCAAGGGAGACCCTGAGCGCCGTTGAAGAGGATCCTTCAAAACCTCGCAAGACCTTTGGTCGCACACCTGATGGCAAAAGTAACCAAACCGATTACCCCCCTTGCTTAACTTCAGTAAGTTAGTACTAATAGAACAATAATTTCCAGTTTTTGTTGTTCCCCAGACGCATGACATGGTCTCTACCCTCCTGTCGCCAACACAGCCCAAGAACCTATCGGACATTGCTATTTTAGGCGTTTTAGCATTGCACATCGCACTTCTTTACTTTCTTCCTTCGTCGATCCGCACCCCCATACTGTGTGCTACGTTCCTCTTTTGGAGAACTGCTTACAATTTCGGTATCGGTGTCCTCTTGCACAACCAATCCAACCGTAAATGGCTTGTCTATTGGGCTCGTAAATCTGGTATCTTTGATGCTTCCCGTCAGCCAGTAATTTGCAAGCTCGTTAAGCAAGAAATTGAGGCCAAGATTCCCGATGAAGTGAAGAGTGGAGATTATGTTTTTGAGGATGCACCCATTGAGTATAATACTTGGCTTGTGTTCCGCAGAGTGGTCGATTTGATCTTGATGTGTGACTTTGTCAGCTATGTCCTTTTTGCCATATCCTGCGCTTCTCTTCCTGAGGGCGAAGGATGGGTATTGACAATGGGAAGATGGGTGGGTGGTATTGTACTGTTCATGTTTAATCTTTGGGTCAAATTGGACGCCCACAGAGTCGTCAAGGATTACGCCTGGTGTGAGTATTTCAACATCAATTTCAGATTCCGTAGAGTGAACTTTGGACTAAGGTGATTTTTTTTCTAGACTGGGGTGATTTCTTTTTCCTCATTGACCAGAATCTTACATTTGACGGTGTATTCGAAATGGCACCTCACCCAATGTACTCTGTTGGCTATGCCGGATACTACGTGAGTTCCTGTTTTTTTTGTAGGTAATACATCAAGAAGGTTTAGTTGACATTTGTAGGGTATTTCTCTCATGGCTGCATCTTACACCGTTCTCTTCACCTCTCTTCTTGCACACGCTGCCCAGTTCGCATTTCTTACAATTGTCGAAAACCCTCACATCGATAAAACCTATAACCCTCCTGCACCACGCCGCAGATCGGCCCCTCCACCTATGGTCAGGCCTACCTCATCTGTTGGAAAGAATAGATCGAGCTCATCTTCATCGACCGCGACTTCTTCGGTTATAATGGAGGATACAGTACAAACTGCAAAGGATCACAAGCTCCTTGGAAAATTCGATCTTTTCCACAATACTCATCTTTTTACGATTCTCCTAGTTGGATATTTGGTTGTTTTGACTCTTCTCACCCCCAATACTTCTATAGTCCAGGCTGCGTTTGTCATCCACGCTCTTGTATGGAGACTTTGGCACACTATTGGTATTGGGGCAATTCTTCACGCACAGAGTAACAACAAGGCCTGGTTCCGACACTTTTTGAAGTTTGGCGAGACCCGCGAGGAAGCTTGGAGTCAATGGAAGAGTCTGTACCACGTTTCTTTGGTCATGTGCCATGCTTCATTCATGGCTGCTGGTTGGAAAATGTACCACTGGCCTGCTGGGGAAGAGAAGCTAGTGCTCTTCAGGCACACTGTCGGTATTATGCTCATCGCTCTCCAACTCTGGACCTCTACCTCTATCTACGAGTCCCTAGGCGAATTCGGCTGGTTTTATGGAGACTTCTTCTACGAGCTTCCTAGCCCTGGCTTGACATATTCGGGTATTTATAGATACTTGAACAACCCTGAACGTCTTATTGGTTGTGCCGGAATATGGGGTATTGTCTTGATTGCATCTTCGTCGGCCCTGTTCATGTTGGGACTTTTGTCGCACGTTTGCGCTCTTCTATTCATTCAATTTATCGAGCGACCTCACATGCAGAAGTTGTATGGTAGCAAGATTCGCCGGGAAGCCGGTGTTGTCAGAACCATTAAGAACGCGATTCCACCCCCAGTTGCCAACCATATCAAGTCTTTCCAGGGGTCCGTTGACAAGGTGCTTTCGGAAACCACCGATTTCGTTGAGGAATTTTTGGAATCTGCCAGGCCAAAGCTTGCTCAAGGTGTTATGGGTGTGGTCAAAGACACACAGTTCTTGTTCTCTCAGTACCCCGCTAGACTTTCAATCACCCTTCTTGCCGACGATCTTGCAAATTACGATTCCAAGAAATATTCCTTAAGCATTCTGAACGCACTGCCACAGAAAGATTCGGATGCTCACAAGAGTCTATCCGTTTCTTATGGAGAGCCAGTTAGGGTGGGATGGACTGCCCCGGTCAATCACTCAAGGAAGGACTGGATCGGATTGTACCGGATTACGGATAACCGCTCTCGTCTCATCACTAAAGTCGCTTCTATGGGAAGGTGGATCGCTACCTGCAAAGACGAGTATGATCTTTCTGAGGACGCTGAAAGCGGTATTGTTTCATCTGACACCCCTGGCACTTGCGTCGACGACGGTGAACCGATTTTTAAGGGTGAAGTCGAATTTTCATGCGATAAGACATTCTGGAGTAATGGTACATACGAGTTTAGATATCACCACGACGGAAAGCACAATGTTATGGCTATCAGCTTGCCCTTTGAAATCGTTATCGACAAGGTTGAAATCAACGAGGATGAGGATATTGCATTTGTGGACAGTGAAGAAATGCAGGACAATATTGAGAAACATCTCTTGCCGGTCGTCATCAGGTGCTTTGAACGCAAGGAAGAGTTGGCACCATCAAACGTTAATGAGGAGTTCGGTGGGCTTGGAGAGGAAAAGTACGCCAAGAGGATTGTCTATGCTGTCAAGGAAATGTTCGGTGTGGACTTTGCACCGGAGGTAGTCCAGGCGGATGGAAATGTTCGGAAGTTGGCTTGGAGGATATGTAACGCTAAGAAAGTTCTGGTAAGTGTCTTTCTAAAGGATAACCTACGATATGAGCCTTGTGCTAACTTCCAATTAAATAGGCCCCATTCAGCATGAACACCGCTGGTATCTCGACTCCAAGTACACCTAGACTATAATACCCTTTCCACGTTCACGATAGCAAGTTTCCGATGATTTCTTGTTTTTCTTCTTTTTGATAGCTTTTGAGTTTTCTTATTCATTTCTCCGTTTATATTATTCATGTTATGAACTTTTACAACGCTTCTCTCAAAGATGGGGGAAGGGCCCCGGTATATTGAGGTTAACGGTTATTCGGGTTTTCTGTTTGCTTTCTGGCTATTCGAGCTGGCAGGTTGTATGTACGTTTACGAAAAGTGTTTGTTGGGAGGCGCGAGGATACCAATGCCAGAAATTTGAAATTTGAAATTTTTTTTGAACTTACATACATTCCTGCTCTACCAGAAGCTTCTCCTGACGCGTGTCCTCGATCTTCAGCCACGTAGCCGGAGCCAATTAATTATCTGGTACGAAGCATCCAGATATATGATTCAAACGCCTCATTGGAACTTACGCTCTCTTTGGGTCGAGTTTACAGCACTATTGAGGCATATTTACGCACCTATTATTTACCAGTGCTAATATAACCAAATATATATCCTCATAGCCTTGGCCCTAGTCCGTCTCTCGTTGCTAGTACTGTCGTTTATTCTTGCCCTCGCCGCTGGTAATCGCCTCCACCCCCTCCCTCTCCCCGTCCGCATAAAAAACCTCCAAAGAAACCCCGAAATATTTATGCCGACCCTCTGTGAGTGGCATCACCTCGCTACGTGCCCTCCTACCGTTACACCACAATCCACAACTCGTATATACTGCAGAACCACGCCAGAGAGCCCACTTACCGTCGATATAGTCAAGGCCCTCGCACGCTTGAACGGGTACAGGGTCTGCTACCATGCGAATTCGCGTTCGCTATGTACAGACCTAGTGACCATGGGGACTGGGGCGATCGTACTATGTGGCAAAGAGGACAGTGTCTGAACTGTAGGGAGGCAACGGAGGCGGCGCTTGATGTGGTAGAGAAGTGTAGGAAGGATGTTAGGGTGGAAGGGGTATGGGAGATGGAAGAACTCTTTACGCTCACGCAGTTAATCGTGGAGAAGGTGAAGAGGGCTCGGAGTTATGAATTGGAGGAAGGGAAGGGTGATTGTAAGTTGCAGGGTGGATATACGGCGTGGGGTGGGAATATATGCTCGGGTATTGATGAGGATGAAGGCGAGCGCAGCCTACCTTCAGAGCTTCAGTAGGAGTACTAGATGTAGTCGATGTGCACTTGTATCTGAAGTAGATGTTTTGTAAGTTTGTTATAACGGTAGGTTTCAGGTATGACCATGATTTGGTATGAAATCAATTGATCGCTCTGGGAGATATAAGACCAATAGATGGGTTTACATCTTGGTATTGTGAAGTATGCCCCATATTTTTTTGAGACAGTTCTCTTGGTTTAAATTATCATTGGCCAGGTCGTCTGCATAAGATTTCTATCCCAAAATCCTCTCCCCTCTTAAACACAATTTATAGTTTACGTTCATTATATACCGGCCCCAAAGGACTATTTTCTGCGGAAAGTATACGTAGGTATCTTACATGTACTTTTACTAATCTCCGAGTCGTTCAAATGCGTTTTATCTTCGAGTACTGTAGGGTCGGTCACAGACCGTCACTCAGACAAGTCGTCGTCACGTGGTAAGAGACCCGCAATGATTCGATGCCATTATCCTAAACGTCTTTGCTTTGCCACTATCAAGCATTCCAAGCATTTATATAGGGCGTGTACAGAAATCGTGATAAGGGATTCTGTATCAGACTAGGTCTTGGAAATACCCCTCACGGACCACTGACCGTACTCCGAGACACCAAGTGTCAAGAATTGCGCAAGCTCGTGACGCGACTTTATTTGAGCCTCTTGACATAATCCGTACATACCATAGCATCTTATCGATTCGGTGAGTTTGGTCCCTTTGCTTGGCCATAAAAAATTGGCGTGCGTATGTATGTCATTTAATGACCACAAGTGTCAATTGACTTCACTTCCGCAGTGATACAATGCAGATTTCCCACTGTTTCTTCCCCTTCCAAGGCCTGATTTCATATTGCAGTACTGGTTTATAAGCCCCATGCAACAGGCAATATGCTTCAGGTTGAGCTACGATACCTCGGGCCAATCTCCGCCTAAATTGACTTCTTTGTGTTGGAGGAAGCTAAGACAAAATAGAAGGAAGAGAATTAAGCTGAACTTGATATGTTTTCAAATGACGTCAATATATTCCTCAGATGAGAGGACCCGGAAAGTCCGAACCATGGGCAGGAAAGAAAGGGGGTGTCTATTCCGGGGGCGGAAGGATAACTAAAAATAAGCACCTTGACATACCTACTCTAGATCTCGTATCTCAAGCGGCAGGTAGCGACTACGGTTACGGTGTTGCCTAGAATAAGACGACAGCTGGGGTGTAGCACAGGATACTTTCTTTTTGTGTTCTCGTAGTGTTCTATTTTGTTCGTTTTATGTCAGACGGGAGTGCTCTCTTCTCACTGCGCAAGCCCTTAAATAATTGAGGTACTGCAGAAAGGGATCAGCATCAGGAGTGGCATCGTGTCAACAAATCAAGTCAGGGCAATCGAATAACTACCTATTCTCGGCAACGCCCAGCTTGGCCATCTCCGAACAGATCCTCTTGTCTCTGATCCGTGCTCCGTTTCAGCTAAAGTGTTCGCTTCACTTGCGGGGCCAATTTTTCTTTCAGGGTTGGATTTTGAAATATCAGTTATTCCATTCCTGTTCCTTCGGCGATTGCCAGGGTCCTGAACGAAGGAAGTCCCTGAAGCTTCTTTCCCTGTATCCCCTTTCTTTTTTGCATCCCTTTCTAGAGCCTCTTTCTTTCTTTCTCCAGCAAGACAACACCGCGACAACAAACCACACAGAAGTACCTCCATCACTACTGTCGCTCCTCCCGTTTTCACCTATCGGCCTTCAGTTACATCGCCGCATGTATCCTCGCCTGCCATGATGCCCAGGCACTCCCACGCTTATTCGAATGGCCATGCCTCGTATGGGCCAGGACCAAGCAATACATTTTCCATATCTCCTCATAGGTAACAAAAACGCTCACCGCTTGACCACAACTACCTCTTTGGAATATACTCACCGAAGCTTCTTTCTCAATAGGTTCCAGCCTCGCACACAACCAGCTCTGCGCTGGCGAAGGCAGATTATCATCAAGATATGTTTAATGGCAGGAATCTCCGCCGTGATCCTGCTGCTCATATTCCCTTCGTTCCGATTAATCCTTCTTCCCTCGATTGGGATGTCCTCGTTCCTTAGCGACGACTCACATATCCCCACAATACGGCATTATGATTTGTCAAATGTACAGGGTAGCGCTCGAGGATGGGAGAAGGAGGAGAGAATCCTCATGTGTGTGCCTCTCCGTGACGCCGAGCCTCACTTACCAATGTTCTTCTCCCATATGAGAAACTTTACATATCCGCATCATTTGATAGATTTGGCATTCCTAGTCTCGGATTCAAAGGACAATACTCTACCACTTCTAGTTGACTACCTCGAGAAGCTCCAGGCGGATCCGGATCCACATCAGCACTTTGGAGAAATCTCGGTTATCGAGAAAGATTTCGGGCAAAAGGTACAGCAAGATGTTGAGAACAGACATGGTTTTGCCGCCCAGGCCAGTAGAAGGAAAACAATGGCACAGGCGCGGAATTGGTTGCTGAGTGCTACTTTGAGGCCATACCACAGCTGGGTATACTGGAGAGATGCAGACGTGGAAACTGCACCCCCAACTATTCTGGAAGATCTTATGCGACACAACAAGGATATCATTGTGCCTAGTAGGTTTAACTTCCTTTCTGAGCTTTTTTATTCCGCACCCCACATTATCATATGATGTTACACAAACGTATTTGCTACTTCAGAGGGCTATCTACCCAATGAGACGAACAATCACCCTTTTCTGATACCAATTAATTCGTCGCTTAATTGAATAAATATTATTTGTTACTGGACGTAATTGGGACTAACGATATAACTCAATCAGACGTTTGGCGACCGCTTCCCGACTGGCTCGGTGGTGAACAGCCATATGATCTTAACTCATGGCAGGAATCCGAGACTGCACTAGCTCTTGCGGATACTCTTGACGAAGACGCTGTTATTGTTGAAGGTTATGCCGAATATGCAACATGGAGGCCCCACCTCGCTTATCTTCGCGACCCTTACGGCGACCCGGATGTGGAAATGGATATTGATGGTGTCGGCGGTGTCAGTATTCTTGCCAAGGCGAAGGTCTTTAGGGCTGGTGTCCACTTCCCGGCTTTCTCATTCGAGAAACACGCCGAAACCGAGGGTTTTGGAAAGGTTAGTGCATATCTATCTCAATTATAATGCGATTAACTAATTTATGAGTTTTGTAGATGGCGAAACGGATGAAATTCAGTGTCGTCGGACTTCCCCATTATACGATTTGGCATTTGTACGAACCTTCCGCGGACGATTTGAAACATATGGAACGCATGGAGGAAGAGCGTCTCGCCAAGGAAGCTGCTGAAAAAGAGGAAGCCGAAAAAAAGAAGAAGATGCAAGAATCCTGGAGTAGTCCCAGGGATCAATGGGAACAAGACAAGAAAGCAATCGACGCAGCTTTGAAGGAGAAGGAGGAAAAACTCGGCGGCGGTGAAGAAGGACCACATGTCCATGTTGGAGATGACGAAGCGGCGGCTCCAAAGGTTGGGTTGAAGGCAGGTGGTGGCGGCAATAGTGATGCATAAACGTCACATACAGTTTTTATTTTTTGGTATATAGACCCAGGCAGAAGGCTACGGGGGTGTTTAGAGACACACTAATGAGAATGAACTTACTGATACTGATGAGTCAACTTTATAGACCAATTAGCTATCCACTCGAAGTGAGGAAGCTATTTGTACTTGGGTCAGGCCTTGGAGTATACGTGCGTACTTGATGTGTATCCTGTTTTTCTCTTATTTCTCTCTTGTCATGGTTATTGTGTTGTTGAAGCGAATTGGGGCCTCGGTATTTCATATTCTCTGTTTAGGAAGAACAAAAAAGCTGTTTCCCCCCCCCCTTTTTACTATTTATATTTCTTTTGCGCCCTTTTCGCTCACGGTCCATGGGCCGAGAAAGACAGCAGGATGGATGCCCGTTTATCCTGCAAGTGGCTAATATCTTCTCTTGGGTATGATACTGTTTCGACTTTAAGAGCACAGTACCCTTCTTTTTTAGTCATCTACTCTCACTTCTTTGTTCCATGTTTTCATACTTATTTTCCTTTATCTTGCGTTGGTTGTGTCTAAAATATAGATTTACCGGAAGTACAAACTTCCCTATGTGCTAGAATTATCTTACGTGTCATGCGTGTTTTTGTTGGAACAGTGTGTTTGACATTAACGTTTCTCATATGTAGTAGATAGAAATTGAGATCGGATCCTTTGCTAGAAAGAAACCCTGTAGCTTTTGACCTACTTATCGGCAGTTGATTAACCCAAACACATTCTAGAATATACTCGTCCTCCGCGTAGTACACGCTAGCCTTTGCCCGTGCCACGTTATCAACCAAACCCTATCTCAACACCACTTGAGCCGCCTCTCCCCCGGGACCGCATATGACGTGTGACAGCAAGCAAGCTCCGCACCTTCGACACTTGACTCCCCGTATCTCTAATACTCACCTGACCCCCGAGCTTTACACAGTACATAACCATGTCCGGAGCAGGTGTAAGTCAATTGTTCCATAGGTCTTCCTGCCCGCATGGGCGATGGTGAGAAAGCTAACAAAGACGCTTACTTGGACACTGTAGAATCGAGAACAGGTCTTTGCGACTCGTCAGTCGCTAGGAGTTATGAAAGGGAAACTCAAGGGCGCTGAAATCGGTACCTAACAAGTTCCTATATAGCTAGTCACCTAGAACTACACACCAGCTAACTCACCACAGGCCACTCCCTTCTCAAACGTAAATCCGAAGCCCTCACTAAGCGTTTCCGCGAGATCACGCGCCGCATCGACGAAGCCAAACGTAAGATGGGTCGCGTGATGCAGATTGCGGCATTCTCTCTCGCAGAGGTCACATATGCCACTGGCGGCGGCAGTAACCTAGGGTACCAGGTACAGGAGTCAGTAAAGACAGCAAGATTCAGGGTCAGGACGAAACAGGAGAACGTGTCTGGTGTGCTTCTGCCGGCATTTGAGAGCTATGTGGTCGAGGGCAACTCAGATTTTGGGCTTACGGGTCTGGGCAGGGGCGGACAGCAGGTCCAGAAGTGCAGAGAGGTATACGGGAAGGCTGTGGAAACTTTGGTAGAATTGGCGAGCTTGCAGGTGAGTTTTTTGTCCTGTGTTAGTATTTGTGGGGGCGGAATAGTGGCTAATTAGAGTAGACTGCGTTTGTAATCCTCGATGATGTGATCAAGGTTGTGAACCGTCGTGTCAATGCTATCGAACATGTTATCATCCCAAGGACGGAAAACACTATCAAATATATCAATAGTGAGCTCGACGAGCTCGACCGTGAAGAGTTTTACCGCCTTAAGAAGGTCCAAGGCAAGAAGCACCGCGACCAGGAAGCTGCGGATAAGGCCATGAAAGAGAAAAAGCTACTTGGCGAAGAAAAGGACGAGGGGTCTAATGCTGAGGGTAGTGGCGATATTTTGGGCCAGAACGAGGATGAAGATGTCATTTTCTAAGAAGATGATTACTATGATTGTGATTAACTCTGTGGTATAGTTAGCTTGGCATTGACATGGTTATGGAACATTGAGGTAGATAATAAGGGCGCAGGTTTATTCCTTTTTTTAACTTCTCTGTATGCCTTTGATAGCGATGTGATATTTTGTTTCTGGTCGGTGAGCTGTGACTGCGGTTGTGTGGCTAGGTATGCTTGTTTCTGGGGATTTGGTTGTAGCTTTGAAGAATATATTTACCAGCTTTGAAGATCCCTTGATAATACTCTTTGCCTTCAGGAATATTTAGTAAAATTAGGTGAAAGAACGGATAGGCTTCGTTGCATAAAGCATCATATTTCATCACTCGAGCCAACAGCAATGACGTCTAGAGCGTGTTATTTAAAGCAAATACAGAAGAAGATTCGGGAAACACACTGCAAATTTTTCTAATTCGGAGCCAAATCTTTTAAAGGCTCTATAATACATGACCTTTTCCCAGTTGTTTTCATCGCAGCCATTACATTCATAGTCCTACACCGCCTACTAAATTAAAAAGGAGAAATAACACCTGCGCTAAAAGCTAACCTAATCCCTGACACAATAATGTCTATATAAGATATCTATAAGAAATCCTAATTTTCAATCATGTCTTCTATCACAAAAATGCTTTGGGCATACCCTCACTTGAGCGGGGGCCATTCGTACTTAGTCGTCTTGTCATCGTCACAAATCGGCTTAGGATTCTCTTACGACCGAGATCCTTCACCAGGGCTGCTTGCTTGAGCAACGATGCCTTCGCGTCATTAAACGAGAACTCATCTACTCTCATTAGCTGTATGAAACCGCAAATCCTGAGGAGTACCAGGATACCAATTGTCACCGCGTACCGCAACGGTGTGATACCTTCGCCATCCTTAGCGTCTATATCAGCTCCGCTCCCCATCAAAATCCTGGCTGTCTCTTCATTGCCTCTTGTTGCTGCCAAATGCAACGGCGTCCTGCTGGTCTCATCTAAAGCATCGACATCTGCGCCATACTCCAACAACAATTTAACAACAACCTCATGCCTTGTGATACCCCCAGCCTCTACACTCGTAATTCCTCTCTCGTAGAAGTTCCATGAAGCCGGGTGATCCAAGTAGTCGAATGGCTTATTCCCAAGCTTATGCAGTGTCTTCCACGCAGCCACATGCAATGGCGTCTCCCCCTTGAGCGTGCGGGCATCCACAAGTGCCCCCTTTCGTAGCAACATCTCTACCGCAATGGGAGACTCCATATGAACTGCGGTGTGCAGCGGCGTATATCCACTGATCGGCTCATGCACGCCTGTGTCAGCACCCCACTCCAATAACATCTTGAGCGCCTCCAGGGACCCAGACCCCTCGCACCGCACCGCCATGTGCAGGGCTGTCATCCCATTTTCGTCCCGCTCGTTGATGTCAACACCGTACTCGAGCATGATCATGAGAGCTTTAGCTTCATTATTGGAGGCGAGACGGTGAAAGACCGTGCGTCCGTGCTTTTTGAGGCCGAGGGTATTGGCGCCATTCTTAAGGAGGAGAGAGACAGTGGTGTGGTTTTCATGTGTGGCAGCGGAGTAGAGGGCGGAGGTTCCGCGCCTCCAGTTTTTAAGGGCCAGCTGGTAGAGGGAGGGTGTGAGGAGATGAGAGAGACGCTGGGTGGTGAGGAGGAGATGCGAAAGTTCTTTTATAGAGAGGTAGGCGCTGATGCAGAGGAGGAGCTCGTTTGGGAGGGCGAGGAGCGACATTGCGGATTGTCTGTGTTGCTTGCTTGAATGAATGAATGACTGGCTGGCTGGCTGGCTGTTGAATGTACAGATTAGCAGGTATGAACATTCCAGTGGGTATTTATGTACAGGAAGTACAAGAACTGTACGTATGTATGTGTGGTCTCGATATTTCGCATACCTTCCCTTCTTCGTCTTCTTCTTCTTCTCCTCCTGCTTCTTCTACTTGTTATGCTACCCCGGATTTATGCACCTGGTGCTGTCTCTGTCTGTGCTGCTGTCTGCCCACTCACTCCACTTCCCTGCCTGGGGACACTGTGGATGGGGTGTTGTTGATGAATGAGGAGGGATGCATACACTAGCTGCGCAGAACTGGCATGTATGTACCTGGCCTAACCGGAATGATGATGATCAAAAGGCTTGGATCCTCTTTTATAAATAGATGCACTAGCCTTGTACTACCAATAGATAATCTTATCGCTGACAATAGGATTTGTTTGCACAAACTAGATCTTTGAGCCACTTGGTTTATGAACTAATGGTTTGGTGCGTAGTAATCTGAATATATATACCCAACTGACTATTTGTAAGGAGTGGATTGATTTGACCATTAACAATTACAGGCTTTAAATGACTGTTTGATTCAGGTCTCGACTCTCGGGCTGAAACGAAATTGTGTCAATTGCGAATAGAATATGGTGGTAGTTTGGTCCAGAACCCGAATTTCACCCTTAAGCTAATAGGTGCAGATTTTCACGCTCGAGCTCGACTGAAAAGTTTATAATAAAAACGGTAAAAAATTGTAGTAGCATGTTTCCCCATAGAAACTGGTTCTAGACAAATGAAAAGAATCTCTAACTACATGTACTGTACTGCTACCGTACCACCTCTCCCACTGCCTTTACAAAAACACATAATCCCAAACTCCCAAAACTCCAGTCCCTCAAAACCATTCCCGACACGCCAGCTGCAAAAGAACATAAGGAAGACAAAAATAAAAAGAAAATATACTAATACAATAACCAAAATACCTATCACATCACCACTCTTTCACATTTACTTTTCGTTCATCTCTTCCTCTTCCGACTCCTCAAGCTCGTCAAGTTCCACCCCACCATCCAAATGTGAATCGCCCTTCTTCGCCGCTCGAAGAAGCCACTCGCCAGTAACGACCCCGCCGAAAAATCCGATCATCCTCGATAACCCCCGTTGAATCGCACTATGAGTAGAAAAATCACATAAACAAAATGTCGCCTTTCCCCCACCCTTATCAGGCAGAATAGATTACTCAACCGATAAGAAGACCGGCAGAGGGAAAGGGAAGGGAGGCTGCACTTACGGCATGGCCAGCGTTCCCCCCTGCTGCATGGAGTTCACAAATAACAGTAGCTGGAAAGATGTCGTCTTATTCTTCTCGCACTCGTCGAGATAAGTGTACATGTTCCTGAAGAACTCTTCTTCTGCTTTTGCTTCTACAGCTACCTCTGCTAGTGGGTCTTCGTCCTCGCTGACGGCGAATATCTGGTTATATTTTCGCTTTTCATTATTGTTGGCGCTTAGATCGAATTCCTGCAGTGCGTGTGTAGAAGGCTGTAGTGATGATTCGAACTCGGAAGTTGTGGCAGTGGTACCATTGCCCGGAACGAAGGGATTAAGGTATGGGTTTGGCGTCCTTGAACGTGGAAGCGGCAGTGGGGATATCAGTGTTGAGAACATATTGCTAGTGTAGAAATAGCGGTAAATAGTAGATTCGTAGTAATAGATTCAAAATGTTTCAGGGAACAAAAGCTAAAGTCGGGCGCTAGTTATGGAGATATGGACGACTTTTATGACAGCTGAGCTAGCTAGTGCGGAGAAAAGTACAACCGGTTTTCTTCTCCGTTCCTCCTTCCCTTCCAAGGCGTTACTTATATACTGGCTGCAACCTATTATCTATCAATCGGGCGACAGGATGAAGCCCACGTATGAGATCTGCAGAACGCGAAAAAAAAAAAAAGAAATAGAGAAAAACCGGCTGCTGCTGAGGGTTTATCTGCTTCATCATCTCAGACGATGAGAGGATCCAAGCACTCTCTTGCACCGAGCACTTTTCGCGCCGCACAACCAATGAGTTGGTGTGGAGGGATTGCGGGGTGTCTTGGGCGGATGGGTTGACCAATGGGTTTTGAGGGCTGCATGAGGACACGGGATCGAGCGATCGATGACCAGTAGCTATGCACCATGTATGTGCGCGAGAGCCGAAAAGCCATTTTTTCTGGTGACTCTTAAAGGAGCTGGATTGTCTATGCTGAGAATGGAGGTGTTTCTCTACTTTACTATCAGTCGGGAGATGGAAACATCCAGGCCAAACATTTTGTCTAGGTTAGTTACTTCACCCTAGGAATCACTCGATCGTCCTGTAAAAGCCTTACGTACTGACGGGCCGAGGAATGGAACTTATACCGAACATCCATGTCCAATTCTTACACCCATAACAGCAGTTCTTTCAATCGTCTCTCGATCAGTTCAATTGCAGGGCGAGTCCTAGAATTGGCTAAAAAACTGGTCATTGCCTGAAGCTAATCGCTCACGATCAATTAAATCCGAGTATATATATAGGCTAGCGATGATAAAGCCCGCTGGGTGGGCTGATGGTCAGGTTGTTTCGAAGGACCTCTATTATATCCCCACATTCTACGTATCTTGAGGTCGAGGCCGCCGTGCTGATACACTGTTGGAACATCTAAGGCACAACACATCGTTCAATAACTCTATCTAGTCCTCACCATTTATGGACGCAGTCTGATTTAGCCACAATTATGTCACAACAAACTATACTTTTTTTATCATTATTTTAGGCACCCAACTCCAGCTCAACTACTCGATAAGTAGTCCCTCGATTGGAATTCCACAGCAAATATCTCAGGTGTTTCAATTCATGCGAGGAGATGTAAAACCCTTTTTGCCTTACTTGATGTTATCTTTGGTTTTGAGGTGCACTATGAATGACATTTTAAAGTTTGACCGGACTAGTTCGGTCTTTAAACTTTACAAACAATGCGATTCGATTGCCCGTCTGACACAGCAGACCCAACCGCCGTGTCAGTGGACACCTTGCGAAAACAAATTCTACCATTTAGCTTTATGGCTCGAATTTGGTCATTCAATGTCGCACCGCCAGAGTCTACCAGCTCTATGCAGAGATGAGCCGGAATTGCAGGTGCTTCATATAAACCAACTGGTATTCGTAAATAGACAAATAGAGCATCTGCAGCCTGTGTTAATCAGGCAGCCGCCCGACCAGAGGCCGAGGAAAAAGGGGATGCCTCACCAGGGTCTCTTTGATGGGAGATATAACGTGAAGGGCCATGCTATATCATATCCATATATTGTGGTGACTCCGCTCAGATCAATAGCGCAGAGGCCCCTTCGGGGTGGGATCACGATAAACCCTCACCAGTCCCTCTGTCAATTATCCAATACATATAATAGCGCCGTATTTAAGGAAACAGGTAGGCTAGTATAGTCAAGTCCGATTTCAAGATCGTTCTAGTCTAGTTGCTATTTATAGATTTGAGAGCGAGCAGGAGATAACCTAATGCAGACACCCTTGAGTGGACAAGATACTATATCTAAGCCGCGCCCTACTCAATAGAAGATTCCTCATGATAAAGTAAGTCATTAGCCGTAAATAATATCATGGGCCTCCTCATGGGCACATCGTCGGTTAATGATGTGATCATGAGTGATATCTCATGATTCAAAGTAGGGACACCCGGCTAATCATTCCGTGCCAGCTTGGTGTGTACGGCCTATATAGGGCACTGATATCTCGCAATTCACGACATTGTCTGCGAGACTTATTACTTAACGCTGTACATGCCCTCAATAGCGGAGCACAGTGAGATCCGGACATAGGAGAGGAGTGGTTAATACAATCATGATTAAAGACCTCACAGTATTTTAGCGCTAGCGTATATATGGATGTAGGAATCAATCTTCTAAGGACCCTGAGTATCTGGCGGCCGAACAACCCGCCAAGAGACATGTACACAGATATTTCAACCCCTCGTCCCACACTCGCCACATCTCTTTTATCTCTTTCTCTTCCCGCTCCCCTCAAAAAGAGAACAAAAGAGATTACTCATCCTTGACACCTACGAAATCAATATTAACGTCAACATCGGCCCCTGGTATATATATACAGCGAAATCTTGCTATAACGGTACGCTCGGGACCTGAATTGGGTACCGCTAAAAAGAGATTACCCTTATATAAGGGGTGTTAATGCTGAAGGTCGGTCAAAAGGACCCAAAAGTACTACTTGTACCCTGATAGAGACTTATAGAAGGTACCCTTATGGCAAGCTTTCTCTGCAGTTTCAAAGGCCGAAATATTTAAACTGTATAAACCCGAGCTAATAAATGACATGCGGCCGCAACGGGCAGACTAATCGCCCCAGGCCGTAATTTATAATTTAGCTTACAAATTCAAAGTCGAGCCAGCATTAAAACCTAGGCCGAGGACAAACGAGTGATATTATATGAGCCTGAAATCAACTCATGAGTCATTTTAGGGCTAGATGTGTCGAGCATACTAGGGATTATACTCGAGAAAGATTGAATAGACAGCATTGTGCCCACTAATGGGTGTATGGCTCGGCTTAGAGATCGCATGGAGAGCCTTGGTATTCTCTATTGGTTTTGGGTCGAGCTGGCCGGAAGATTCCTCTTTGATTCTAAGTATTTACCTCCCCTTACTTCTTCAACCCGAAAGACACTACCTTGAGACTACGATGTCCAAATAATGAATTAACTGATATAGGCATTTTAAGAACTAGGAAATGAAATTAAGATCTACGGACAAGGCATTATTTATTATATATACCCCTCCCCCTGGGGGTCCTACATGGTTTCCAAATATACATGGATTAGATCTTTCATGCGTTTGTATTAAGAAAATACATATTCAATACTCCAACCAAAGCGCCCTAAAAAGCCATGGATTACTTTCTCCACTAGCACGATCGGGTCCAAACAAGAACTTGTAAGACCATTATTTACTTTAGATATCTACGAAGTCGGAGGCTCCCCTGACATATCTAAGAATATTTGGGGAGCATAGAGCCAGATCGGACAGCAAGCCGAAGGACTAGGCGCGTTACGAATGAGATTACATCACACATGAATTCGGAGATTTTAAGAATTTCTTAGAATGGCGGTGAACCACTTCCTTGAAAGTCACTAAAGTCAATTAAGGGCGATTGTTAGGTTTCCGATTAGCATAGTTCTAGATCTAGGTGTATGGCTGGACCACAAAATAAGCTCCGCACGCACATTGGCCGGTTTAATCTTCAATCTTTTTGTCTGGCAGACTTTTGAGGCCTTGTCAACCTTTACTGCCAAGACAAAATATGGTGCTTTTAAGAACCCTAATTACTTATTGTAGAGGAAGTGGATTTTCTTTACGAATATATAACATATGAAAAGATTCAGTGGCTAGGGCCTTTTAAGCCTGTTTAAACCCGCCAATAACTAGAAATAAAATGGATCATGACAACTAAGCGATACTCTAATAAACATCAAATTTACGTTAAAATTTCATGATTCATAATATTACTCAGTGAAAATAAGTCCACAAAGAAAGGAGTGATCCCTCAATACTGACCCTCTGGGCCTGTTGAACGCTATTCTTATATAGTTAACCGTCAACTACATATTTTCAATCTCTACAAAACCCACTCTATACATTAGTGCCCTGTTTAGGAACAAATATGGAGGATTACTTACCTATCTCTTCGCATTCTTCGCACATGCCTGATGCACCGCCTAAGTATTTATTTTCGCTGCATTTAGGACATTTAGAACGTGCAGTCGGGGCTGAATATTGAGGTTGTTTCGCAGGGTAAGGTTGCTGGCGGGGTTGCTGGTAGACTTTCTGAGCATGGGTATCATAAGGTTGGTAATCTTGTTTAGTTTGACCGTAATAGATTTGGTGATCTTGATGAGCTCGCAGAGCTTCCGCAGCTTTAACGCAATAGGTATCGTAGTTTTGCCGAGCTTGTTGAGATTGCTGAGGTTGCTGAGGTTGCTGAGGTTGCTGAGGTTGCTGTGATTGATGATATTGATGAGCTTGATAGGCATGGTGAGCTTGGCGGGCGCAGGGGGTTTGGGCCTTTGAGGGAGGGTTTCTACCAAAACACATCCTTACTGGTCGGTTAGTGCTTTAGGAATGTGAGTTGCGATTAGTGGTATGCGGTTTGCAATTAAGTATCGTGTATTTTGATGCATACATATATGTATATATCTATAAAGGGTGGATCATGGGTATGTACATAAAATAGAATTTCTACATGCAATTTCAATATGGTCAGAAATTCTACGTTTAGATGGTAGGCCACAGTCTTTAGACTTCAATTTAATTAATTGTCATGACATTAATATATAGGATACTCAATTAAAGATCGGTATTTAAAATAAGAGTCAGAATAGCTTTAGAATAATGATCGGTTTGAATCGTAATTATGGAGCACAACATAGTCTGTATACACACATATAGTACATGTACTTATGATGTGAGATAATGTCTTTGCATGTACCTGGGCTTGGTACTCGCTTTGAATTGAACACGGCCATGGATGATTATATGAGCTTCCCGGTGCATGTTTATCCTGCCGAGTGACCAATCATGCAACCAAGTGTAGGTTTTATAGAGCCTAACCAGTAGAAGTAGTTGTGCTTGCATAGCTTCGAAACTGTTCGCACGATGTAATTATTGTGATAATTTCAATTCATTATAAGAAATCGAATCGAAGTATACGTAGGTAATAAATCCATAAGCAATACTACACAGTACATGTAGTTGCTGTTGTACCACATGTAGTTGTGGTTCACACCGGCGGTGCAACACCAAAATAAACCCGCCAAGCCCATCATCCCACTAAAGTACAGGGATCTAATTGCGGCTCATTCAGAACACGCGGCTTCACCGAATCAACCTCCATCGTCATTTACCTATTTACAATCTACAAACAACAAACTTCAAGCCCCCAACCAGTAAAGCAATCAAACCATGGCAAACAGCGGATATGATGTTGTCGTCGATGTCGACGACGAAGGAGATCTCGGACACACAGATCTAGCAGACTTGGAATTCCACCCTTCCAGTACATCCACTCTAGCTTCTCTTCTATATCCTCGCTGACAGTGTCGGAGTAGGTTACAATGCCGACCAAGCCAGCGGAAAGATGCCCACGAGCGCATCGAGTGCGTTAACTGCTGGGAAGAGAGGTTGTCAGGCGTCTGGAAGCTAACAAAGGAATCACAGATACCGGCGGGTTCTTCGGCTCAAGTTCATCCAACAACCGGAGCGGCGATGGTTCGAGCAAGCGATTTCTGTGGACAATGGACTTCTACGCGCAATTCTTTGACGTGGATACAAACGAGGTTTTGAAGCGATGCTGGGCAGCGCTATTTCCAAGGGAGAGGTTTCTGGATGTGTTGGACGGGAATCCGGATCTTTATGGTTCGCGCTCCGATGAACTGGAGCTTGCGCCGGTGAGCTAACTAGCTGGTCAACAGGCCCGTTCTGGATAACTACAACTGTAGTATTGATCCTATTTTTATCTTCCACAATCGCACAGTACTTCGCCCGTATGAAGGATGGACCGTACGTCTACGACTTTGGTCTGCTCTCTGGTGCAGCGGGATTGATGTACGGTTACACTGCTTTTGTGCCCATTGCACTATGGGGTGTGTTGAGGTGGTATGGGAGCGAAAGCGCGAACCTCCTGGAATGCTTGTCATTGTACGGGTATAGCAACCTCATTTGGGTGCCAGTTGCTATCGCAAGTGCATCAAATATTACAAGTATGTGTTATCAGATAGATGGAGTTTGGGTTGGGACGAAACTAATGGTTTTGGATAGTCTTAAACTATGTCTTTGTCGGCGTAGGGTTCGGTGTATCCGCGCTGTTCTTGTTCCGTAACCTACTACCAGTAGTTAATGCGACAGATGCTAAAACGGCTAAGATACTGCTGGTACTTATTATTGCGATCCACGCAGCTTTAGCCTTGACAATCAAGATTCTGTTTTTCGCGTATGCCCCCCCCCCCCCCCCACACACACACACACATTCCCGGTAGACTAATTGCCTCTTGATGCAGTCATGGAAGTCCAGTAGCCAAGAAACCAGAAGGTGATGCTGCTGCTATGATGTTCTAAAGGGCATCATGTTCGGACATGAAATTTAGTGAGTTTCTTTGAGGAATGATGGGATTGATGGATGCTTTTGAATTGCTTTTATGGAAGTAAAAATGTTACCGAATTTACTTAGCTAGACGGAATGGTGCATTCTTGGAAATTACTTGCCTTTTTTCTTGTTGTTTAATACATGTAGTTGTGCTACTCTGGGAGGGGGGGTGAATGGAAATAGTATTACTTCTGAAATTCACAATGTCAAGTGATCAAGGCAGGCACAAGTTTAAGCTACCAAGCGAACCATACGCAGGGTATACAGAGAACTCGATACAAGATCTGTCACGACATCGGAAGCCTATATATACGTCATGTCAGTCGCATATCATAAAACATGTAGAATGGACGTGCTCCCAGTTACTGTATCCCTAGTTGCCCTTTCTATCTCCATGTCATCTCCCTCGCCGCACATTGAATTATACCCGTGTAGTCCCCTATAGTTTCGACCCATTATCTACCCTCGTGGTGTAAAACTTACTTTCACGATTGAATATTCGTCCATTCTCTATGCCCCATTCTTTCAAGCCGCATGGCCCACGCCCAACCAGGCGCTGCCAAAAGATTTGAAGGCCCCAAGTAGCAAAATACAACGGTGAAGAATAGATCTTCGCGAAACGTTGAGATGGCTATATATGGGGTGCCTCTGGACCCCTCTTCTGGATTCTTTTTTCTCCATCGTGCTTCTTGTCCCCCTTCTTTCATTTCTTCTACTCCCGAAACCCTCCTCCTCCTTCTTCTTCCTCCCCCTACGATAGACAAAGCTTTGCTGTTGCAATTGTGAGAATAATATATACACCACGACAAAGAAATCACCCTTCGCAAACGACAAATAGATTTATACATGTTCGACAACGGCACTGAAGATGTCCGCTTCTACAAGGAAAAGTTCCCGCAGCCGGGCGATTGCGTGGTGGTTATTGTCGGAAAGGTACATCTTATTCCTTCGCAGTCGCGATTGTACATACGTTGCTGTTATGGTTTTCCGGTGCTAATATTTATACTAAAAAAAAAGAGCACTAAAGATGGCGTCCGCGTCAAACTTCTCGAATACGGCCATATCGACGGCTTTATCCGCAAGGAGGATATTGACCGCTGTAAAGAGACGTTCGTTCTTTTGATTGCCCGGAAGGGCAAGAACGAGGTCGTCAAGGTTCTCAGTGTCAACGCTGAGACTGGTTCGTGTATCTTTCTTAGTTATTGGTTGTTCGATTCGAGTACTGATTTATATAATTCTTTTTATAGGCTATACCGAGCTATCGAAGCTTCAAGTCACCGACGACGAGCACAAAACGTGCGATGACAAGTACCACAGAGCAGTAACCGCCGATTGGGTGCTTCGCTCCGTCTCTAACCAGACTGAGAAAGTCTCGGTGGTACAGCTATACGAAGATATCGGCTGGCCCCTCGTCGAGACGTATGGTAGTCTGTACGCTGCTTTTATCGCTAGCAAGAAGTATATACATGCCTTCTCCAGAACCTATCGATATTCGGTATATAATGAAAACTAACCTGCCCCAGGAACGACCAAGTCTGGCAACCCTTCACCTTTCCCGCACCCGAGGTCCTCTCTACACTCATCGCCTGTGTTAATACCCGCATTTCTCCCGATCCTGTCAGTCTCTACGCCGAGATAGACGTTCGCTGCAACGGCTACGGTGGAAACGATGCCATAAAGAGTGCCCTTTTTGCCGGTGAGGCCATGGGCACCGACATAGTGCCCATCAAGACGCGTCCTATTGCCGTGCCGCTGCATAGAATCGGCTCCGAGCGGTGTTACGACCGTGTGATGGGGCTCGAGACGCTGGCCAATGCTGTCGACGCGGTTAAGGAGGTGATTGAGAGAGGGGATGGGGAGTGCAACGTAAGGAAGTGGCCAGATGTGAGCGCGGAGGAGAAGAGATTACTTGGTTGTAGATTGAGCCAGCTGGTGATGGAGGCGGAGGAGGCGGACTGGGAGGAGGGGGAGGAGGAAGACGAGGATGAGGATGAGGATGAGGATGAGGATGAAGATGAAGATGAGGAGGAGGAGGAGGAGGAGGAGGAGGAGGAGGAGGAGGAGGAGGAGGAAGATTAGAGTACGTTGGTGGGTGAGCAGACGGGCGGGTTCTTTTTCCTTTTCTCTATCTTTCTTAAAATAATTTATAGCTAGGTGCCGTTGTATGGAGGGTCACCTCATGGTAACGGAGGATATTTTAGTAGGGGGTCATCGGTTGTACTGTTTTTTGAAGGTAGTTAGGTGTACGCGAGTCTAGGGAAATGGTTTCATAACTGCCTATTCTCATGTCCTTCGATAGCTTAAACATTATATAAATAAACATTTTTTATCATCAGACTCGAGTCTCTCTGCGATTATGTTGTGGTGTTGAATATTAATATTTACATTCCCGGCACTAGTACTAGTGACAGTGTCAATGATCATTTAGTAGGAAAAAGTGTCACCCACACTACTGCGCGCCTAACTAGCGCCGACTAGCGAGTAACCCTTCCGCGCTAGTATTACCTGCACTTGGCACAACACATACGCCAAGACATGAAGTGCTCAACACACAAAACTCCTGCCCCGAGGAGGTCAGTCTGTCATGTCAGGGTAACACCAGGATCCCAAGACGCGACAAAAGACATAAACGCCAAATGCGCTGCGCACCCCATCACGTTTCATGACGTTCCGTTACGGGCATGCGGTTCCGGAGCGATATGAGTACATGATTTATCGATCCCAATCCATGCTGCGACCTGTCAGTGTTTGATACACCGCCGCATAGCCACCTCCTTCCCTGTAGCTAGCTGTCAAAAGGGCCTTGCCTTGGTTGCTTGAATCATGAATCCAGGTAAACATATACAGTGCAATTATAATATCGATATCGCCGACGGACGAATGGGGAGACGGACAGACAGACTCATCTAGGCAGGCATAATGCTGGCTGGCTAGGTGTTTGAGAATCACTGAGGTTATTCTCAGACGTTAAAGGGTTGCAATTGCTGAGTGAGGTGTTAAGTGCTGGAATGTTACCCTGAGGCGCTGTGACTGGGGTAATTAGGGTTCTGGTCCATAGTAGAGAGCAGTAATACTGCAAGTGATAACGGCCACGCTACATACCTACTAGGTACTACTACATGTAGGTACTACTACTACCAACACTACCGCTAATAGGAGCCACCTAACCAAGTTCTCTGCATATATGACCGCTGCTATGATGATGCTGCTGCTCTACCACGCACGACATGGGAGAGACGTAGTGCTAGCTGCCAGTACTACACCAGTACTACTGCATGCAAAACTCCTTGCAATTGGAGCACTACACCACATCACAACTAATGTCCGCTCGCTCGCTCGGACAGCTTCACGATGTCACACTCATATTGTCACTCAGCTCAATCCTGAAGTGAAATGGTTGTCACAGCCATACTGGCGAGCTACAGGGGCCAAAGCGGTTTCCATGCCTCCGAAACAACCCGAGCTCTACCAGCTAGCTAGCTAGTTGAATTCTAAAGCTTAGTACTTTCTTACGAAGTGTATTTCTAGCTCTAGATCTAGCTCTACATGCATCGGATTGGTATATATCTTTCAACCATCTTCCCGGCTGGCCGGCAAACAAAACGAACAAGAACAAGATTGTAGAAGGGATACGCAGTGATCCCCGGCTGGGTCTATGGCTAGCTAGCTGACTAGCTAAATACCTTTTCCAGAATGTTCCTCTTGTCCGGATGCTGGGAGAGGGTTACCATACTCTTAGTCTGACTAGCTAGTCAGTGCGCAGCCAGGGGGATCCTCGCCGGGGGTCAAGGGGGAAAGAAACGAAAGAAAAAAGAAAGAAAAAACTCGTCCCTTAGGGCATATATACAACTGCCGAAATTTCTTATTACTCCCTCCTCCGGTATCAGGTGTTTTTTCATGAGCGCCATCGTCATGGCATGGGACTTTCGTCATTATATCCTCCCCTCCCGGCATAGGGCAGTTAAGGCTGAGATGGGGCCCAGAATTAAGATAGCCCGCCCCTAAAAGAAAAATAAGGGCCGTAGGTAGGGCCTATAAACAAGAACCAAAAAGGAAATAAGCAAAGGGCAAAAAACAAAACCACAAAGAAACCCGCAAGCCAAAGCGTAGTGCAATAAGCACAGGAAAAAGGGAACCCAAAGAAAAGAAGGAAAAGAAAAAGAGGAAAGAACCCCCCACCCCCCCGCCCCTATACGCCCACAACCCTCTCGACATCAAACCCCTTCTCGCCCCAATACCCCTTCTGATTACTCACAACTCTCACCCCGCCCCTCACCGCATCCGCCGTCCAATGTGTATGTCCATACACCCAAACCCTCACCAGCCCACCGCCCACTCCACCCCTCACCCTGCCCACAACCTCCGTACAGAACCCACTCCCCACCTCACTCCCCTCATGCTCCGGCGCACACGTCCCCCGGAACGTCGGCGCATGATGCGTCACCACCAACACCCTCTTCGGTGGCCCCGCACCTCCTCCTCCCACGCCCTTCTCCTCATCCCCCTCCGCCTCAAGCTCCGCCAGCGACGCCTTCAACCACGCAACGTCCGCCTCGTGCTCCGCATTATGCGCGTCCACCGTCCAGCCCTCGATCGCGCGAAAATCACTTAACGACCGCGCAACCACCTCTCTTGCCTCCGCGGCGATTCGTGAATGCAGCGTCGCGCCGAGGATCGTCACGCCGCAGGGGAGGTCCACGCGCTTGCGGTGGAGGACGGTTAGTCCCGGGAGCGTATCCTCCATCTGCTGCGCGGCGCGGAGGCCGTCTGCGCGGGATGCACGGTAGAACTCGTGGTTCCCGAGCACGAGGAAGACGTGTGTGAAGGCTGCTGTCTGGTGGCGGAGGAAGGCGAGGTAGCGGTCGTAGTGCGGGACGAGGAGGCCGATGTCTCCCGCGAGCACGAGGTAGGGCGCTTTTGGCGGGATGGGGAATGCGAGGTAGTGTGTGGAGGGGGAGGCGGGGGGCGGTGGTGGGGGCAGGAATTCGAGGTGTAGGTCGGACATGATTTGGAAGTGTGTTTGGGGGTAGGTTGGTGTGGGGGGTAGGCGCGGGGAGAAGAGCGGGGAGAAGAGGCGGTCGCTGAAGACCTTTGGGAGGGAGGGGAGGGTGAGGCGGCGGCGGCGTGGCATAGCGTGGAGGTTTGATGGATGGGGCACGGGTAATGATATGATGGTATGTATGGGGGTCTCTATGTACGGATATATATATTTGTCTATTGTTTCCTGCTAACGTTGTTTGTGGCTGATCAGCAGCTGCGGGGGGTGGAAGAGAGCATAGAGTATGTAGATAGCTAATTAAGAGTTTGTGTCACAGGAATTAACCCAAGAGAAAGCGAGATGCGAGATGCAAAGTGCAAGAGTTGAAGCAGCTCTATTTACAGTATTATTGCAATGATCGACACAAGGGTTTTCGCTCGGGGGGCCTTTCTTCCGTTTCAAATAGCCGACAAGAGAGTGCCTATGGCTAACACAAGTGGAGGAGGGCAGAATCAGGATATATCCCCTCGCCTCTCTAAATATGCAGTATCAGTAAAGTAGTTGGAGCAATATAAAGCAGTGGGGATAATGGGTAAAAAGCGCAGACGGGTGATCACTGGTGACTTGACTGGATGCGTAGTAAATTGCATGCGTGACTTCAATTAACGGTTCGTGCTAACTAACCCAACCCAAACCCCGTCTACTAAAAGTAATAAAACCCAACCAACCAATCATACAAAAAGAAAAAAATAACAGAAATGCAAGCAACCAAGTAAAAGATATGCAACGCTAAATAAAAACAAAAATGAATCCTGTACACCACGCTTCCATATATGCAACCTTTTTTCCCCGTGTCCCCCCCCCCCCCCCCAATTGATCCCTTTAGCTTTTTATATGTTCTTAAATGCTGCTCCCATACCATTACCCAGGTCAATAAGAAAGACAAAAACAAATGAGATGTAAAACAAATGAAACAAAACAAATGAAAAACAATCAGTGTAATTAGGATGCAATCGTTAATAGTATGCGATGCAGTAGTAGTGGTACATGTAGTAGTACATGGTTAGTAAGTAATGTTTGTAAGATGCAAATGATGATGATAATGAAGCTCCCTAGAAGCAGATCCCAAGCCCCCTCTGCACATCCCACATCTGTGGCTGAGACTGTCCATCTAACCTCGCCTTCCTCACACCCCACACCGCGCCCCTCGTGTGCACACCCAGCTCTCCCAGCACCTTCCTGAGCTCCGGGTGCCTCCTCACCGCCATCCCCACCGTCTTCTTATCCATCTTCTTCGCCGCCATCTTCAACTCCTTGCCATAGTTCCTCACCAAGTAGTCCACATCCGCCACATCACTACTCTTCGTCCTCGTCGCACACGCACTCAGCTTCCCGCGGAACAGAAACTCTTCCTTCAGGATGGGCACATAGCTGGTCCCCATGCGCGGCCCGCTGAGCACCTGGTTCCGCGAGACGGGGAATTGGTCCCGCGCCATTTCTTCGTGGCCCACAAACATCTCGACGAGCACCATGCTCTGCGAGCCCTCGGTGTCGCACCAGAAGAAGGCGACGTAGTCCTCGCGGCACTGCGGGATCTCGAGCCAGCCGCGCTTCTGCGAGAGGATGCGCTGGATGGTGGGTTTGGTGGCCGCCACGAGCACGTCGATGTCTTTGGATTCGCGGTAGGCGGCATGGGGGCTGCAGGCGAGGACGGACCAGCCGCCGAAGAAGCCGTGCTTAATTTTGTTGAAGGAGAGGATGCGGGAGAGGGCTAGGGCCGCGTCGTTGAGGGTTGATTGATGCATGGTTTGGTATTAGTGGTAGTATGTGGTATGTGATAGTTGTAGTTGTGCAATTGAGTGGTGGGCAGTTGGTCTGATAAGAATTGGAATGTTCGAATGGAAAACACTGAATTCCGAGTTATGGAAGATACTGTCTAGTGGCGACGTTGAACGGTAATGATAGTGATGGTAGAGGTCGCAGCAGTAGTGTCGATCGATTAAAGTAATGGAAGTGAAAGAAAGAAAAATATTAAAGAACAAGCTGAATTAAAGATTGTAGTATAACGCGCAACCAGGCACGATGCAGATCAAAAACCAATCGATGGGATAGGATAAATGAAGTGCAATATATAGTCTAAAGGATTTGTCGAATGAATGAAACAATAAGAGTGGTAATAATATATCGTCGACCAATAGTAAATAAATAATAAGCAGTAATGAAAGAAAGAAAGAAGGAAAAAAAGAAAGTAATGGAAACACCACCTCAGCTGAAGAAACGTCGAATGTCGTATGTAGTCGTGGTCGTTGCAAGTGAAGGTGGGGTGTGTGGGGTGGTGTTTGGGGGAAATAATGAGGGGATGGGAGGCGGAGGGAGGGGGAAGGAAGGTGAGGTAAGAAGGGAGATTACTGCCGCTTTGCTGCTGAACAATGGGAAAGTAGAAAAGCCTAGAGGAGATGAGGCCGTAATCTTATATATCACCAACCAGCCAACCGTCACGATCATGTTTAGACCCTGCCATCTTGGTCACGCAGCCTATAGGCGGGCGTTTTGTGGGGTGGAATTTATTTTTGTTGCCTGTTCAAGGGTTTCGAAGGCGTTGTTTACAGCTGTATGCTTGCTCACGAAGCGCCCGGAACCATGTTCGGATCGGATTCATATGGGATAGCGGCGCGGATCGAAGTACCTTACAGCACAATTGCAGCCGACATGATACATGGGGCAGGATCAGTAGCCAGGGTATGATGGTATTCACCCACGGCTCCCTACGGCATGTATGATTTTCTCATGATAGGTATCTTTTCGTGCCTTACTGTTGCCTGGGGATCAAACAGGGGCAAAGAATGGTAGACGGCTCGCTAGAGTGTGCGATCATTGGTTATGTTGGTCTGTGCTAATTTCCTTTTCCTTACTCTCCCTCTCTCGTTCGAGGGTCGAGACGCGCGTGGCTAATTTTATCCTGTAACAACCCGCTAGCGACCGTTGAGGCTCTAAATAATCTTCCAGCCTTTCCCTTCTTTGTGCGAATTCACACCAAGAGCCGAAAGATCATAATTCCTTTTAGCGCTCTGAGGTCATGTAAGTGGCTGCATCTGGAAACCATCGTTGTCTTGCAAACCCCAAAACGGCCGCTGGAATCCATCGTTCAGTTGGTTAGCGTCCATCATCTAACATCACTCGGCGCCAATGGAAGCGCTCGGCGATGCGGTGGTATGCCGTTTTTCTTTCTTTCTTTCTTGAATCCCATAGTCTGCAGATATCGATGCGTGATAGACCCTGATAGCTCAAGGGCAGAAATAGAATAGCACTCTGGAACTTCAGATTCCTCACCCCCCATGACTTAGATCGGGACGCAGGTCCCATTTGAGACAAGATCCACCGACATAATAGCACTCTGGAAGTTCGCTCTTAGCAGCACGATCATGCAGGGGTATTTTAATGAGACAGGATCTGCTCACCGATGGCGTCAAACCGTGAATAGAGGAAACACTGACAGTCTGTAGCAGAGTTCAATAATGCTGTAAACACCACGTAATCACGTGGCGACGTCATAGGACGTGGCGCCTGGTGATGCTTTAACAGATGATTGTGAAAGGCTATGCTGTTCTCCTGAAAGGTAGATGGATGATGGATGGATATGAGCTGGCTCGAAGATGAGATACAAAGCCAGAGAATGTTGAAAATTTAATTGATGTGTACCTACATGACTACACGTAACTTAGATTGGGCCGCCTGTCGTGGCTCGCGTTTAAGCACCTTCCCGCACATGCATTCCACAGAACTCTATCCCTGCGCGCCCACTGCAGGTCCCGATATTATGATAAATCCTCGGTAAACTTCCACGCCACATTAACGTCAATAAGGCAATCAATCTCTATTCTGCGATTACATATAGTCGCCCAAACATAGGGGGGCTCGGACCACAAGAGCTACATGTACTGTATAGGCTAAACTCGAGCGGTTACTCCGATTACAGTGGTTTATTTTGACGCCTCGGGGGCAAACTTTGCCGTATAGCACTAATCTATAGCTCGGCGCCCCGCCGCATCTAGATGGGCGGGGGGTTTATACAGGCCAAGGTAATCTAGCCATTCAATGACAAGTCATGAATCTGAAACCCGATATTAGAATCATAGTAATATATCAGATGTTTGCACTCCCGTACAACCCAACAACTATAAAGAATTTCATTTTGTTCGTGAGCTATTATTGGTACTAATAACATATATGTAGCAATTATTACACCAACCACGTACCACAGCCCCGCGCATATGTATGTGTGCAACCGTATTTCAAATCATTGGCACCAAGTTTGCTGCAGTGATGCGTATTATACATACGTAGGAGGGATAATGTCTCGAGACTTACGACGAAGTACTTTACATTGCAGTTGACTCGTGTGACCAGATACTTGTTGGAAGACATGTCTTTCTGTGATATGTGCTGTAACTTTGCTATTCTTGGCTGTGGGTTGTAATGATCACAAGCACATACATGTCTATCAACACTAGAACTTCTAGTGTGTACATACACGTAGGTAGATACAATCTCACGACAATTGCAATACCTCAAAGGAAAAATAAGGTTTAGCAACTGCTGGCTCCCTGCGTCCTCCGGTTCAATGGGAGCAAACACCACCACAATTGATAAATACACGATACCCTCCATGTTCCCCTGAAGGCCACTCTCACCATCGTTCACCTCTACAGGCCTCAACTCCAAAGCTACTAAATCCAAAGGAATGCCTAAATCCACCCGACCCAAGACTAGAGCCGCCTCTACATCTAGCTCTCACTTCCCGTCAAAACCCTACATGCGAGGCATAGCCAGCACACCTAATACCGCCTCTGCCCTCCCCCCCGCAGTAGCATGGTCTGCCGCAGATGATGAGCTCCTACTTAGATCAAAGTCTTTGGGGAAGAAATGGGTAGAGATATCACCTCTTTTCGAGGGCAAGACATCGAATGCGTGTAGAAAGAGACACGCAAGGCTCGTCACGCATACACAGGTGGAGTGGGATGAGTTCAAGGAGAGGGATTTGGCGGTGGAGTTTGTTAATGCGAAGGTGAATTTTTTTAAGACAATCGCGGGGAATATGAAGTTGGAGTGGAGACAGGTAGAGAAGAAGGTATGTTTTTGACCAGGACGCCGAGCACGAAGGTTGGATATTTGCTGATGTTCAGTGAAGTGTCTGGAGTTGGGATTTAAGTCTTTACTAGAGAAGGGGAAACGATTTCCGACCATCCAGAATTCTCCACATGACCAAATATGGGCCGAAAGTACTTGCAGCAATACTCAGTCTGTGTCATCCGAGAATAGTGATAGTGATGCTACGCTGAAAGATGATGATTTGGAGATGAAAGATAAGGATCTTAATGATCATAGTAAAGATGAAGAGTCAAATGATAAAACCGTTACGAAGGTACTTAAGGAAATTGGCGAGAGAGATGTGGGCTCTGACTAATGATTAAAGCAAAGTTTGATCGGGCATAACCTCTCTCTCTCAATATCTTAGAAAAGATATCAGGCCGAGATAGTAAGCAGATCAATGGAGTTGGCGAGTATTTATTCTAGCTGTTGTGCTTATTATGATTGAATCCACTACGACATATTGGGATTTTACACAAAGCATTATTGCAAGAAGCTTAAGAATTACACGTCAAGGAACTAAGTTATCCCCAAGTAGTAACCCTTTATTTTAATTTATCCAATATATGTTGGACTTAAGCTTCTTGAACTTGATTATTTCATTTTTATCGTATACTTATGGTTTGTTTCTTCTTCCCAAACGATGTTTCCTTATGAGATTCCTTGTGAAGTATATGGAATTGATTCAGCCTCAAAGGGGGCGAGATAGTCGCCAGAATACATACACAACGCCATAAACACAAGATCCATCAAGAGCATAAATAGTCAACTCTTTCAGGCTGTATGTAAAGGGCCTATATGCGTGTACTCCTTATATATCACAGTACTAGTACTTTCACAGTATCTCACTCGGTTTTCCGGATTGTAATTTTTTTTATTTAATTCATTAATCGCATGCAGCCTTAAAGCTATGGCGATTCCGGATTGTCATATCTCGAGCGAGTTTTGTTTGTTTGTTTGTTTAACTCAATCTCGCGCGAGCGAGTGCTTTGGGATGAACGCCGTGAAAAGTGCTTATTAGATAAAGATTGAGTATGCATGATGCATGCTAAATAAACCAAATCGTGCTTTAACCACAATTAACTTCATATCAGAATAGTTAAGTAGATATGCAAAGAGAGTTTCCACTCAGGCTGGGGCGGGTCAAATATATAGGGGCGCGTGATTAGTTGACTTAAAAATCACTGTACAGCGGTGGGTAATAAGTGATTAGATAGAACGCCACCAAAATACGCGTTTGCAGGCAAACTTGTGGCTAGGCCGTCCGATGACTTAATACACACCGCTGTACTAATATATAATCACATCACTACATGGACAAAACAGGAAACGATTTGCTAAACTAAACGTAACAGTATTCAGGGCCTAGACTTCCTTCTCGACTACAATTAAGAGTCGAAAGAAGATCATGATACTAATATACCAGCTATCTATAATTTGAGGGTTGGTGATCCTGCCACTGCTAGAGATACTGGCCAGAGTGTCTGTCTCATAGAGGCTTATATTACGCCTATCCAATGACCATATATTAAGGACCCTCCCTCTCTTTCAAACACTTATTATTTGCCACATGGTTAATATTTGATAAATTTAGGACTTTGTGTTTATAAGCCCAATTCTCGCCAAGGACATTAAACCGCGTTCAAGAACTTCAAGCCATGTATTAGTTGCTTAAGTAGAATTAATTAGAGTCAAGACTGACATGATATATAAATACGGGTAGATGTTGGTAGCGTTGTACCATCACGTAGTAGACAAACCTATCGATCAAACTTTGGATAATCACAACATATCACTCGGTGCCAAGAAGCCGCTCCGTGTTGTCATACACCTCCACCAGCTCTGTAAATGAATCAGTAAATGAATCCAACCTTCACCGCACCTCTTTGGCGGGAAATGCGTTATCCTAAAAGCGCTTACAGAGTCTTTTGGATTTACGCTTGTGATACATTATATTACTATGTGGAAACAAATCAGGAAATGTTGCTTTAAGTGCAAATCGATACCTCGCAATATACATTATTTATAAACATATGCTTGTAGGTGTGTATTATCGAGGGCAAACGTTAAAAGTTATTCATAGAAACCAGTTGATTCATTTACGTATCTAGCTGGTAGAGCGCGTTACAAACGAGGATGTTCACACTATAGGAGAAAGGAGATTATAGTCGGAAGCGCAACCAAGGGGGCTATTATAGCTAACTCTTTCAAAAACCCGCAATAAGCCGGCGAACGTATAACTCATTAAAATATGAATGCGATCAAGTTCTATGTATGAAAGATATTGATAAAGAAACATCGCGGTTGTCTGTATTTTGTAATCATTGATTACTTAGTCGTGGTTCCTTTTTTATTAAGATGCTTAATTGTGTAGAATATTATCAGATATCTTATAATACAAAAGGTTAGGACGAAAGTAATTTTGTAAATGACGGGTACTGATTGGCCGAAAACCTGCTGAAACAAAGGAAGGAAGGAAGGAGCTAGGCCTGAGGTGACTCGATCGAGCTCGATGAATTAAGTGTGCGTCCAATAGACAAACTCTCAGCACACTTTCTATGGGAAGTGAGTTTACAGCAGGGACAACCATAAATGAAGGGAAGCAACGTAAACTATAGTTTTTCTGAATTTATGGATACATCATTGTTACCAGTAACGTATTGAATGGCAACAGCACTAAAGACCTACACATAAAATTTGGAGGTGAAAGGCTCGGCAATGATCACAAACAAATCTGTACGCCAATAACCAATCTCCCAGTCTGCCACTGTACCAGGTTAAAGACGTTATATCTAGGTGGTCGATAACTCTGCGCGGTGGTAATACCGGGTCAAACCCTAGCAAATCAATAAATGATGAGAAGGAAAAGGAAGCCTCCTGAAGATGCATGTCGCTGTATAAACTGAATTATTAGCTGGATGGGCAATATCTAGATCTCTGATCTTCTCAGAAACAGAATCATAGAGTATCACTTGGTGGATCATCAAGGATCACTCAGCGTCCTCCAATCATATGCCGAGGGTCACAAGATGAAGTCTAATGCTTCACGTGCGCCAAGTCGGAGACTACCGCCGTGACAAAGCATACCAAGGGTAACTTGCCTCGGTCCTACCAGGCAAGCGCCTCAGTTGTTCTTCCTTCGTTCGCCGCCACGTCGAGGATATCTGAATATTTGTTACGCCAAACATAGACGACAAACACGAAATACAAATCCTTTTTTTTTCCTATTAGTTACACATCTCTTTATTGATCCATATACTACGACTTCCCATATACTGACATTACTATTTGCTGCCGCGTGTCGAGCTCGCTGGAGAGGTTCCCCTTTCGCTTCTTCAACCTTCGCGATCGGTTTTATTCTCTAGCTACAAACTACAAACTACTAGCCTCAACTTTAACAACAGATCAATACGTCTTTGAAAATGGACGAATTCAAGGCACAAACTCTCCCCCTTGTTCCACTTCCATATTCAACAGTTCTACTCCCGGGAGTTATACGTTAGTGCTCTTTTCCCTGCATTTGAGCTTTCCCAGCTGACGCAACAAATCCTTTAGTTCGTATCTTCATATCCGATCGCAAAGACATCGCAGCCATAATATCAACCCTCACAACTGACGCCCCAAGCCCTACAATCGATGCTTCCAACCTCGCAATAGGATGTATCCCTCTCAAACCACCGACTCTAGTTTCGCCACCGATCGCAAAAGATGACGAGGATAAAAAGCGGATAATTCAGGAGGAAGGTGACGAGGTTGAGGAAACCCAGATCGCATTTCTAAATATTGATCCCTCCTCCGCCACCCCCGAGGAGCTATTCTCCCACGGAACAGTAGCACGTATCATTGGCCTCGAGGGCCATTCAGATGTCAATTCTTTTGGTAGCCCCATCGTCGGCGGTCAGAACGGGATGGCGATCGTAGTGGAGGGAATCTCCCGGTTCCGGGTAAAGCAATACCGACAGCGTACGCCGTTCATTGAAGCCGACGTGGAGCACTTCAGCGATGAGCCATTGAAAGAGGACGATACTAAGACGAACTCGTTCTTTTTGCAGCTCAAGTCGCTCTCCCGGGAATTAGTTGGATTGCTGCGAATGAGCTCAAACAGGGGCGCGGGATTGCCGCCGATCGTGGCAAGGAGGTTAGAGTTATTAATTGCGAAGAAGGATGTTAATGACGCTGGGTCTTTGGCTGATTTTATGATTTCGGCGGTGGAGACGAGGTTGTTTGAGAGACTTGATATACTTGCTGCGGTGGAGGTCCCTGAAAGGCTTGAGAGGGCGGTGGTTATACTTACTAGACAGGTGAATAAGATAAAATCGATAATTCAAAAAAGCAATAAGCTCGGGCCAGCTATCCCGCCGCTTATTGTTATGGATAACAGGAGACAGGGCGGATTCGGGAGCTCCAAAGTTGGTGGGAGAAGAAGTTCTTTCGGGAGTGATCATGATGACGATGGCGAGAATGAGGAATATGATGAGTTAGTAAAGAAGATCGAGTATGCAAGGTTGAGTCCGGAAGCTTTGAAAGTTGCGAGGAGGGAGCTTCAGCGGTTGAAGAGGATGAATCCTGTTCAAGCAGAGTACGGCATTTGTAGAACTTATTTGGAAACTTTGACAGAGGTAAGCAATATTTTCTTCTGCGAGTAGTTATTTCTTTCGTCGACTGGTATTCTCAACGCCAAAAACCGAAACCGGGGGTGAGGTGGAACGGATTGCTAGCTGTGTTGTGTGTCCTCGTCCTTTCATCACCATCGATCCTCGAATCACGGCCTACCTATCACGAATGTGACTAGTGGCTCTAGAGCCATAAACTGGCTTCTCAAAAAGCCATAGTTGCAATTCCTTTAGGCGTCTTATTTAGTCACGCTTATGTAGGCGTGACTTAGATAAAGACTATACCAAAACGGGAGAAATGCAACCTCAACTACATGTCACTCAAACTTCCAGTTAAAACCATTTTGTTTTTGTGTAAACAAGCTCCAGTTTTCAAAAACCTGAATGAATGATGCCGATATCCTTCTTTTCAATCAGGTTAATGAACTTGGGGCCGACTCGGTTTACACAAAGTCTCTATGGATATGCAATAGAGTGTTTTTTCTTCTTCTGTTGCTAATCTGTAACAATATATACAGATTCCCTGGACAATAACCACAAACGATCAACTAGATTCAACAACTCTAGCTAAAGCTCGAAAGCAGCTCGATGACGATCATTACGGTCTCGAGAAGATCAAAAAACGACTCCTTGAATACCTTGCTGTCCTCCGTCTCAAACGCCAAGTCAACGAAGCTGCCGATAAAGCATATGCAGCGGCCGATGCTGCTGAGGAAGAAGCAGGAAAAGAGGCCCTGAAAGCCAAAGCCCTTGGCTTGAAGCCTGCTCCTAAGCCTTCTGATGACGAGAACGCCAAGTCCGATGAAGATACTACCGTTATTAAATCAGATGAACAACCTATAACCAAACCTAAGCGAAAGCCGTTTGTTGACAAATCACCGATCCTCTTGCTCGCGGGTCCGCCGGGAACTGGTAAAACGAGTTTGGCTAAGAGTGTGGCAACTGCTCTCGGGAGGAAGTTTTACAGGATCAGTTTGGGGGGTGTCAGGGATGAAGCTGAGATTAGAGGTCATCGGAGGACCTATGTTGCTGCTATGCCGGGGTTAATTGTCAATGCTTTGAAGAAAGTTGGGGTTGCGAATCCTGTTATTCTTTTGGGTTAGTATTCCACCTTTCCCTTGCGTTTTGCATTTGCGGTGTAACGTCGATATAGGCGTTCGGGATATTTCTGATCCCGAGCGTATGGTAATATCGAGCACTGTTTGAAGATCCGGTTAAGTTCAAGTAACATTAACAATAATTTGGATCGTAAAGATGAAATCGATAAACTCGGGGGTGCTAACCACCACGGCGACCCGAGTGCGGCAATGTTGGAAGTGCTTGATCCGGAGCAAAACTGGAGCTTTACTGATCACTATATTAATATCCCTATTGATTTATCTAAAGTGGTATGTTTCCCGTTTTTTCCGCCCCTTGGTACAGGCGTCTCTTTCATCTTCCCATCTCCTTTACCCCGCTTTTCCGATCCGATCACACATGTCGAGAGAGATAGAGCGAGGTCTTGTGTCCCCTTTTCTCTCTGCAGTGTGGGTGTTGCTGCTCGGTTGCACGTGTTTTAAATAGGTTGTTTATTTGTGGCGGATGCTGGATTTAAATTCCCGTTTAATTTTCCGCACGCGAGCCGGGGAAAGGAGAAAAGAAGGGCGGAGAATATTATCTACCGCTTTGTTTCCTAGATATACCCTGTCGGCCCATTGCGTGCATATTTCCAGGATTAATCACGCCGGACAAACACGCGGGGGGAGACCCATTTTACCGTTCAATTTGCTACTGATCTTTAATGCCTTCTCACTCAATTATGCTGTGCATGAGTGGGAGGTGTTTGGGGGCTGCGGTTGTTAGTTGCGGGATAATATGCTAATTGGATGACTACTTTTAGCTTTTTATTGCCACAGCAAATTCGCTCGACACAATACCAGCGCCTCTTCTCGATCGTATGGAATTAATTCAGCTCAGCGGATACACGTCCCTTGAGAAAATGCACATTGCGTCACAATACTTGATTCCTAAGCAATTGACATCAAATGGTCTTAGTGAGGGCCAGGTTGAATTACCTGACGATGTCCTTGCTAAAATCATAACGTCGTACACTAGAGAATCCGGGGTCAGAAATCTGGAGAGGGAAATAGGGAGCGTGTGCCGTGCCAAAGCAGTCCAATATGCTGAGGCTAAAGACGCTGGCCAAGATGATTCGTACAACCCGAAAGTTGAGCTCTCAGAGCTCGAGGATATCCTAGGCATTGAGAAATATTACTCCGAACTTGCTGAGCGTAGCAATAAGCCTGGGATTGTTACAGGATTGGTTGCCTACAGCATCGGTGGTATCGGTTCAATCTTATTCATTGAAGCTGAGCATATGCCTGGTAACGGAAGACTGCAGCTTACAGGGAAGCTGGGCGATGTAATCAAAGGTTCGTCTGATGTTTTACAATATGTTCTTGTCTGTTACTACTGCTTCATTGAGGTCTTGTGTAGTTGATCTTGATTTACTTTGATTATGCGCTGACTGTGACTGATTATCCGCAGAGAGCGTCGAGGTTGCCCTAACCTGGGTGAAAGCGCATGCCTATGTTCTTGGCCTTACCCACCACCCAGACGAGGATCTTACGAAGAATAAAAATGTGCACGTGCATTGTCCTGCCGGCGCTGTGCCAAAGGTTGGGCTCTCCCTTCTTCCCTCGCTTGCGCTTATTGACTCGCAGCTTATCGAGTCTTCTGTTTTGCTGCTTGTGGGGGCTTCGTCAGCTGACTTTTAATTTCACCACTCTAGGATGGTCCGAGCGCAGGGGTCGCATTTACGATCGCCATGATATCCATGTTTTCTGGTCGACGAGTCTCCCCCACGCTTGCCATGACGGGCGAAGTGTCTTTACGGGGGAGAGTCACCGCGGTTGGTGAGTGAAACTTCTAGCATTATTCTATGGATCATCTTCGTTTTCATCTTTGTCATATCTATCCTCCCCCCTCTGTGCCTAAAGCCTGAGGATTAAGGAGATTATGATGGATGCGCATGTGGATATGAATTCTTAAGTCTATTGACTGAATAACTGAATATATGACTGACTCATCTCACGTTCCTAAACAGGTGGCATAAAAGAGAAATTGATCGGTGCGCTAAGTGCCGGTGTCAAAACGGTACTTCTGCCTGCGCATAATAGGAAGGAAGTACGTGAGCTACCTGAGGAGGTCAAGAGTGGGTTGGAGATAATTTACATCCGGTAAGCCAGTCATAACAATCTAAAAAGTTCTTCAGCGCCTGCAATGTCGCAACCGACAAGGAAAAAGGGAGAGAGAGAGAGAGATTCAACTTGCTGACCACAATTGTGTGATGTTGTGTAGGAGCCTATGGGAAGCGCTAAAATACGGTATGTGTTGAACGAATCTGTCCTTCCGCCACGAGTTCTTGATGATCTTGTTACTGACTTGGCTCGATTTGATCTCAGTCTGGCCTGAGTGGAGTGTCGGAGAAGACAACATGTCTTCGATTGAGAGCAGATTGTGATTATGACAACTAAATATCTAGTTGGTCATGTATTCTTAGTTTATGCAGCGTAATTTTTTCCTTTGAATTTGATGCTTGCAATTGGACCTCTATTTGCGAATTTTATTTATTTTTTCCTCTGGATATCCTCCTATTCGTACCTCACAGTGTGATCACAATTGTGTTACTGTCCTCATCCCTCCTGCGGGAGCTATTTTACCCGATATCAGTTGCAAGTCCTCCTACCTATTCACTTCATGTATCAATTACAGTTTCCATACTGCGAGGGTGTATCTTTTTTACACCGATCCCCCTCGTACCGCCTGATCTACCTTGCGCATTAGCGAGAACAAATATGCCCCCTTACACACAGCAGTCCCCTAGTAGCGTGTAGAGGACAAACTACTTGTACCTTCCCTGGCCCAACCATGTAACGTGTATGCTCGGAAGATTTCTTGGCCACGTTTTGTTCCCGCAAAGAAAAGTCTGGGGTTTCTATCTCAAATCCCTTGCAACCAACTCAACCTAGTATATATCATATCACCCTGTGCTATCAAGGCCTAGGCTGCGGTGTGCAAAGATCACTCTTGTTGCAAGCGTACGGCAATGAGAATATGATTCTCGGTCACACCAATTAAGATGTGGCCACGATAGACATTGCCGGTAGCCTGGCCTTTCCAACTTGATCTTTACACGCTTGACCGTAAATCTCATATGATTGCCAGCAACTCGTTTTTATTTTTTCTTCTTTCTGTTCCTCTCTCCCTTTCTCCCTGATCCCGTCCTCCGCTCTTTACAGCGAAGAAAGATAAATATGATTTTTTTTTTGTCTGGCTGCACGTACGTAAATATTATCATTGGGAAGGAAAAAAGACAATAAATGGGTCCGGGTTTTTAAGAACCTTTTCGACACATTCCGGTGGTAGCCACCTCATGGATAGAGGAAGGGGAGCGCGAGGGGAGTGTTCAAAAGTAATTCGAGCCGAGGAACCGATTGCGAAAAAAAGATCTTCGCACATATTCGTCGCGGCACAAGCTGGGTCTGTTTCAGTCTGTCCCTCTCCACAGTCCCCAATCTGTGAGTGAATTTTTATGAAATTTTCCTGTATGATTGGGGGGTGCCGGTGAACGGAAAACATCATAACGCAGAGGAAGGATCAGGGAGAGACAATAACATAACCCGGGGATTCCCCAGATCCTTCCCCGTGATGATCAGAGGTGAAAAAGGGTTCCTACCCTTTCCCCCTCCCTTCCGTCACCGCCGGCTCCCGCTCTGGTTTGTCTCTCGGTCTCCTTTTTTTATATATATATATATTTTTTTTGTTTCGATGGGAAACATTATTCTCTTTCATATGAGCAATAATATGGTTCAAGGGGGTGCCTTTTCTATTTTTTTTCCTTTCTTTTTTTCCCGCCTTTAGTTGACAGCAGACTAGATCCTGGATAATATGCCGCCAACTTCCGGGCCGCCCTGTGATCTCCAAGTCTCCGAGCGGCGGAGTTCCGGGAGTTGGGTGTGGAAATTTTGAGACCTCCGGGGTCCACATTTCCAAACATCACAAAGCCACACCGGGGGAGGGTAGAAACTTGGGCGAGTGGAATGACTGACTGATTGATGGTTAAGGCAATCCTTTGCTCTCTTTGTAATATAGGAAGTTTGAGTGTATTGGGTGGCTCCTAATGATGACGATACATATTCGGCGTGCAATGAGGGTGAATATTTTTACTTTTTTCGCGGATCAGGAGAGGAGACATGCTTCCTTCCGCCGAAGCAGGGGAGTCTAGGTAAGGTGTAGGTACCTACTCAGACGTGGTTGTGAAGTTGTGATATGTATGTAAGTCCATGTTCGTATGTAGCCAGCCATCATAAGCCAGTCAATATGTATGGTAACCTCCGCCACCACCCACCACCACCACCACCACAGCCCACCTTATTTACTCTGGAAATTCGATCTCGGATCGTGTGCTAGCGATAATGTAAGACATTTTTGTGTGTGGGTTGTATGTGCTGTGCGATAAATACCTATCAACTTGGACGACTGGACTGATATGTTGAGATGAAACCCTGAATTGGGCACACGGTACGTGACACGAAGGAGAACATGTATTGACAACGGGCGTGCTTGAGATACTGGCCCAGAGGGAATCTTCTTCCTCGTGCAGATGGTACACATGTACGTATGTCTAGATACCTGTATCTATTACTGTTGTCTGTACCTCCATAACCAGCCAACATATTGAAGTAAGGGGATGGTGAGTAAGTGAAGTGTAGGTGTCCGAACACCCCCGGGCAAAATATTTCACGGGGGAAGGTGGGAAATTCAATTCCCAACCCCAATTAGATGAGCCCTATGTTTAGTTTATCTTCTAGCCCAAAGAAGTGCATTCTGAGCAAGTTAAAAAAAAAAAAGATAACGAATCATAGTTGTCACTATCTCCCTGCCATCTCCATACACCAGTACTGGGGGGTGGTATCAATTCCCAGGACCCAGTTTTTTTTATTATTATTATTTTGCCCAGCTGAGCTGGGTAGCCACGAGACAGAGGAAGAGCAGCATGTAGAGCATGCAGTCGACGAAGGCGAGGAACCTAAAATGCACGAGGCTCAGATGTGGACTAGAACATCGGGCAAAAAGCCGCGGAGAAATTTTATTCCCAGATGAATTAATTAAGGGAAACCTTTTTTTTCTTTCTTTTCCTTTACTCCGCCGGCGGCTTAAGGGAACAAGAACCCCTACGGAGGGTGGGGTCTAGATGAACGGCGGCTTTTTTTCTTCTTCTTGGTGGCCATCAGGAAGGCTGCTATCTCTGCTTACATTCAAATTCCCTTGGCCATGGTATCTCTTTTGTTTCTTGTTTTTTTCTTTTCTTTTTCCTTCCCTTCTTTCTTCTCTTTAGGTGTTCGGGCTGATCATGCCACCTTTTTTTCCCTTTCCCCACACATGTCGCAATGGGGGAGGGGAGGATGCTGGGACGGGAACGGTTTCGGGTATTGATTGATGCGTAACCATCATTTTGTGTCTCCGAGAGATGTGCTGCCACCCAAAACCCAGAGCAAGCAGAGGTACGGTCCAGGGTAGCAAGGTAGGGGAGGAAGGAGGATCAAGACCTCACTAACATCCTACCCTACCCGTAATCTCTTGCTTCAAATAATTCCCCACTCTCAGGCCCTGCCCTATGTATGTAGGTACCTGTATGTAGAGTACCTACATACATACACATGTCCTATCCCTCGTCCTATCATAATCCCAAGCAGCGCTACTCTACCAGGGAAAGGGAAGTGCCAGCTGTTAACGCTATTGGAGGAGACTCGCTTTGCTTACTGACCGATACCTCAATTCCCTCTTATATTAGCTTTCTGGTGGTTTTCGGCTATATGAAGCGAACTCTGGTAGCGGGCTCGGAATAATTACTGGTTTACCTGAATACTATGTCCAGGTACGGTAAAGAGTAAAGAGGGAGAGGTGCAGTCTAAGTTACGGATCTTCACCTCAAAGGGTACTTGAATAACTTACATACCACATTCGTTCAAGATACGGTGCTAGTAAGACCTCAACCAACAGCAACATCAACGACCAACAGTTAACGTCCGTCCGTCCTTCGGAGCTTCAACGAAGTCTACCCAAGGAACTAAATCAAAGCCTAGGCTGATAAGCATGTGAATTTTCCGTCCCTCTTCATTGGGTTTCCCCAACCTAAGCTTGCCATGGGCAAACTGCGGGGCAAAGATGGATGGATGGATGGATGTGCATCGGTAGAGTACTCTAGTAGCAGCAGTAGTAGAAGGTTGAAAGGCACCAGTTGTCTGTCTTGTCGTCGGCAACGACCGACCGCGGTGTGGGATGTAGAGTGCCCTACTCTATCTAAATGTACCTAGGTACCTGCTCCACTCTACACCTTTCCCAGCCTAATGGTTATATAGCGGACTCTAACTTCATTGTAGTGCGTACATAGTACGCTGTACTAGTCACTTAGCGAAGGCCGGTAAGATTGACTACTCCAGAGCGGGAGCTTTAAAGCTTGAAACCACCTTATCCTTGCTCTCTTCCCCCCAATTGTGACCCACATGCTCAACCTCATAGGCGAACCCGCTGCGGTAGCGGTAGATACTAGAGGGGCCCCGCTGCCATACTTCCACTCCATGCTCTTTTTTCGTCCTGCAATTTTGAACCCTATAGAAAGAAAAAAGAAAAGAAAGTCGTTGACGGAAAAATAGGTACAAAAGCGTCCATAAAAACACGAGCGAATAAATTCCAGAAGCGGGTAAAATCATGAGAATTAAAGAATCTGATAGATGACATCCCCGAGAAGAGCCCCTTGCAGTTGGTTCGCAGCAGGTGCTCTACACCGCTGGTTCGCCTTTGAAAGGGTCCGTGAACAGTATTTTTCGAGGAACGAAGCAGTGCTCTCCTCTGGCAAGCAGCAGGGCACGAAAGACAAGGACAGGAAGCAATTGATCTTGCCTGATCCATACGAGTATCACAATTGACCTTTCGATATCATGTTTCTTTGTTTCTGCCGATACTCACACAGACACAGAAACACAGACGCGCGTATATATGACCCTTCGCGTGCTCGGATTATATCGTTCCGAAACTGGGGAAATGATCGACTGTTAATTAAGACTCTTTTCGATAATTTACACAGTTTAGCGAGAACTAGGAATTAAAGACTTTGAGTTCCTGCATAAATATATGAGCGATATGAGTGATATGATGATCATGGGTGAATACATGTAGGTAAATAAGAAGGGAAAATAAAGGTAAGGAAAAAAGGAAAGGGAGAAAAAAAAGAAAAAAAAGAAAGAAAAAAAAAAGAGACCGAGCCCTTGTTACTGGTATTCCGTATTGACTATGTACCAGTGTGTCGTAATGGAAATTCTCAGCTGAGACAGAACTTTGCCATTCATTTCACCCAGGATTAACCTGGGTCCGGGTTCGGTACCGAAAGAGTTTCGGGGAGAGGGCTTCGGAAACGATAGGCTCACGATTCCGATCCGAGAGCGCGTTGAAAGCGGAGCTATCACAGGAAAAGGGCATTTCGCCTGAGCTTTCGCCTGAGCTTTCGGCGTTAGGCTGGCTCTTCCCCGTTGCAGAGTAGAGCGGGCACATGAGGGCGCACATAAAGTCTCGGGGTGGAAGTCTTCTATTTCATCAAACCTCCGTAGCGCAACCTCTTGCCCGCGTATAGTCAAAAGCGCATACATGCCACGGCAAGAGGTAAGCGATCGGATATGATGATCGTCGCTGATATGATACTCTCATGTCGCTTCATATGGTTCACCCGTCCTCATCTCCTGCAGTGTTCGGTGTTATATACGGTTTTTATACGAAACTCTTGATTACATTGAGGTGCACTTGAAGTGAGAGGATGGGGTATGGTAAACTGTAAATGCGTTCTTTTCTAATGTCTCACATGTCAGATAGAAACTCGTAAAGCTTGGGTAGACGTATCCTTTTACATAAGCCTTCAATAAACCCTTGCTCAGTACGGAGTATTTACGTACATACATGTATGCAGTACTCTACACCCTACTTGAACCTCGGGTACCCTCACCACCACCCCGAGGTTGTTGGGTTATATTCATCTTTCTCTACGGCTCTGTCCGTAGTCCCGGCCGGCCGTGCTCTAATATGTCTAATATATAGCCACTCGGGATCTGTAGATGTCTTCCGAATGGGAGAATTGATAAGGCAAAAAGAGAGGTAGAAATATAAGCAGAGGAAGATGAAGGGGAATGAAGAAATGGGGAATTTGGGAAAGCGAATAGGGATCAAATGATCTACTAGGCTGGTCTTTTTCACTTTCCTTTTTCCCTTAATCCTCTCCTTCATGTTCTCCAAGCTTTTTTGCTCGACCACAGCCCGTTTTTGATGTTCTGCCGGTACGTTGAGGAAGATCCAACAAATGATAAGATCTGTCGCTACGAGTCACGACTTCTTAAAGACACACCAACACCGGGAATAAGTCCGTCCTGTTTCGGAATGTCAGATTCAGTCAGTAGCTGTGTGTCGTAGGGCTGTAGTAGCTTTGCCAATTCGTCACAACGACATCCCATCTCCCGCTGTTGCGTCTGTTTCCAATCGGGGACAACCTGACTGGGGCTAGAGACCTCCACTCTCCCCTCCCAAATATCATAATCTCATACCGTGGGTGAGCTGTGACCCTTTTGCAAATGCGCTCAGGGATCACCCGACTGGCAACGGAGAATTCATTCGGTGGTAGCGATGGTTGACAAGAAAAAAGCGATCGTCTATTCCGTCTGGCTAGTTTTGTTTGTTGGCTTAGTCTTGTTTCCTTTCTGGGGCATTCCTCATACTACCTACACTAACTACTACCCGTGGAGAGTATGTACCCAGACACAGTGAATCACTGACACTGACTGACTGAGCCCTGATCCTCCATTTTCCTTTCTTTTTCCTTCCTATTACGCCGGCCTTATTGTGCCAACTGTGTCGTCCGCTAATCTCTCAAGCCGTCGATCGTTGATTTGTTTTGTTTTCTCTGCCTGACTTCCGGCTCCAATAGCACACGCTAACTGTGTCATCCCACGCAGCCCGTTGCTACACTCATTCTGCTGAATCTCGATCCAGTTCGAAGGGGTATTCTTTCTTTTCTTCTGCTGATTCTTCTTCTGGTTCTTCTTCTCCTCCTCCTGCTCCTCCTGATCCCCCTGCTCCTCCTGATCCCCCTGCTCCTCCTCCCTCTATCATCCACATCCATTATCCTCAGCCCCCGTGTACATACTGGGCTAGTATCTTTTGTTTCGAGTACGTTTATTGTTTTGTGTTTGTTTTGTTTTCATACGATAACACCACACATTTCATGACATCTTGATTCGGGATTGATATCAGAGAAGATAGGTAGATAGAGGGAGGGGGGCAAGAAGTCTCATTAGCGGATATCAAATGTTCTAGGCACTCTTTGTAGGTAACACCGTAAAGTACTCACCTAGGCAAACAAGGTAGCCTGTAAGGTAGGGAGTAAACTACAAGGACGTTCCTCCAAGAGTTGGCGCCACTGCCTGAGTACATACTTGGTAGTAGTGTAGTGTAGTGTGATACATTTTGTTACATCCCCAAAGGGTGCACATATCAACAACAGGTATTGTACCATAGAGTCAAAGGAGGGTAAAGTAGAAGCCTGAACGATTTCTGCGCACACACACACACACACACACACATACAGACACACCGCACGCACACACGGGGTAGCTCCGACACGCAAAAATTAGCGTCCAACTGGTCGATAGATTTGCGGGGGGGCAATGATAGGCCAGGTTTAGGGTGAAGTCAATGAAGTGCAGCCGGGGACAGTGTCGGTTGCCTGCAGGTCTTGTCGCCAACGACCATCAACGAACAGCACGAAGAGAGAGAGGAGAGACCTAGAGAAAAAGAGCTACGTTGAGAGAGGCCGAGGGAGAAAACAGCCAGTGCTTATTACTTCGTTGTGGGTGCTGACAGGACTGATTGTGATGAGAACGCTTACCTACCTGCGTGCTGATTGAGGTAAGAGTGGTAGATGACGATAGAATCATATTGGGTATCCTTCGACTCTCCTCATCCTATGAACCACCATCCTATCTCATCGTGTCTGTCCTATCCTCATCCTGTTTTCTTTTCCCATTTTCTTTTCCCATTCGAATCGGTACCTCTTTGCTTCTAACATTATTGTTGTCCTCCTTTTCTCCCATTGATTGATTAGCTGGAGATCAGAGGACGTCAATTAATTGCAGCTCGCTCGTTAGCTTTCGAATTCCATTTCCCTGGTCCCATCACCACATCCTTTTCATCTTTCCCCCCCAGTCAATCCTTCTGCCCGACATACCTAGTCTCACACGTCCCTTCATCTATATTCCACCCTCCACCCCCCCCCCCCCCCACCTCTCGCACCCTCTCCACCCGCCCGCTTTGTTCCGTTGAACTGTAGGTAGGTAGTCCAGGACCTAGTTTTACTCTTGTTGCCTATTTCTTGAATCCTGACTACTGCGCCGTCGTTGCTATTGTGGTGGACAACTCGAATTATTCCTTACCTATCTACTCTACTACCTATCCCTTCTCGCACCCCCCCCCCCCCCCCAAAACCGCCAATCCCAAATCTCAAATCCCACCCCCATAAATTCTCCTTTTTAGGACCGTTTCTCGTCGGAGACTAAAAAAGCAACGCTAGACTTTTCATCTTCAAAGTCAATTTCAATTTTACGCGCCATCATCCTTCCATCCATCCATCCATCCTCCGCCACTACCTTATTACTACCGGCCCACTCCACCTATTCGAAATTTCTCTTTTTGTGTCTTGATAATCTTTTCCCTTTTCCCTTCGCATGTTAGGTATGTGTGTCGCTCCTGGTTTGTCCAGGCACGGTTGACTGAGATGCGGAGCGAAGGCGAACGTTATATGTATGCTCACATGTTCCTCATCAGACTCCACACCCTCCTGAGCCAAATCTCCCTGCTTTTCGCTACCGACTAAACCCGCACTCTGTTACATACGTTACCAACCAGCTTGTTGATCTCATCTCTTTTTCTCTTGCGTTCCATGCTGAGGTCTCTTACTGTACCCGTCGCCCTGTCACTCCTGCTTCTCGATTAGCATCAGAAACTGCCGTCTTTGAAATTTATTATTACGACCGTTTCCGTTCTCTGATCTGAGGGAGAGGGAAGGAAAAAAAAAAATAGGAAAGGGAAAGGGAAAGAAAAAGAAAAGAAAACAGAAAAAAAAAGTGAAGAAGGAAAAAAAAAAAGTACTTTCTTTCTATCTACTTACCTCCTACCTATATGCAAGCTCCCATGCAATCCTCTTCCCCCCGACCTCCACCGGTATATTCTTCGTTCGGAGAACGTCGATCCATATCACACGATTTAGCTAGGTTCTCTCTCGACCTGGGCCCGGCCCGCCCTGGAGCCTCACGACCAGCTCATACAGTGCCCTATCCTTCTCCGCCAATGTCGCATTCCCCTCCTCCCATCAATCCATTGTCTCCTAAGCAGCAGGATGCTCGACGAAGACCTTCTAACCCAGTAACTCTACCCTACGATACACAGGGCATGCAAGGGCGAGCTCAGGAACAGCTTGCTTACTCCCACGAACACCAGCACCATCTGCAAGGACCAGTCAGTGCGACAACAATCTCATCCTCAGAGAACGAAAAGTTTCCTGCGCCGTTTCCGTCCACTAACAATGGGGATAATTCGTATTCCCACCTGACACAAATCTCCGCAACAGCTCCGGGAAGCCAACGGTCACCATTTGCTACGCAGCCGTCATTCCTGCCACCACAACTTCCTAGACGAACAAAGTCGCATGTGGCCTCTGCATGCGTCAATTGCAAAAAGGCACATTTGGCCTGTGATGGTACGTTTGGGCATTTTCAATGAATATTTCTTTCTCCCCATTGGATCCCCCACCCAATTTTTATTCTATTTTCTTGTTTTGGCCAGAAATCTTGTGTTTCGCTGGGAGGAACATTTGGTATTTTTTTTCCGGACCCGGGGCCCCGGCGTGACCTACTTGCTTGTTGTGTTGCTCGCTGTCGCTTTCCGGCGAACTCTATTTTCTGGGGGAGTCTTGCCGTTTCAGGCACAGAGTGAAATTGAGATCGAGAGTGAGAGTTGCCCTCGGGATATCGGCGGTTACCCCATGTGTTCATCCGATAATTGAATTCAGGGGGGACTTTATCCGCTTGATTAATTATGCGGGATGGGAATTTCACTCATCTCTCTATCCCCGAATCTTTTTGTTCCGTTTCCCTAATTTCTTATCGGTCAGCGAGCCGCTATCTTCACGTTTCCCTGATTTTTAATTTCCCCCACCGATTTTACCTTGATTCCCCATTCTGGCTATCTGGCTGGCACGCGAGATGTGTCAGGGGTATTGGTCACTTGGCGTCACATGACTCGAGGTGCAGAACCTTAGCCGATGCTTGCTCCACTGCGTTGTTATGTAACGGTTTCGGTTTTGAGGGGTTGAGTGATACTTGGTGAAGATGCTAACCTGAGTGGAGCACTAGTTCGACGACCTTGCCCTCGATGTGTCAGTCTTGGCAAGCAGGTATGTGTCAAGTGTCCAATCTCGAGACGCAAAAAAAAGAGAGATATATGTGGGACTAACTGTGTTCTAGGACAGCTGTAGGGATGTACAACATAAGAAACGTGGTAGGCCAAGATTGCGGGATGAGAGAACTCACAGCTTCGAGGTCGGGCAAATTGGCTCAATACAATCCCACAGAGCGGAGACTGTTGTTTCACCTCTTTCATCGCCTACTGCGATTACGGCACCATATCGGACAGGTACTCATCGTGTGTTGAAATCGCAGTCAAATGACTCCCGATTCAGGAGAGCCTCTCTCACACCTCGTGAGGAAACATTAGGTGGCCAAAATGCGGGCTATTTCGATGACAGGCCATCCCCCATAACCCTAGGTTTAATTTACCGTCGCCGGTTCCAAATGCAATTGCATACCTCACGACTGATCTAGTTGTTGCAAAGTCGACACAAAGTGTGCATGAACTCCTTGGATATACCGCCGCTGAGTTGAACGGTGTTCGGAGTCTGTTTGATATTGTTCTTTCAAACGATAGGGATAAGTTATATCGTCTTTCCAGGAGGATACAGGAGGAGATGTCTGAGAGAGGACCAAATTACCTGCCGCCTTTATCATCCCATTCTGTTTACGCGGCCATCCAGAATGTTACTCAAAGTGACATACCATCTGCCATCCAGGGATCAAAGGATCTGCAGGAAACTCTGCATCTGCGTCATCCAGATGGACGCTATCTTCGTACTCGGGTCCAGATAAATCTTGCAAAGACAAGTGTTTTCTTTGTGGTTGTCGTTTTTTCTCTATCAACTGGCATCCCACCTCCACTTCAATTCAACAACCAACCAGCTCCATATCAAAACCAGGAACGAGTTTACACACCGGGCCACTCCATCCCCCGATTTCATCGCCACCATTCGTGGGTCCCTCACAACAGCGGCTTCAAGGCGAGCCTTCAGGCCCACAATCGCCGTACTCGCTCCATCCGCACATGGCCCTGCGCTCACCAATCGATTCACGCCCAAGAACGATGCAATCCGATTTCCCTTCTCTAGCCCAGTACGCCAACGCTTCTGCACCATCTCCAGGGTTCCCTCCTGTCCGGCGACCAGTTTCTCCAGTCTCAACAGGAACTGTATATGAGAATTCGGAGCCCCCAATTAATCTTCAACTGCCACCCTTACAGCTGAAAAGAGTGGAGTCGAATGGGAATGATTGGGATAGGAATCATTTGAATTCCTCAAGCGATAGACGACAATCGGACAGCAGCACACCAAGACGTGAACGGATAGATGTCCATGAGATGCTAGAATGACATTTCATTTCAGACCGCGGTCTCTCAAAGATATTAGTACCGACTGGTCTTCGTTCTGAGTTTTTATTTTTTTCAATTTTTGTCAATCTGGGAAAGGCGCTTAGTGGGTTGTGGTGTTGATATTGTGGCTTTTGGGGTGGGTTTATTAACTTTGGTTGGGAATATTGGGGAAATAGTAGGTGGGCGCTGGGTTTGTGTTGGTTCCTGGGTGAATTGCCTGGGACCGAGAGGAAACAAGGAGAAAGAAGTAGGAAACGAGAACCTACCGGTACGGGAAGAGGTGGATCTTTGCATGGGGTCAGCAGTCACTGACTGAGTTTTCCTTCCCGGGACGCATGCCTACTTTGTCAGCCCCATCCAATCTACGCACGCGGGAGAAATGCCCGAATGGAACTGCGACCGGGAGCACCAAGAGATGAATCTTACAGCGTGACTGGTTGGTGTTGGACATTATTACCAGCCGTAGTAATAAGTCCAGACGAACGAAAACGGGTGCGGTAATAATAGGATATTCGGGACGTGAGCCAGCCTGTCAACCTTGAAAAAGCAACCGGGGAGCAAGGAGATCCCATGCACATATATTTCGACCACAAATGCGTTTCTTCGGAAAGGAGAGAGGGCAGAGGGAAATCATGCGATTGGTGGTAATAGCGGACGGATAGGATCCTGAATATTGTACGATTATAGCGGGAGTTGCTGTTATCGTTTTTGTTCTTTTTCTTTTCTCTGATTTAGTTTTCTCTTGATGTGTTTATTTCCTATTTCACTAGGTCGTTAACCTACAATGGGAATCGGCGATAAAGGGGTTGGGGGTACAAAAGGGAGTGTTAATGGCGAGAGAGAGGGAGGGGTATGATATCGAGGGTACTTTTTTTCTTCGTGTTAAATTATTTCAAGGATTTCCTCAGTTTTACCCAAGTCTTGTATGTTACCGCCAGTTGGCTGAGATTCAACTTTATGGACTGGCTATTATGGGGGTTTAAGGTTATTGTTTCCTTCCATTTTTCTTTCTTTCTTTCTCTTTGTTGGGTTTCTTCTTCTTGTACTTCTTTAAATGGACTTGAATATTTCTCTATCTCTTACCTTTTTTTCCTCTTTCTCGATTTCAAGCATATATGCATCTACTTTCTCATTCTTTCTCCTTTTTCTTTAATCACATTCGCTTCTTTTCTAGTTCTCTTCCTTCTGGGTTGTCTGTATGTATTGTTCTACCGCGCGATGTTGTTGGTAGGTTGTAGGATAAAGGGTGGGGGCGTGGTGGTTCTTGGTACTGGTTCTTGCCATCTGCATGATCGATGCGCAGCCCAGCTTTTTCTTCTTTTTTTGGCTCTTCTTCTTCTGCTTCTTCACAGGGTGAAGACATCTCCTAGGGAATTGGAATACTGGAGTTTTGAATTTTGACACCTTGTGCTTTTTCTCGATCAGTGACGGGGAGGGATCGAATGCTTAAGCTTAAGCATAATTAGGTGCTGGCTAGCTAGCTGGTAGCTATCGTGATTGTCGGGCGCCTGACTGTGTATGTGTATGTGGTAGAGTAAGAAGTAGGGTATGTGGTCGTCACCCGGCCGGCAGTGCGCAGCCTTATTTGGGTCGGCGTAATAAGGACAGTTGCTAAGTTATGTGTTTTCATGTTGTAGTAGCCTCCTACGTATGCAGTACCTAAGGTTGGGGATTATTATTGTCCGGTCCAATAGCATGATGGCTTGACATTGCATACAGAGTGACCCTACGTAAGATGTAGCTACTCTAGATGAGATGGGATGCAGGATGTCCGATGGAGTAGATGAATGGATGGATAGACACATGTTGATACAGCATCTGGTTCAAGTACGTCTTGCATGGTATACAATACGTATATATATGGTCTGATGTCTAATAGCTCTAATGATAGTTTCAGCTGCTGATAAAATGGACAACTGTGCACCCCCCTTGCTTGCTTGCTCATGTTATTGCGATGACATTGGATATGGCGGTTTATTTAAGCTTATTCTAGAGTTGTGATGATGATGAGAAGAGGAGCGGTAGTTTACTTGGGGGGGTTCCCCGCGCACTCATGATATGGCCCGCGCCGCCGCCGCCGACTCTAACTATTGTCTGAAGCGAGAAAGAGAGATGAGAAATAAAAAGGAAAGAGAATACAGGAAGAAGAATACCACGGAAACCCGAACCAGCACGCACAGCAGCAAGAGAGAGCCCAACCAAACCAAAAGACAAAGAAAGAGCGAAAAAAAGCACAAAAGAAGAAGAAACAACCATTACCCCCCATATCCACCCCCTCTTTCCCCGCCAAACTACCCGATCGGCGCCATCTTCTTCTTCTTCTTAGACCTCTCCTTCTCCCCCTTCGTTTTAAAATCCCTCCAGCTATTGATCCTCTGATCCCTCGTCTCCTCCCACGCAACCTCACTCTCCCTCTTCCTTTTTCGCGCATCCATCTCCTCCTCCACCTTTCGCTTCTCGCGGCCCTCCTCGGCCATCTGTGCCTTGAGCTGCTTGCGCTTGCGCAGCTCATTGTCGATCAGCACATGCTTGGTCTTCTCGCGCCACTCGACGGCAAACTCGTCTGTGACGAGCTCCGGGTTGTCGACGGTCCACTTCTTCTCGCGGATCAGCAGCATGCGCGCGTCGGCGATGGCCTCATCCAGCCGCTCGCGCAGCTTCTCGTCCATCAGTACGTCCTGCGCCTTCTTGAGCCGGTCAAAGGCGTCGGGCGCCTGCGGGTTGGACGTCTTGTCCGGATGGATCAGCAGCGAGATGCGCCGGTATTGCGCTTTGATGTCGGATTCGGGCACGCCGGGCTTGAGGTCGAGAATGGCATAGCTGTTGTGGGGCCGGGGGGATGGGTTCGTTAGTTTTCTCTCTGGTGTCGGAGGAGGAGCGTTGTAGTGAGGGAGGGGGAAAGAGGGGGGGGGGGGTAGGAGAGGGGGTTCTTACGCGTCGAGTTTGAAGGCATTTAGGATTCCTGTGGGTGTAACTCTTGTCAGTACTTGCGCTCCAAAGCACTGCTGCAAATGGCCGGTAGGGGGGAGGGAAGTTGGGGGGGCATACGAGATATCTCTGCGTCCTGTTCACCAGCAGCATTAGCAATCCGAACTTATGAAAAGAGGGGCAGAACCTCCTATTCTTCCACCCCTTCTTCCCCGCTGCAATCAGTCACCGCGGGGGAGGAGAGGGGGGGGGGGGGGGAGGGGCGGTATGCTACATACCTTCAAGTATTCAGAAGCCTCCTTATCGAGAGCTGCTAGCACATCTTTATCCTCGTTATCGTCGGCCATGGCTCCTCCTCAGGTGTTTATGCGGTGGTCTATTAGTGGATTACGGGAGGGGAAGCTGGCGCAAATTGTGAATTATGGGGGGGGGGGGGGGAGAACTGAACGTCTCAGCGCGTATGGTCCTCTTGGGTTTAAAGCTCCCGATATCACTTACCGGGTTTCGATTTCCCTCGTAGTCGAATTTGTGATTAGTAAGCAAACAGGTTTTAACTGGACTGCAAGTGTGCTGACAATAACCCTAACCCTGTGAGCATTATTACTGTGTGTATATAGTATAGCCAGCTGGTGTGTGTGGGGGTCAGTTGAATTTGGTGAAGACAAATCAGAAAAAATAATAAGAAACAATGTGTGGTTGGAACAGTGTTTCTGTTTCGGAGGAATTGACCCGTGAAACATCTCATATCGACTTTTCTACGGATGGAATTGAAGCTGTTGCTTCAGATGAGCTGTTTCCTATTTCTGACACTCTTTTTTTTTCGTTGTGCGCACTGCTGGCGCTGCTGCAGGTACGGTATGCGTGTTGCAGGTGCAACTGCAGTTGCAGGTTTGGAGTGCATGAACGAAACAGAAACACAGAATCAGAAATCAGAAACAGAAACATAAAAAAAATGTTCCATTGTGTTTCTTGTAACACTGTGACCTGCAGGATCAGGACCCAGGCTCGGATTAGGATATAGTAGATATGTACATTCATGTATGTTGTAGGTAGTACTCGGGGCGATAGGGCAGGATCGTGCGACAGTGAGAATCTGTGATCTCCGCAAACTTTATATTTTCCCAGGATCGAGCATTTGTGTGTGGGACCCGCAAAGCAATGGCGTGTGTGTGGGTGGGTGCGGAACCTGGTGAGACAGACAGACAAAACGGTAATTGAGCACGTGTGTGGGTTGCTATGATGATGATGATAATGATGATGTGCTCTGCTCTACGAATACACTGTGGGTATGGCCCCGATGCGGTCCAGATGGATGAGCGGTGAGGAGGAGGAGGAGGAGGAGGAGGAGGAGGGAGTGAATTGGCGGTAGGTAGGTGTTGGAGCGAGGTTGAATTGAGAATCCGGTTGAAAAAGTGGAACAGCGATGATGCAGGTGGATACTTGACTGTGTTAATCGATTCGAAATTCGGGAGGGAATATCGGGCGGAGGTTGCTGGGGGGCGCCGATCTAATTATCGCGAGAGGTGTTTCAGTTGTCGGCCGGTCTGGCTGTGCAGAATACATGTCTGCCCTATGTGCTACACTAAAGTCTACATGTAAATCCCCCAGGGGGGAATTCTCTCAAATCGTAATAGGGTATATTAGCACTGTCTTGCGCATGTGGGGCTCAAGCTCGAGCTTGTATGTACAAGGTCTGAGACCGAGTGGATACAGGAGGAGGAAGAGGACGAAGCAAACTCCACTCCGCTGCCAAGGAAGAGCTACATCATGTCGCTAGGTAGAATCCGTACCTGACTGGCCGTTGTTGTCACGTCTGAGCTCAGCACGGTGTCAAGCTGTCGGTCAGTAAAGCAGAGCTTATCTTATCGTGTGGTTGCCTTGGGGCGCGCGCACAAGCAAAATCCAGTGCCCGAGTGACATGCCATGATGCTCCAGTGCTAGCGTTGCGACGTCGCTAGCACAAAAGAGAGGTTACTACATCTGGCAGTAACAGGCTTATCCCCTTGCCCTCCGTCGACCAATCAACCGTGGCCTTTGTCACAGATCTCTGTCCCTGTTTAGGTCGGATCCACCTGTAACCTGTTCTGTACCGAATGACAGTGCTCCCGCGATATTTGGTACTGCAATGTGTGCTGGGGAATTAATAATCAATAAATCAAACAAAAGAGCTCGCGTGGGGGGGAAAACGTTTGGTTTGGTTCATGGATAATCACTCGTGGGAACTAAAGTGGATTCTGGTAATGGATTTCACTTTAAGCTTTGGCTTGGTGTTTGTGGACAGGTGTGTTGATCATCGTGCAAACAGCTGGTACTCACTTAACTTGCCTGAACTCGCACGTATGCTGCTGCAAAGAATTCAATTACACCACAGTCTGAGCCTCCTCCCACATTAACCAGCTGCCCTCCCTACCATTCTTTCAAAACGACATACTTACAACTCCCCACCCCCAACAGGGCCTCCACAATATCTTTCAAGTCAACTCTAGCATCTACATAAAACACACTTCAGATTCTCCACCCCCAACCACTCCTCCCCAAGAACAGAAACAAGAAGAAACATAAGAAACTTTTATAAAACCCCACCAACAACAACATGTGCATCCCCAACAAGATCCACTACTGCTGCGGGCACGAAATGACCGCCTACTCCGCAAACTCCAGCGAGTGCAACTACAAGATCCACACCGAAGCGGTCGACGAAACGACGCACCGCTGGCCCGACAACATCTGCCCGGAGTGCTCCGAGCGGCCCTTCTCCGTCATCGGCGAGAAGCCCGAGATTGTGGAGTGGCTGCAGGGCGTGGTGAAGCACGAGGTGTACAAGAGGCAGCGGGAGGATCAGCAGGAGTCCGGGGTGGAGCGGAGGGGCAGGGGAACGATGACGACGACGACGACGACGACGAGTAATACGGTGGCGACGGCGGCGGCGGCGGCGATGCCGAGGCAGGCGCGCAGGAATAGGAGCCCGTCGAAGGAGCGGAAGAAGAAGTATGAGAGGGGGAATGTGTTTGAGCGGGCGGGCGGTTGAAGGGTGAGCTATTAGGGGTGGATTTATGCGTGTGTGTGTGTGTGGTTCACCGGTGATCGGGCTGGCTAGGTGGGTTGGATAGTCGTCCGCGTGCGTGCTTTTTTTTATATCAAAAACTAGATCGTCTGCTAGCTGCTGCAGCATATCGAGTTACAGATGCGGCGATTAGGAAGCGTTAAGGGATAACTATTCTTTTAGCGGAAGGATGGAGTTTTTCTTTCCTTTTTCCCGTGCGTTTCGGTCGGTCCGAGCAGTTGGGCTTGACTAGTTTGTGCGGTACGTGGTAGAAACGATAGCCAGAACTATGAAATATATGCATATTGAACTTTGAAGACTACGTGAGACTCCATAACGGTGAAAAATCTAGCTGCAAAGCTACATTATGGGTTCGTAGTCAACAGCCAGTATCCGCAACTGTATAGGAACCCAGTTGCACAAGCTTGAAAGTTAGTTCTAGCTTTAAGTGTGTGTGTTTCATGTTCTTACTCTCTACTAGCTTGCCATAGGATTGCGGGTAGATATGTAAATAGTATGTAGAGTTCTTAGCTACATATAGATCCGTTACGTCAAATATCGATAGGTTGATCTATAGTATCTAGTGTAGAAAAAAGTTTATTGCCCTCGTGTTTGCCCTCTTCTTGGTGCTTCTTTTTGGGGGATGGGAGCCTATAACATGTACAATGATCGATTGGAAATCACGTTACGTAGTATTCAAAAAGGTTTTGGGGAGATTTGGTTTTTGCTTTTTCTATATACAGCTAGGCTGATCCGGTCACTGATTGGATGGCGATATTGGCATGGGGGATTGGGAATATGGATGGCTGCTATTACTCCCTGTCTGTGGTGAGTGGTTTACAAGCGTGTGGATTTATTAGTGTGACGGGGCCACGAGAGTCTAGTAGTGACGTTAGTTCTACATGAGTATAATTGGCTCGTGCCCGCCTCCATCCGTGCTGGAAATGATCAGGTTACCGGTTTACGATAAAGTGATCCACAACTTCTACATGTAGATCTATATGCTCTAATAACTCCCGGAAACCAATAAATAAGTGTTCTTCCTCTCGAGCTATTAGACAACCTAATGTATCAAATTAATGCCCAACGACGAACGCTTGGATATCCTATCTATCTACATATCTATATACAAATACTACCCCACACCCCCCATGGCGGGAATCACGACTCCTCCTCCTTCTCCACATTCCTCTTGATCCACTGCTGCGCCCCCAACACGCCGCCGACCCCATGCTCGGCCCTGTCCTCCTCGCCCTCGATGTAGACGTCGTCGTCCATGCTCCACCTCTTGAGTGGCAGCGCAGAGAGCCCCGTTTGCCAGCCGGCGCGGTAGAGCTCGAGACCAGCCCAGGCGATCATGGCGGCGTTGTCGGTGCAGTACTTCATTGGGGGACTACGATCTTGATGTGTTGGTAGCCTTTGCTGGTGAGGTATATCCGCAATCTGCCTCCCCCCACAACCACATTAGCCATATCAACTACTACTAGAGAAAGGGAGGGAAGAGGGGGACAACTCACACATGTCTGAAAAACAGATTCGCCGCCACCCCCCCACTCACCACCACCGTCCCCACCCCCCTCCTCTCCCCCTCCCCCATCGCCTCCAACCCCAGCACCAGCCGCGCAGCAACATGCTCAAACGCCAACACCATCACCTTCCTCCCCAGCGCCCTCCTCTCCCCCTCCCCAATCTCTACACCCCCCAACTCCTTCTTCCGCCGCTTCAAACACCGCTCAACACTGCTCCCCAGCCCGCTAAAGCTATACTCTAGCCGCCGCATCGCCGGCCCCGTCTTTGACAGCGGCGCCGACAGCTCCCAGCCATACTCTTCCGCCTCCGCCTTGTCCTCTGCGGCCCGCGCCTTGCCGCCGGGAAGCGTATACCGGTATCCGTACCGGCACTCGCTGCCCTCGCGCGCGGGGAAGCAGAAGTCTTCGAGGGCAGCGCCGTAGGCGACGCTGTTGCCGTGGGTGGCGAGGACATTGGCGGGCACGAGTCGGCGGGCGCATTTGTCGAGCATGTCGCCGAGTGCAATGTCGATCGTGTCGACGAGGACGTTGTGCGAGGTGAGGGAGCGGCTGTGAACGACTTGGGTGTGACCGCCGGAGACGAGGAGCGTGAGGAAGGGGAATTGGGGGGCTTCGGTGGGGGTGGGTTGTTGGATTATTTGGTTTTTTTTGAGGGGGGTGGTGATTTCGAGGATGGGTTCGAGGGTGGAGGTGGAGGTGGAGGTGGAGGTGGAGGTGGAGGCCGCAATGGGGCTTTCGGGGGCGGGGGCGGGGGCGGGTGAGGAGGGCGTGGAGACTACCTGGGTGCTCTCGGTGGTGGCGGTGGACTCTTCAGCGCTCTCGGGGGCTACATCACCCGCACCCGCACCCGCACCCGCACCCTCCCCCCTCTCCGCCGCCGCCCTCTCCACCGCCGCTGCATTTAGCGCCACCACAAGCCTCGGCGTCAGCGTATGCGCCAACATATGATTCACACCCACCAGCGGCACGCCCCACGCCACAGCCAACCCCTTCGCCGTATCCAGCCCGATCGACAGCGCCGTCGGCATGCCCGGCCCCCGCGTCACGGCCACAAAGTCGGGCTTCTTGTGGCCGAGCTGTGCGATGACGGCCGCGAGGAGGGGCGCGAGGTGCGTGGCGTGCGAGACGGTCGAGACGAGCGGGTGGATGCCGCCGTAGATGCGGTTGGGGGAGGTGACGGTTTGGTGGGCGAGGAGGGTGGCGGTGTGCGGGGTGGGGGAGGTGAGGAGGGCGATGGAGGTGTCGTCGCTGTGGTGGGTGGGTTAGTGAGAGGAGGAGGGGAGGGGGGGGGGAGGGGGGGGGTACCAGGAGGTTTCGATGGCGAGGACGGTGAGGAGGCGGCGCTGGGGGGGGAGAGGGCGGCGGAGGGTGTAGGTAGGGGGAAGGCGGAGGAGGGGGAGAGGGAGGCGGGGCGGCATTGTGGTTGTGAGCGGAGGGGGGTAATGATTGTGGGGGTAATGATTGGGCGGTAATGATTGTGGCGGTAATGATTGTATGGCGGGATTTCTGTGGTGTTTGTCTGCAGGGTTGCGAACAAGCCTTTTTGGAGCCGCGCCAAGCAGGGCTAGCTACACGCCCAGTCACAGGTCATCACTCGCACGCAACACACACACAAGGTACATAGTCATGCAATCATTTCCATCAACAACCTATCCATCTACCAACACTCTAAAAAAACAATAAAAGAATGAAAAACTCCCAACTATCTAAACATCCCCCACCAAATTCCCCAAATCCAGCCTCATCAGCAACCTATCAATCTTTCCCCCCTCCCTCTCCGCCTCCCCCTCCCCTGCCCCCGCCACCCCCGCCGCGAAGAAATCCCGCTCCTCATCCATCGTCTGCAGCCTGGCCACCAGCCGCCCAGCAGCGTCCTCACGTCGCCGCACAGCCTCACCGCGAAGCCCTCCGCGCCCTCGCCCTCCACCTCGCGCTTCAGGTCCGCGCTCTCGTGCCGGCGGAGCAGCGCCTCGATGGCCGACGCGAGCCCGTCGCACGCGATGAGGAAGCGCTTGAGCAGCGGCGCGAAGACGCCGTCGGCGAGGAAGAGCCCGCGCCGCAGGCGCATGAGGTAGAGTTGGTGGGCGCGCATGAGGGATTCGGGGTCTTGCTGCTTCTTGGTGGTGTCGGTGTGGGGGGTTTCTTTCTCCACTGCCGCTGCCGCTGCGCTGCCACTGTCCATCCAGATATCATGCTCCGCCATCTCCACATCGTCATCCTCCTCCTCGTCCTCCGCAACAGGCCCATCCTCAACGCCGTCCCCAAGCACCACCAACAGCCTCCCAAACTCACCCGCGATCACCTCCCCCTGCCAATACTCCACCACAGTCTCCAGAAAAAACACCGCCAGGCTCGCCGTCGCCCACACCCCCCTCTCGGCCCTCTCCCTCCTCTTTAGCACCGCGCGCATCGCCCCGACCGCCCTCACCGGCCGCCGGCTCCGCCACAGCCCCTGCAGCCGCAGCTGCGTCTTGCGCACAGAAACAAGATACGCAAACAGCCCATCATACACCTCCAGATCCCCCGCCTGCAGAAACAGCTCCAGCGGCCACGTCAGGTGGAAGTTCAGCGCCACCCCCACGCCCACCAGATGGCTCTTGAAGCTGTCCGCCGTCCCGCTGCTGCCCCCCGCGGCGGAAAGAGAGAGATACAGCAGGTCCCGCGCGGTATCTAGCCGCTCGTCCACCGCCTCCTCGCCCACCAGACCCGCGAGCACCCCCCATGTGCGTGTTAAGATGGCGGACACCTCGCCCTCTTTGACGACCATGCTGGGCGCGGGGGCGGCTGCGCGCCGCCACCGGTTGCGCACGCCCTCGCTGCTCTGGTGGATCAGTGCCACGGCGAACTCGCCGCGGCCGAGGAGGAAGAACTCGCGTAGCACGTGGACGATGTCGATGATGCGCGCGGCGGGGAGGAGGGTTTGGAGTGTGTGCCGGCTGAGCGAGAGGCGGATGGCGGCGATGGAGGTGTGCAGCGTGTGGGGGTTGAGCGGGGAGGTGAGGGCACGCAGGTGTGCGAGGTGGCTGGGGAGGAGGGACATCTCCGGGGATGCGGTGGTGGCGGTGGTTGTAGTGGCGGTGGTGTCGGCGGTGGTGCCGCGCAGGCGGATGATGGAGAGGGCGCGGCCAATGAACAGGATCGAGGACGCAGTCTCGGGGCGGAGGAAGCCCGGCAGGTGCGTGGGCTTAAGGGTATACTCCTTCAGCGCCCCTGCGGCGGCAGCGCCCCCAGCACCGTCTTCATCCGCCGCTGCCGCGTCGGCCTGCTGCTGTGCCCCGGCGTCGCTCTCGGCGATGAAGAAGTCTGCGCCGGCGCCCCACGCGCTCGTCGGCAGACGCCCATACAGCACCCACGACGCCACCTCGCGCAGCCACGCCGTCTCGGCCACCTTCAGCAGGTGCAGCGCCACGGCCTCCAGCGTGGGGAAGCCCGTGTGGATGTCGGCGCGCAGGCGGTCAATGATGGTTGCGCCATTGAGGCGCTTGGATAGGACTGTGGTTGTCAGCCCGTGGAGGTAGTGCAGCGTGCGCTCCCACCCCTCGAAGCCGCTGAGAACCTTGGCGAGGGAGACGATGTCGTATGTGCCCGAGGTGTTGTGGTGCGCGAGGATGCTGCGCTCGACGGTGAGGATCTGCGTGCGGAAGGCGTGGAGGTGGTGGGTTTCGATGCCGCTGGCGACGGCGCGGGCGATGGTGCTTGGGTGTGTGCTGGTGATCTTGGTGCAGGAGATGCGGAGGGCGATGTGCAGGTGGCCTAGTGAGGAGAGGGAGGTTAGGATTGCTCTGGAGAGGTCGGGGGCGCGCGGGGGAGTGGGGGTTAGTGAGTGATATGCTATGAAGGGGGAGGAGACTAGCTAGTAGCTAGCACTAGACTGGGGAGAGATGTGGGGGGTACCTTTCTGACGGCGAGACGAGGGGGAAGTCGGGTGGGAGGCCGTCGGGGGTCAGGATGGGCGAGGTGTGCCCAGAGAGGAGCAGAAACAGTTCGTGCAGCATTGTGGGAGTGGGGAGATGAGGTTGGTCGTGATATTGGGTGGAGGTTTGGGCCAATTGGAGAGACGCGTTGAGTGCTCAGGGCTAGGGGTGTGTGTAGGGTGTGTGGGTTAGGGTTGTGGTGCTGTGTGATGTCCACGGAGAACAAAGAACTGTAAGCACAGCTTTTGGGGGAGGGGGGGGCGAGTGCAGCGGTGAGGTGAGGTGAGGGGCTTGCATGGCGAGAGCTGCAGGAACAAGGTCTCTGTCTCCTGTGTGATAATTGATATGCCTGGTGGGATTGCTCTCTTACTCTACTATTACCACTGCTAGCTAGCTGTCTAAAAAAGTGTGCATTCGATCATTGGATGAGGGGTAATGATTGGAATGCGAACCAACCCGGCAGAGTGATGGGAACTCAACTCTCGACTCGATTACTCTACACACCCAACACTGCACCACCACCAATTACTAATCCCCCCCGTTTTCATATCCAAATGCTCAATCATCCCTCTGCATGGCTGTTGTAAAACTTACTTAATAACGCCCATCAATCCCCCATCATCACATCTCATATCATGACAAGCCGCATCCACGCACTTACAAACCGCCGCGCTGCCCCCGTCGGCGGGCATTACCAATGCTTGTGGCCCATTACAAATCAGTGCACTAGCTAGAATGATCCCTACCCTACCCACCATGCACTAAAGAGGATTAAGCTACATGCCGGCCCCCAATTACATCATTGGCCCTGCCAGTACTGAGATGGATAGATAGTAATTAACATTCCTCCCACCCCGCATTCCACCCACTTGGATTGTGGATATAAGATGGCCGTCAGAGCATCGCTGTTCTCACCACTGCTGCTCACTACCTTCCGTCTCGTTTCTCGTCCTACGCATATACGGCCACTGCAAGTACAGCTACAGCTACGACGAACACAGCACACAAAGTATCGACAGCTCTCAATCATGACTGTATACCCCCCCCTCTTACCCTGGGTCTCTACACCCCATAGTTCATAGAACTAACAACTAGGACTTGCAGACTAAATTGACGGACTGGGCCGACAAAGCAACCGGCGAATTCAACCGCAAGCCCGTATTACCCCCCCCCCCTCTCGATCCCACCCACCCTCCCTCCATCCCTACCATTACTCCCCATACCACAGAAAGCTAACAGCCAGTCCGAAATGCAAAGTCCGTCTTCAGAAACTTCGTCTCCCGCGACCCCGGCGCGCAGTTCCCGCCCGAGAAGAACCGCTACCACCTCTTCGTCAGCTATGCCTGTCCCTGGGGTTCGTCTACTCCAATTCACTACTCCACGTACACCGCGGGGGATTGAATTTTAATTGATGCTAACTACGCTCACACGCTACATACAGCCCACCGCACCCTCATCGTCCGCCAGCTCAAGGGCCTCGAGGACGTCATCAGCTTCTCCACCGTGCACTGGCACATGAAGCAAGGCGGTATCTTCCCCCCCCCCCTTCTCCTCCCTCCCACCACTAACACCCGCGCTCCGCAGGCTGGCATTTCGCCACCCCCGACGAAGCCAGCGCAGAGATGGCCACCGCGCCCGAACCCGTGGTAGGCGCCTCCTTCCTGCGCGACATCTACCACCGCGTCAACCCGGACTACAGCGGCCGCTACACCGTGCCCGTGCTGTGGGACACGAAGAACAACGCCATCGTCAGCAACGAGAGCAGCGAGATCATACGCATGTTTTATGAGGAGTTTGACGAGTTTGTGTCTGAGGACAAGAAGGGGGGGTGGCTGCTGCCAGAGGCGAAGAGGGCGGAGATTGATGCGATGAACGAGTGGGTGTACGACACGGTGAACAACGGGGTGTACAAAGCGGGCTTTGCGACGTCGCAGGGGGCGTATGAAAGTGCGGTGGGGGCGCTGTTTGAGTCGTTGGGGCGCCTGGAGGGGATCCTTGCGGGATCGGGGGGGAGGTATTTGTTGGGGAGTGAGATGACGGAGGTGGATGTGAGGCTGTTTACGACGGTTGTGAGGTTTGATCCGGTGTATGTGCAGCATTTTAAGTGTAATGTCGGCATGATTAGACATGAGTATGTTGCCCCCCCCGGGGCTTTTTGGGAAATGTGGGAGCTGGGAACTGATGGTGTGTAAGTTATCCGGCGATTCATAAGTGGCTAAGACACTTGTATTGGGATATTCCGGCGTTTAAGGATACGACGAACTTTGAGCATATCAAGAAGGTGGGTTTTTTGTGTTTCTCTCTCTCCCTCACTCTCTCTCTGTGTGGTTTATATGCTGATGGTCTGGGTACTGGTGTAGCATTATACGAAGTCGCACACGCAGATCAACCCCCATAGCATCACGCCCGTGGGGCCGCTGCCGGATATAGTGCCAAAGGATAAGGAGTAGAGTAGTCGTGCATGGTGTATCACTCGACCCGGGAGGGTTCGTTGTATGTGGTAACTGGTTCTAGCTAGTTGCGGAGTCGGGAAGGAACTATGGATTGGCTGGCTGAGTAATTCAATAAATTATACTGAAAGTGTGTGCGTAGTAGTCGGTGGTGAAGTAATGGGTAAGGAGAGAAATGTTTCCGATACTAGTAAACTGTAGTGGCGGCAGTGAGGTAGATGGGCTTGTCGAGTAGCGCTAGGCAGTGCCATACATGAAACTCAAAGAGATACATACATCAATACTGGTCTTTCTCTGCTGGTGAATCTAAAAGTAAGTAGATACAAGCACTATCAAGTGACATTGATGTGTAAGTAGAGCCTGCAACCTGGATCAGGGTCAAAAGCGCCACTTTAAGTGTGAAGGTTCGATATCCTAGCGGGAGGAAGCAGCGAGGTCTTAGGTAAAGTGGTATATGACTTTGGGGTAGAGATATTGCAGGTGAGAGCAATTGTGTGGTTTATGGTTGGTGACAGCCGCAGGGTTGATGGTTATGGGTTCAGAGACAAGATCGTAACGATTACGGTGCCTGAAAGTAGGCTAGAGTTGTTTTCCTCAAAAACCACATGTATGTAAAGTATTCAAGTAGTTAACTTTGTTTTCAGTGCCAGTAAAACGGCACCAGCTACCACTAGAAGCCTATTTGATGCTGCGATCAAATAGGCCCGAAGCTTCCGGCTAGCTTTATACTTGCTTCGAGCTGATGAGTTGGGTCGAGTGATATCATATGATCGACAGAGAGAACGATTCGGGATGCTATACTGAGGCCTAATACTACGGTTAAGGAATCGAGTATGGATCTAGGACTCTTGAGCCTGATTATACACGGACAGGTTGGGCGTGTTCAAAGAGAAGTCACGAGTGGGCTGCGGGCAGTCATCATCAACCAACAGGTACGAGTTTGAGCACAACCAATAGCCACTCTGTAGACAATTATATCAAATCTGATAAACCTCTGCACAGGAGAAGGGGTTCTTTTTCTTTTGGAAATTTTTTCTCGAGAAATTTTGCATAGGAATAAATATAGCTTTATATCTAAACCACTGTTTGTTTGAGCGAAAACACGGTTTTCTGGGGCAAAAAATGCAACTCTTGGGAGGAAAAAAAAAACACAGTTTTGCACAAGATCCCTGCACACTTGGAAGGCACTTACTCGCCTTTCTCACGGTCGGAGCGAAGAAAAGTGGGCAAGTCACTTCCTTTAAATACTCTACACACCTCTGTCCCCCTCCCCCATTTGCCCCCCAAAGTCGCTCCTAGAAAAGACACTAAATGCATAAAACCCCCTATATCTAAAAAAGAAAAAAAAGAAGAAAAAAAGAATTAGGGAGATTCAGGCATGTTTAAACTTCATAGAGTATCAAATCCAGCATGTCTTTGGTGACCGAGGTTTGAAACGTGAAAGTTCATGACGTCGTCTTCCGGTGTGGCGCCTGGTGGCTTTGCACCGCCACATGCACCACCCCAAACTGATGTACGCGCATACACCTTTAACCTTTGCATCCTTCCAACCACCAACTCCTCCACCTTACCAACTAACCGCCTGGCAACTCGAAGATGGGCGCTCTTCTCTCCCTTCCGTTTCTCGCTGTTCCCGGCCTCTACTCGGTAAGAAAGCTCTTCCTTGCCACAGGGGACGTCTGGTTGTTACTGACTGGCTGACTCCTTGCTAGGTCGGGTCTTTCCTGTTATCATGCTGCGGTGCCGCCGCGTGCTCTGCTCTGTGCAGTGCCTGTGGAAAGTGCAATAGCAGGTATGTGTTTCTATGGAGAGTAGATTTTGGAACCCGAAGGCTAACAGTGTCCTAGTACTGCTACGAGGATCTCCTATGCCTGTACGCAGCCCCATACACAAGATGCCCAACCTGGAGAGCTCTCTCGAGGCTAACTGAATATAGTAATCTTTCTCGTAAACTGCATCCTCTCGTGGGTCATGCTCACGCCGTGGGCCATCAAGAGGCTGGAACACCTCGCCCTCGACTACTTTCCGATATCCTGTATGGGCGAGAAGTGCTATGGCTTCGTCGCAGTCCACCGTATCCAGTTCGCCCTCGGCTTCTTCCACGCTATCCTCGCAATCATTCTCCTGGGTGTTAATAGCACACGGGATGGGCGCGCTGCTATCCAGAATGGATATTGGGGCCCCAAAATCATTGCTTGGTTCCTCCTTATTGTCGTTACGTTCCTCATTCCGGAGGGCTTCTTCCTGGTCTGGGGTAACTACTTTGCGCTTATTGGCGCCATGCTGTTCCTGCTTCTCGGTCTCATTCTACTCGTTGATCTCGCACACACCTGGGCCGAAACCTGCCTCGAGAAGATTGACGAATCCGACTCCAAAACATGGCGCGGCATCCTCCTCGGCAGCACCCTCGGCATGTACATCGGCAGCATCGCGCTCACAATCGTCATGTACATCTTCTTCGCCGGCAGCGGCTGCTCCATGAACCAGGCCGCAATCACCATCAACCTCCTCCTCTTCCTCGGCGTCTCCTTCATCTCCATCCACCCCACCGTCCAGGAATACAACTCCCGCGCCGGCCTCGCCCAGTCCGCTATGGTCGCAATCTACTGTACATACCTGACTATGTCTGCCGTCTCCATGGAGCCCGACGACAAACAGTGCAACCCGCTGCTCCGCGCCCGCGGAACCCGCACCGCATCAATCGTCCTCGGCGCAATCGTCACGTTCCTCACAATCGCATACACCACCACCCGCGCGGCATCGCAGGGCGTCGGCCCCCTCAGCAAGGGCACCACATCGCCCGCCAACGGCGGATACTCTGCCGTCGGCGACTCGGAGCACGGACTCATCACCACCGAGCCCAGCAGGTCGGAGATGAGGGCGCGCGCGCTCCGCCGCGCGGTCGATGACGGGTCGCTGCCGGCATCGGCGCTGGATGATGAGAGCGACGATGAAGACGACAGGGTTGCGCGCACGGATGATGAGAAGTTTGGCGCGCAGTATAGCTATACGGGGTTCCATATCATCTTCTTTTTGGCGACGGCGTGGACGGCGACATTGTTGACGATGAGCTTGGAGCCGGGCAAGGGCGATGATGATAGCTTTTCGCCCGTGGGCAGGACGTATGCGGCGAGTTGGGTCAAGATTGTTAGTGCGTGGGTGTGCTATGGGCTGTATACCTGGACCTTGGTCGCGCCTATTGTGTTGCCGGATAGGTTTTAGAGAGGGGTGAGTTTTGTGGGTGAGTGAGTTGAGTGTGTGTGTAAGCTTAGATGAACATTGTTGGTGGTGGTTTGTTAGCTAGGGGTATGGATGCCATTGATTGGAGAATTCGAGGGAGGGGCGTTTTTCCTTTTTTCCTTTTTCCTCTTTTTCTTTCTTAACTCTATTTTTTGCTGGACTGATTGTTTATAAGTTACATGTCTGTTTTGCGTGATGGTTGCTTTGCTGGGTGCGTGCGTACGTTAGGAAATGAAGATTGATATTTTTTTTTTTCACTGTTTAATTGCGTGACGACGTTAATTGGTTCGAGGGCTGTGGCTCGTGGGTGTATATGTAGTAGTGCTTTGTGGTGGGATTGGGTGGGCTAGAATTTAAGGTTTCCGTACTAGTCTCAATCCGCGTGACGTTGGAGTCCTAGCTTGGTTATTTATACTCATAACCAAATGACCGTTATTATGTCACTTATCTGATCTGGCTGAGAGCGAACACTTGGTTGGGGAACAGAACACCTAGGTGGTTGTGTGGGCCAGGGAACTATATGTAGTGTCTTTTCTTCCCTTTAACCAGCATACTGTCTATTTTGTATTCATAAGGACAGAGAGGTTATTATCCCTCATGTGCCATGTCTAAATAGCTTCACATGCCATCACTCGGCACACTAAATTAGACGCATCTTCTATTACAAAAGCTCTATTCTATTCTATCGAAAGCACTTTGCTTTATCTCTATGGAAAACAACACACTCTACTACTACTGCACTAAGAATCTATGGTAATGGGGAATGAATGGTCGTGATAACGAGATGTAATAAAACTGTTTATATACCATACACACTCACTAGCTGACACAAGGAGAACGGAGAAGTCGCGCACTGTAGGATATCACCCAATGCAATGCAATACCACATTTTCTAAACAAACGGAAGAAGCCACAACCAAAAGGAGAAAGAAAGAGAGAGAGAGAGGAATAAATAAAAAAACGCCAGCCCATGCCCCATGCCCCCGAAGAAACCATGATATAAAACAAAAAAAAAGTAAGTCAAACCCTCTACACCCCACCACCCACCTACCTCCCCATCTCAAACTCGGCAATCAATCCGCCCACCCTCTCCACCTCCCTATCCAGCTCCTCCAAGCTCCCCGCCAGCGCCGCAACCTCATCAAACACCCCGCGCGCCTTCGCCTCCGCCAGCATCTCGCCCACGAGGAACCGCTGCTCCTCCAGCACCATCAGCTCCTCCTTCATCTCCTTCTCCCGCGCATCGTCCTCCTCATCCTTCCCCTTCGGCGCAGCCGCCGCAACAGACACCATCGTCAGCGCCCTCGACGACGACGGCCCCACCACCGCCGCCGCACCCCCATTCACAACCGCGCTCCCGGGAACCCTCGCCACCGCCGCCGCAGAAGCACGCTTACTCTTGCTGCCGTTTCCGTTGCCGCCGCCGCCCCCGCCGCCGCCCAGCACCTTCGGCAGCGCCTTCAGCGGCAGCATGTTGAGGTGCAGGAACAGCGCTGCGGCCTGATGCACCGCCTTCTGGAGCCGCGCCTGCGTCGGCGAGTCGGTCGGCAGCGCGAGCATGCGCTTTGCGGCGGCGTCGTACTGTGCGAATGTGTCGAGGAGGCGCTTCCGCGTCTTTGTGGCCTCGAGCAGCTGCGTGGAGGTCTGTGTTTTGGTGGGGTCCTGTAGGGCGGCGAGGAGCCGCTGGAAGCGCGGCATCATGGTCTTGATGCCGGTTTGGAATTGGACCAGTGCGCTGTAGGTGCGTGTTGAGGGGTGGGAGCGTGTGGTGGAGAGGGCGAAGTCGCGTTTGGAGAAGACGGTGGTGTTGCAGGTGGTGCAGATGCGGAGGTCGAGGGAGAGGTCGTTGGGGGGCTTTTCGGAGAGGGAGTTGGTGGTGGGGGTGTTTGGGCCGGCATCTGCGGAGGGGAGTGTTAGTGTTGGTTTTTGATAATTGGGAATTGGGGGACGTACTGGCTGATACGTTCAGGCCGACCTCTGTCGAGCAGCCGGTGCGGAGGTCTCCACAGACGACCTTCCCACAGAGCCGGCAGTGGTGTCTCTTGAGCCCAAACTGCGAGAATGTCTGCTTACAGTACGGACACACGGGCACATCCGCATCCTCCTCCCACGCCACCACCGACTGCTCCAGCGCCCTCCTCTGCCCCCTCAGGCTCGCCACCGCCTTGATAAACCCGCTGCCCGCGCCCACCTCCGCCTGCGCCGGCGCCACCAGCAGCTGCGTCAGCTTCGTCAGCCGCTTCTCCAGCCGCGTGACCTCCAGATAGGCGCGGTCCACCGTCTTGCGCCTGATGGCCGCAAACTCAGCCGTGTGGTCGCGCACCAGGCCCTGGTGGTCGTTGTAGCCCTCGCGCGACTTGTAGCACGTCTCGCACACGCGGCACCAGAAGCCGCGCACGGGCTCGTGCTGCGCGGACCGCGAGAGCTTGATCTGGTACATTGTGTGCTCCTCGCAGAAGAGGCGGCCGCACTTGCGGCAGTTGACGGAGCCGTTGAGCGCGCCGAGGGGCTTCTGGCACATGGGGTCGAGGCAGTAGTCGTCGTTTGTGGAGCGCTGCCAGTGGTGGCGGGTGACGGCGAGGTCGGGGTCGGGGGCCTCGGCGGCGACTAGGCTACTGATCCCGCCGCCGCCGCCGCCGCCGCCGTTGGTGGTGGGGGAGGGGGCGTCGTTGGATTCGAAGACGTCGAGGCCTTTGAGCTTTTGGTTGAGCACTGTCACGGGCTGGAAGGTCTTTGCTTTGATGATGCGTTTGCGGAACCAGGTGCTGATGTCGTCTTTTTCGGGGGCGTCGAGCTCTTTGTGGATGTCGTCGATGTGTCTGGCCGCCCACCACCGCAATCATCATTGTTAATAGGTTTTCTTCCCTTCTGTATGCCTTATATGAAGGAGAGTGCATACCGGTTGAGCTGCAGCAGTGTCACCATCTCCTCCGAGCAGATGGGGCAGGTAAGGGTATCACCGCCGGACACACTCGGCGCCCCCCCGTCCCGGAGACTGCCAAAGTCCGAGTTGAGGGACACGGAGCTGGCGGAGGGCGAGATGCGGCCGGCGGAGGTTATGGCGGGGGAGAGGCTGCGGCGGCCGGCTGCACTGCCGAGGATCCTGCCGCCGGGGGTGGGGCGTGGGTTCATGGTTGTGTTGGTGGGGGGCAGATAGGGGGTGTGGTTGGTATCTCCGGTAGCTGAAGCTGATAGCTGTCTAAGGCTGTGAGTAAAGATCTTATTAGCTCTTGTATTGATTGTGTGAATGTGTGTGAATGTGTGTGTGTGTATGTGATGTGAATGTGAAAGTGAATGCTCCGGAGAGATGTTCCTCGGAGAAGGCGCAGATGCAAGAAGGAAGGGCTGTGATGTGCCGTGCAGACAAGCTGTTGTAACTCGTGCTGTGTGCTGCGTGTGTCTGTGTCTGTGTCTGTGTGGGGGCGGCTCAGCTGCACAGACAAACAGCAGCAGCAACAGCGACAGGGGCGTGGTGTGGAGGGTCCCGCCTTGGCAGCGAAGAGAAAGAAGAAGAAGCATCGATTAGCTTGTAATTGCGAGAGTGCAATCATTACCCCTCCCCCGCCTCCATTCCCACCGCAATTGATCTTCTCTCTCAATTTCACCCAATTGAGCACATAATAGCATCTATCAGCTAGAACACACACACACACACACGCGCGCACCCCACCATGTCCCGCCCCACCGCGCCCGCCTCCACCGAAACAGAGGAATTCCCCGCCATCCAACCTGGCGGCTCCCTCCTCCTCGCCTGGCAAGTGCGCAACCGCCGCGTGCTCGTCGTCGGCGGCGGCAACGTCGCCGCCGGCCGCATCCTCGCCCTCCTCAACGCCGACGCCCTCGTCACCGTAGTCACGCCCACCGCCGGCCTCGTCCCCGAGGTCGCCCACCGCATCGCCTGTAACCTCGTTACCCACGTCGACCGCAACTTCCTCCCCACCGACCTCGACGACCCGGCCATCGCCATGGTGCTCACCGCCGTCGACGACCCCGTCGCCTCGTCCGAGATCTACACGCTGTGCAAGCAGCGCCGCATCCCCGTCAACGTGGCCGACGTCCCGCCCGAGTGCGACTTCTACTTTGGCAGCATACACCGCGACGGTCCGCTGCAGATCATGGTGTCGACGAATGGGAATGGGCCGAAGATTGCGAATATTGTGAGGAGGCAGATTGCGGAGATGTTGCCAACGAATGTGGGGGATGCGATTGTGAGGGTGGGGGAGCTGAGGAAGAGGCTGAGGAAGGTGGCGCCCGAGCCTGCGCAGGGCCCGAAGAGGATGGAGTGGATGTCGAGGGTGTGTGAGTCGTGGAGCTTGGAGGAGCTGTGTGATATGGATGAGGCGGATATGGATGGCCTGTTGGGCTTCTTTGAGGAGGGGAGGGTGCTGGGGTATAAGGAGTTGAGGGGCCTCCAAGAGGGTGAGGTGAAGGCGAAGGCGGTCGAGGCATAGGGGTTGGGTTTGGTGGTCGTTGTGTTGGGTGTGTGTGTTTAGATTCTCTTTTCGGGTTTGTATATTAATTTTTCTATGTATTGCGAGGTATGTAACGAGTTATGCTAGTTGCTGGGTAGATATCGACGCAGAACAGAAGCAGGAATATCACTCTAGTGATTTGATGCACTGCTTATGAGTAGCAGTGTTTAGCAGCCTTATATGCGACAGTCTATTTCTGCATTGTAACGGAAAATTGCAAAGCTGAGACTGGCGATTGCAGGAGGAAAACATCGTCATGTCAATTGCAAGCGGACAATTTGATACACTTAATATCTCTCCTTATGGTTAGACATAAGCCTTAACGGCAGCAGCTCAAGACGGGCCTCCTTCTATCGTGTATCAGCCATAAACTCTTAGGAATCCAGAGCTCCAGAGCCATGAAAAACGTTAATATAATCGATAGTGATGATAACTCATAATTCACTCACTTTTGAAGGTGGGACCCAAATTACGCCCGTGGGAGTTGAGGGATCAAAGCCTCCGGACCAAGTCAATGGCAGCATGGAAACACTGTCTGCCCGAGAACTAGTCATCTTCACCTCTATTCCGGATTCATCTGGTAATGGCCGTAGTTTAGAGGTCTCATGGATCCCCTCCGCTTTCCCCATAAAACGAGCGAGTGATAGCTCATGATGCACATAAAAAACACATACTGTCTCAGAACATACGGTCTTATCGGCAATCTTTGGAATTGAACGACATAGGCACTAGCCTAATTATCGTATATAAAGACTCTATATGGCGCTGGAGTGCCGGATGTGGGAGAGAGGATATGGTGGGACGACGTTTCTCTATGCACATACAGGGTAACATCAGCAGACGAGCACTCTCGCACAGTACTGCAACTCTTCTACATACCGCACCAGCCCTACGTCGTTGCTACCACTCCTATCGATCTATTACCCAGCACTACATTGTTAGCAGTACTTAACCAGACTCACTGCCAGAAAGCCCCGCCTCAGCTCCCAACAACGAACATCACTAATTTTCAACTACATGTACACACACACACACGCACGCACACCACCAACAACAACACCAAGAGCAAGGGATGATAGAAATAGTCCGATTCATAATCAATTTGCTCTATGGATAACAAGTCGACTTAAGTGGTAATCCGTGTGCCCCTCACATATTATGTTATGCACCGTTTGCTGCCAGCAGATGAATCTTCCGTCACCGGCCGGCCAAAAAGGTTCCTCTTTGAGCACATCTCAATCAATACATGAGTCTGCAGGCTGGGGGGTGCTCGAGCTTGTATCCCAAGGAGCACAAGACAAAGGCCCCTCCCTGGTTTATGGCCTTTTTGAATGGAGCGGTCTGGTGGAGAATAACTGTCTGTAATCTCACAGAACAGACTAGCCCATTGATGAACATCACTAAAGTGAAAATCGTTTGGGAAGTCACAATATTCCCCGGCCCTTCGAGCAATAGATGTCTACACCACTCACCAGGACACCCCCAATCACTTGCACCTAAATAGTTGATATAGCAGCGAAAGGATATACGTTGTTACAGGCTTCTGTGTCTCTTCTCGGCGAATCGTTATCAACTATCCGGGTGACGGGGGTGTCCCGGTGTGTGGTGAAGATGGATATTCAATGATGGTCTCATCTTGAAGAATATTCCCGGATTCTTGATATCTTCCCAATATGGACCAGAAAAGCTATAGGAAAGCAGCTGACGGTACTTATATATCCCAAAGAGAAATAGCAGGAATGCGGTACCAATCAATGCTGTTATAATTAGCACGCCAAGTGCCAGGAGGGGTCGTTCTGTTCGAAAGAAACCCACTCTGACAGGCTATTTTCAGGAGTGATGAAGGCTGTAACGGCTTGAGATGAGAGGATTTAAATATCATCTTGCTTCAAATTAGCCTGGCTTTGTCAGAGGCCAGAGAACATGGATAGTTCTTTCCATCTCTTTTAGAAACTCCACAAAAACACCACTAGCTGGTTGAGTGTTTCGATACCCTATGTGTGTTAGAACCGGGACCTTTTAAATTGTTGGGCTACAACCTCTAAAGCTCTGTAATCAAGATGCTGCCGAAAAATCCCGTTCGTATTAACGCGGGAGTGGTCGGAAAATTTGTCGAAGCAATTACAAAAACGGCCAGAAATATGCGGCTGTACCGATATTGTTGAGTGATGCAGCACATTGAGCACAAGGGAAGCTTTGAAGACATGTGTTGAATTGGGGTTTCTATATAGGACCAGATATGATTTGGAAGTTCCATGTACTAGGACTAGACAAGGCTCAGTCAGAATCGCTGCTGGGATTCATCACAAATGATCATGAAGATACACACTGGGAGGATTCAATAGATCTCTATGAGTTGGCTTACAATCACTAACTAATTGGGATTATTGGCGTGGAAAACAACTTACAAGAATCAGAGCAATATTTCGCTCCAGAGATCGGACCTGGCCTGAGTTGTCTGGTGGCCGTAGTTCCACACTGCGCTTTCGATTACCAACCTTTCAACACCACAAGTGTATATACCACCACCTATCCTCTTTCCTGGAAAATACAGTCCAATCCAGTAAAGAAATGACTGTGGATAGTCTGATGATTCTAGCTAGCACGGTACCGTGAATTAAGACTCATACGTAGGCTAGCTGATGAGGGATTTCTCTAGGGTAGCTCAACAGATACCTGACTTCTTGAAATCCTTTTCGTAGAGAGCCCCCGGATAGAGATGCTATATTCAGTATTGGATTTATAACATACCAGGGATTCAAATCATGCTGGCCTTGATTGAACTTTACCCTAGGACGAGTCGACTCATTAGCTATATTGGCTCCTCCAGTCTTAGCCGGGCTAAGAAGAATGAGCAGGCTTATTTTCCGGATATATTAAACACTTTTATCAAAAAAGTCTCAATGAAGTCGTTCTGGACGCCGAGTTCTAGGAGAGGGCTGGACATAGAAATTCGGCCGCCTGTGGACTACATACAACAGCCAGTCATTACAGAGCTACATATTTCTGGCGATCTACAGCTTGCAGGCGTTTATGAAAAGGGGACTTGGATTAGTTATACACGGGATGTTAAAATGCCTATTGTTCCACGGAGCCTAGTCCCGACCTTAATTTTGTACAATGCGGGCCAGAAAAAGTTGATCTCATAGGCCAAGCTCTTTAAGCTGTGCTCGACTCATGCAGATCATTGAAAGCTTTGTGTCAGAAATATCACCAGAAGGCAGCTAGATTTTACTCTCCCTGGACACTGTTTAGTCTTTATACGACCAAACTCAAGATAGTGCATGAAATCGCTACTACTAGTAATAAGTGGCACAGTTAGGGGATAATGCAGTCCTTGAGCTTGTATATCAAGTTAAAATCTTCCGCCTCCAGGAATAAGCTCATCTTCATACTCGAAATCAACGACAAGCTTTGGATCTGACAAGCTGGATCGGCTCATATCCTCCACTAGGTTGGAGCTACTACCATTCTAACCTCATGTTGAGCATCAGAGTGGATTTCCCAATATATCGTCACAAGACCTTGCCTCGAGGCCGGATAATACCGACCCGTATAGCTACTACCAGAAGAAATATCATTTAGAAATCTCGGTTTCTCAAGATTTTCAATCCTAAAACGATACGGTTCAAGACGGTATTTGACCAGCTCATTTATCATTCTTGTAATGTGTCCAGCATGGATAGTCATGATTCAATCCAGCTAAACCAGCTCAAGATTCAATAAGATAGCTCAAGCATGCTCGAAAGCTCTGGGATACCATACTCTAGTCCATTCCAAAACACCGTTGCCATAGTACTCCCCATATATCTGTCCGAGGGGCTAGAGGTATGCGTTGATCTACCTACAGTAGGTCTTCCAAGCTCTGAAAGACAGCAACAGAGCTATGGGCGAATCGGGTTAGTGTGGTTTGTGACAGGTCAGCTCGGGCTTCGATTACAGCGAATGCCTCGAGCGTTTACAAGCCCAAACCTCTACGGCGCGGGCCGGCTCAAGCCAGATACTCGACGAAGCCTAAGCTAGCACGTCTTGATAACGAAACACTAATTGCCATATTCACGCTAGAGGAACACCTAACCACCCATCCCCTGCGATAGATATCCCCATTAATATGCTTGAGTGTTCTTTAGTTATGTAATGGTGTCTTTGGTAGCCCCGAGCCTCGACGAGCGAGTCGATCCCAATATACCGCGAACCAGCTAGACAAATACGTCAATCGTGGTTTGAGCCTACTCATGGACCGCACCATGGATGATAGTGAACTCCCAACCAGTCATGATGGCCTCAAAGACTGTTTGGAACGTTCCTAGCTAGAACTACCCAGCCATATATGTATAGAATATTCAGGCTGGGTTTGCCGATTTATGAACGGCTATCGCTCTTTCCCAAAAGGCCGCCGAGGAATTGAGTATCTCCATTAAATTGGGTGTATATACATAGTTGATATGGGGGTGGTAAAGTTTATATATAACTCTTTCTTTCTGTATAAAATTATACTTCTTGTTCCTTGTTAAGTGGGATCTGGTTGATCAAAGAGCTCCATTGACGGTTATCCACCACTTGTATAACAGATGCCTATTGAGACAGAACGTCAGTGTAGGGTGAATTGTAATATCCGAAAAAGTCTAAAATAACCCGGTTTCAGTAGACGTACTCTGTAACAACACATGATGCAAGATGACACAGTTTGCTGTCGGTTCCCAGCCCCATCACTATCAAAAAATCAAAATAGTCTCCTAACCTATTTTGCTACGGTAATAAGATAAAAAAAGAACAAAAGATACTGCACCGGCTTACCATAGATAAGTGCTCGGTACTATCCCCACCCCTGGTTTGAACTCAAGACCTTGTCCAAACACTCGGTGTCTAACCCGACGAGCAGTCTAGCCATGTAACCACTAGACCACTCGCCCATGGTAGATACTGCGCTGGAAGTGATAGTTGAGCCAGCTTGACGGTGAGAAGAACCCCTAACCCTTCGGTGCCAATGCTCAGCCATCCATAATACCTTAATTACTAGTAGCTCCAGACCATAGAAAACTGTATCATCTTGGATCATGTGTTATTGTAGAGCACATCTACTGAAAACTGCGTCATTTTAGACCTTTTCCGTTGTAATATATGCAGAATCCACCGTCAAGGAATCTATCCATGAAGGCTCCTGGAATATCTCGGCCCAGAAGGAAGCCATCGACAGTTCGACTGGAAGAAACCTTCCCTCTATTAGCTGATTTCAAGAATTATCTCCCAATTTCGGAGAGCACTAAATTTAAGGATGAGAATATTCAATACTCTGGAAGCCATTGTGCCACCCATAGGGTCCATAAGCATGGCCATTTGTCATTAACTACCCCAACGGAGTCGTCGGAAGGTAATACAATGACAATTCAACACTTCTGCATTTATACTTCTCACCTATATGATCTCACTCCTTTTGTAATAAGCACCGTCTCGTCGTCTATGAACCGAGAGTATTTGTTTATGGCCGGTCCGATGGCACAGTTCCAGGAAGATTCAGGTTTTGGCGTTGACGTTATAGGCCAGCCCACTCCAGCTGTAGGCGCTGGGTACGTGTAGGTGTTCGTGGGTTGTCTAGAACGGCTGCTATATAGGGACCGTCAAAAGAGCCACAAAGGACAAGCCCTATGTATTTCATTAAACTTTACCGCAATGATCTCTCTGTCATAGCTCTTCGTATTATATGACCTGTGAAGTCCTATTCTCTTCTCTATAGCTTCGACAGTAAGGATTGAGAATATCTGCGAGAACATGAATCGTAGCTTTAACAGACCCAACCCCATGTTTAACCCCATTACTCTGAGTGCCTCACTGCCTATAGATTGGATATCTTTCCTGAAAAGGCCAAAATGTTTATCCAAGAAGTCACCCGGGCCTTAGCCCTTGGTATTACTCTTCGTATTTGACGCTGCGTTATTACACACCATGTATCCGTGGTCGCGAATTCATGTTCCACCTAGGAAAGTACTCAAAGCCAGTTTCGAGCCAGTTCAGTCCAACTCATGTTGCCCACACGTCGAAAACAACGAAGTTCTCATGACAATAAGCCTTAGGCTAAGCGGGTAGGAGAGCGAACGGACAGATCACCACAGGAGCCTGGCAGTAGAACATCCACGGAAATCCCCGCAAATTTGGACATAGTGTATACAGTGAGGATACGTGTATGCATAGCACATCACAAGAAGATGTTGTTTTGCAGTCTTTGCTATCTGTTCTTAGTACCGTGTCAAGGCAACGGGTTTGGTTGTCTTTATAATACGTGTTTGTTTAAAATGTTTCTGTTATAAAAAGAGCTTGTTCCTCCTATTGTTAATTATCACTCATACAATACGATTCGCTTCAGTCTCTATAAACTTGCACTCTGAATAACAGAAAGAGTGTGCGATCCTGCTAACATAGGTAGATCTGTTGACTATCATGGAATGATTTAGGAGAAAGAAATGATAGTGGTGGTGGTGAGTATTCGAAGGAAGCAGAGCACCCTGTAGCTGAACAAGGTAGCAAGCCGCACTTTGGCCAGGTTACCCCCATTCTTATCCACATTGCCTAAAAATACTCTACACTTTCGCTCACAGCAGAATAAGCCACCCCCAGAGAGGGTCATGGAGGTGAATCATATACTATCACTCGGCCAGTTGCGTCTTGGCTGTAAAACTAGGATGACCCTGACTTGCCCTTCACCTTCGGATGTGGTCTTTTCTGCGTGGTTCGTAATTGGATCTATATGGTAAGTGGGCTACTTGCTTGTTGGGGCAGTTGGGAGGTCGTCGTAGCGGTAAGCATGTACTCTGCACTTGGATCGTTATAATCGAACTCGACGAACACACATGAAGCACTAATAGAACACAGAACAAAAGCAAGGCCTCTTTTGATCTCAAGATCTACCATATCGGTAGAGAAGAATATAATTACCTACTTCCAAGCGACAAATGACACAACAGAAAAAAAAGAAACAGTAAAAAAAGACTTTTACACCAATCTATATACACCTCCTCCGCACATCTACGCCTTGTGCTTCCTCCTCTTCCTTCCCCCTTCCCTGCCCTCGACAACATCCACCTCGCCCGCCTCCTTCTTCCCCTTCTTCCCCTTCCCCTCCTGCAGCCCCTCCGGCTTCCACCCTTCCGGAAGCTGTATCCCCTTCTCATCCCCAAACACCTCTTTCCTCCACTCCCTAAGCCTCTTCTTCTTCCCATACCTCTTCTTGTCCTTCTTCTTCTTCTCCGGCTCCCTAAACGTCGCCAGCTTTTTGAGCCCCACATACGTATTCAGGTCCTGGTCCGTCGCCGTGAGGATGTCGAGCGACGTGAGCCCGTACGTCTCGGGCGTGGTCTCGCGGTAGCGGAAGCCCCGGGTCTTGCTGCCAGTGGTGGGCGGAGGCAGCTGCGCCTCAAAGTCGTAGTTGTCATCGACGTATTTCTCGAGTTTGCGCTTGAGCTCTTTGGTTTTCTGCTTCTTCTTGCGCTCGTCGTTTTTGGCCTCTTTCTTAGATTTGCGCTTCTTAGAGGGTGCCTCTTCTTCTTCTACGTCGGCGTCGGCGTCGGCGTCGGCGTCGGCGTTGAGTGCGACGCCGCCTTCGTCCTCTGCGTCCTCATCCTCATCGTCGTCGTCGAGTCCCATGCCCTCCTCCTTCTCAAAGTCCGGGACAATATCATCAATATCAATATCGTCCTCAAACACTGGCTTATCCGCCTTCCCGCTCTCATAATACTCCTCGCCAAACTTGCTCGCAATATACTCATCCACCCTCTCCTCCGTCCATTCCCCCTCCAGCACCTTCTCTAGCGCCTCCGCATCCTCCTCCCCCGCACCCTCGATCCCCGCCGCCTCCTGCAGCACCCTCACCTTCTCCAGCAGCTCCTCCATCTTCAACTTCCGCAGCCTTCCCATCTCGCGCTCGCGTTCTGCCGCCTCCGCCTCCCTCTTCTCGCGCTTGTGCTCGCGCGCAATCTTGCGCGCTGACTTCTCCTCCCGGCGCACGGTGTTGGTGCTGACGGCGTCACGCGAGTACGAGACGAGTGTGCCGCGCGACTCGACGTCGGGGTTCTCGAACCGGAAGTTGTACGCCTTCTCAAAGGCCTCGGCCGTCTCCTCGTCCTCGGAATCGTCGTCGAGCAGCGCGGGCGTGAGGACATTGCTGGCGGCCCAGGCGCGCGAGCTGAGGAACTGGTTGAGGAACTCGTCGGGGTTCTTGTCGGCAAGGGCGAGGTCGGGGAGGGGTGGGGGGGCGTCGGCGGGCTCTTCGGGCTTGGATTTACGAGTGAGGAAGGCATCTTCGCCGTCATCAGAGTCCTCGGCGGCGGCCGCGGCGGCCGCGGCGTGCATGGATTGCACGACGGAGGACTTAAGCTCGGCTTGTTCCTGCACGAAGGTTTTGGGCTTGGGGGTTTCATCGGCGCCGGGGGTGGTGCCGGAGAGGAGGTTGCGCAAGTGGTAGTCTTTGAGTGTTATAGGCTTCTCGGGCTTTGCGGCGGCGTCGTCGTCGCCATCGCCGGAGAGGGGCTCCTCGGGGATGGGCGTGTAGAAGGTTGTCTTTCCGTCGTAGACACGGGGGTCCTTCTTGCGGATCGCAGTGAGGGTGGCATTGATCTCGTGGTCGAGCTCTAAGGTGGCGAGAACGGCATTGTCATCCTCGTCTTCGCTATCGGTGTCTTCCTCCGAGTCATCGGCTGCTACTGCACCATCTTTGCCGTATTTCTCCTCCACTATGAAAGTGTGTTAGGGCTTGTAACTAGACGGATAGATAGATAGATAGATAGCAGAAGCATGACTAGCAAGCAATTGGAATTGGGATCACAAACAGCGTTGTAGCTCCTCGCGCTTCTTGTTGTGCTCGAAGCGGCGTGCATATTCAGCGTTGATCTTGAAGCCGCCGGCATTCTCGTTCTCGTCGGCCGGGGGTGTCTCGTTGGCGGAGTGGAAGGACGCAGGTGTGTCAGAGTCCGAGTCCGAGTCTGAGTCGGTTATGAGCTTGGCCTTTGCAGACATTGTGAGGTCTGTGGTTGGTGGGGGGTGTTTTGTCGATGAGCTGTTTGTCGATGTGCTGCAGAGATGGTGGTGTTGAGCGCTGTAGAGAAAAATTATTGAAGGTTGGCGCCAAGACGTCAGATGGGATCATTGACGGTGGGTGACCCCTGCTAGTGCATATCTTGGCGAGAAGAGCCTCATGCTTGGGAACGGAACAGTCTCTTGGAGGAAGGGGAGGAAGGGGAGGATTCTCGGGTGTGTCTGTGTTCTGTTATCAGCCATCGAGCATTAGCCATCATTCAATCATTCAATCACTCAATCATTCAATCGTTCAATCTCCCAGACTGAGCTGTGACAGATTCAACTGCGAGTGAGTGAATTGACTGACACCGACCACCCACTGAAGTCTTAGACCTCCCAACCACCATCGCGTCTCCCTCTTCCCTTCCTCTCCACAACACGCGATAGCCAGATAGATACACTTTTCACATCCTCTCTCTCTGTAGCAGAATCACATCATCCACTCGACTCAACCCACGCAACTACAGAAACTAGCTACATCTACATCCTCCCCCCCTTGATACACCATCCATCATGAACAGCATCGAGAACCACCTCACCAGCCTGATCCCCACGCTGGCCGGGCCGCTGCCCCCCGAGCTCATCCAGCTCGCCACCTCCCTCGTCGCCCAGTCCAAGAACCGCATCTCAAACCTCAAGCCCAACGAAGAGATCTGTCGCGAATACGTGTGCGCCCACATCGCCTGCGATCGGTATCCCCCCCCCCCCCTCTTCCTACTCTCCCCCAGTCCCCCCACAGCACAGCACTAACCCCCCCCCCCTAGACTCCGAACGCAGCTCGACCTCCCCACCATCACCCCGCGCCTCCCCCTCCCCAAAAAAACCTACGGCGCCCTCTACACGCAATTCCAAAAGGCACTCCCCCTGCGCACCCGGCCCCCCAGCGCTCCCACCGCCACCACCTCCACCACCACCACCACCGCCGCCGACGGCGGCCCCCTCCTCCCACCCACACCCATCACGCTCCCCCCGCGCTCCGCGCCAGCATCCACACCCTCTGCACGGCCCTCGGCGCGCCCGGCGCGCACCGCCACGTGATCGCCGGCACAACCAGCATGCTCTCGGAGCCGTCCACGGCCGCCAGTGTGCAGCGCAGCCACCTTCCGCTCATCACGGCCATCACGCTGCTGACGATCGAGCGGCTGCTGCCGGAGGGGAAGAACGTGACGGTGGGCGCGGCGGGCAAGTGGAAGCGCGGCGAGGGGTACATCATGAAGCGCGACGGGGTGATGGGTGCGCTGGGCGGCGGCGTGGGGAAGGCGGGGTTCAGTAAGGAGGACACGGACGGGTGGGTGAAGGAGCTGAGCCGGCGCGGGATTCGGGAGCTGCCGTGGCTGAAGGAGGTGCCGGATGGGGTGGGGTTGAAGGTGAGGGCGGGGGATAAGGTTGAGGTTGAGCTGGTGGTGGGGACGGTGAAGAAGGGGCGGAAGACGGCGGTGAGGAAGCCGGCGGCGGCGAAGAAGAAGAAGGATGAGGATGCGGCAGCGGAGGTGGGGGTGGAGGCGGAGGTGCAGGGTGGGGAGGCGGGGGTGGTGGAAGAGGGGGAGACGGTGCAGGTGCCGGTGCAGAAGAAGGTGCAGACGAGGGCGGCGAGGCCGAGGCAGAAAACGGCGGCGGCAGCAGCGGTGGCGATGCCGCCGGCGAAGAGACAGAAGGTGGAGAAGGTTGAGAGCGGCATTGGGTCATTCATGCAGGGCGCTGTCGACTACCTTAGTGAGAACAAGAGGCGTACATATAAGACGTGGGAGGCGAGGATGGTGGCGACGGCGGCGGAGGTGGAGAAGGAGGGGGGCTGCCGTCGCAACAGCAGCAGGCAGCCGTGGTGGGGTTAGTGGGGTTAGTAGGGTTAGGTTAGGTTGAGTTGGGTATTGGGTCTTTTTTGTGTTTGTTTTTTTGTTGTAATTTGAGTTTTTGAGTTTGATGTTCGATGAGTGGTAAAGGGCGTTTTTTTGTTTTTGTTTTGTGTTTGTGTTTGACCTTTTTTTCTTTTTTTTTCTTTTTTTACCTCTTCTCCTGCCTCTCCTTTTTTCTTTCTCTCTCTCTCTGTGTGTGTGTGTGTGTCTCTCTGTAAGCTTGTTACTTTTGGTACTTTGGTTCTTTGGTCTCCGTTTCTTTAATTTGGAAATCCATGTGTAGCTTTTTTGATCTCGAGTGATATACATAGAAATTGAATGGGGTCAAGTATAGGTACATATGCACGTGTCAGTCACAGCATTGATCGATCACTGTTTGTTGTCTATAGGTTATTGATCAGCTCGATAATCCGGCTGGCAAATAACCCATACCCCAGCCAAGCCAAGCTCTCTTAACTACACCGAGTGATGGCGCATGATGCACTTTCTCTCGTTACCTACTTAATTTTCCATCCATAGGTGTAGAGGATGGACGAGATCGAAGTAGCGTAGAAGTATTTTGTTAGGTCATGTAGCTAATTTACATATACGTGGGATTGAGTGGCGGGGTGGTGTATGGGGCGGCCCGGAATGGGGGCATGGGGGGTTCGTGGGGGCCGGTTGGATACGCATTAGTCTCGCTTTTCTTTCTTTCCTACTCAATTTCCTCTCTCTTCCACAAAGGTCTTTATTATTTTTCCAACACCTGCAGCCAACTAGACAGGCAGTAAAGGTGCGTCTATCGGCCATGAATATCCAACCGTATCAGGGTTATTCAGGTGTTTAGAATTACCATCGATTGTGTCCTCTCCGATGGATGACCATAATCCCGGAAGAACACGCCTAAATTCCACCCTCTTTGCTGTCGACTAGTAACTAGCAACCATACCATCGTACAAAACATTAGCATTTCTCTCGCCACAGAGAAGAAGAAAACTAAGGAACCTGTGCTCCCGGAAAGCTTAACAGGCCGCATTGCATTGCTGTACTATGTGGCGCCGGGAAATAAACAAAAAGTAACCGCCGCCAAGTACAGAAAAGGGTTGATCATCCATGGTCAAATATAATTTTAAAATTAAGTCATAACACACGGCATTGACCATGATGGGACCATACATTGAGGCTGGATGTTTCATAGCGAAAGTTGTACAGTTAACTTATCAGGATTCTGCGGCGGTAGAATGTGACTTGGTTCCAGGACAGAGACCGTAATGAGTTGCTTTTGACCGAAGTCATGGAATACATAATACTCCCTAGGAGCGAGTGCCAAAGTTGGGTGTAAACAAATATCCTGTAATGTAAAGTCGTGTTGGGGTCATACGGGACCTTTCATACATACACTATCAGTGCGGCCCACAAGCACGCTCAAGCTGGAGACTACAATACCAAAAATCATGGTGTTCTTGGTGCTGTCTTTAGGTGCAATGCAATATTGTGATTTGATACTGACATGGGTCCGCATTTTTCGAATTATATTAAGTGGTGGGAAGGCAGTATACATACTACAATCCCCATCAATACGTTGTTTGATACAGTCTGTAGTACTATGGTAGCGTATTACCAAACCATCAACTCCAGCGCCTTTATCACCATAATTTTCAACACATGTATGTGCGAAATCTCAGGAACCTCATGATATGAAGCGCCTGCTAAATCTATTTCCATGACCTAGCTAGAAGTTTCCAAGACGTCACTAGTCAGATGGGTAAAATAGAAATTGCAGTGACCATACTAGTGTACTACAGGCGTAGTGCCAACTTGTACAGAATGCGCATTGTTGAAAATGCTGCACTAGTACAACATTAAACCAAAAATTATACTCAAAAAACAACCACCTTTATCAAAAGATTATCTTTTTAACAAGCCAATACTAATATGGGCTTGCAACAAGTAGGCACAAAAGAAAATATATCTTTTTTGAAAGTGCGGCATTAAATTCAAAGTGGTCCAACTACAGTACGATCTCAAATAAAATATCAATGCCGTACTGAGAACATCCCCTTCTTTGACACTGTATTGTCTCGGGAGCTAATACCTCTAGGGTCCATGCCCTTTTACACCGCACTAATTAAGCGGTAATTCCATGAACCGATGTGATTGAAGAAAGGATAAGAGGGTATTTATCATGCTCCTAAACTGTCCAGATAGAGCACACACCTGAAACTTCAAAGACGGCCTTGGAGACGGAATTAAGTATGCAAAAGCAATGAGGCCACGGCCACAGCTTCAAAGTATATATCGGCCACGAATCCGGTAAAATTCAAGACATCCGCTAGAGCTCTCTGGAACCAAGCCACCCCGATCCCACAATCATAGGTGGTGTCCTTGTAAGATGACTACTATTGCTACCTCCCGATACGGATATGAGATATCACTGGGAAATAAACTATGTTTAAACCCATAACAGGCGAACAGGATATCTTACCGGGTAGTATCAGTTGACTTGGCGTAGACGTGCGCTCTTGCAACCCCGCAACCCCGTTATAGCGAGGAAGCTATATGTTTCGGGATTTCTGTATCTTCTTTCCATTTTGAATGAATTGTCCTGGTATTTCGTCTCGTGAGAGTATGTGCGTCGTGAGGCTAGCGGCTCAAGCAAGGACTGTCCTGATCACCTTGGTCTATAGAATACATTGAGCCACGCTGCCATATGTATTTTAACCTGACTAGATCTGTTAAACTGGTTAGACTTCTGGACTGTTGGACCTCTAAGAACAAACCAATCTCGCTTGTACTCAACTTGTAGCTCTTCATAGTAACCCAAGAGAACAGAACGCCACACAGCGGTCTTCCCTCACAACATCTCACTCGCTCCCACCCCACCACCAACCCTAACCCCCGCCAAGACTCACCACCAAATTTCACAACCTCAACCCCAAAACGACACCACCCCGCGAAGCAGCCAATCCCCCCCCCCCCCACCACACACCACGACAAAACTACACACAATGACCACGCTCGCCGCCCTCCCCCGGGCGCTCTCCCGCCCCACCCCCCTCGCCTGCACCCCGCGCATCTTCACCCGCGGCGAAGCCACCTCCCGCCGCCTGACCAAAAAGCTCCGCCTCGGCCCCCACCCCAGCATGATCGTGGGCGGTCACGGCGGCGTCGCGCCCACAGCCTCCCCCGCCATCAACCACATCATCCACAACCCGCCGTCAGCGGCGCCCAGCGTCTTCGCGACCCCCAACCTCTTCCTGCCGAAGGAGGACCCCCGCCGCGACGCCCTCCTCGCCATCGGTGACAGCAAGGCGAGGGCGAAGCTGCCGCCGCCCGTCAAGCGGCCATACGAGAAGAATTACCATCTCGGCGAGGCAGAGATCGCCGAGATGCGTACGCTCAGAGCCGAGAACCCGAATAAGTGGACGCGCGGGAAGCTGGCGGAGGAGTTTGGCACGAGCAGGTTCTTTGCCGGGATGGTGGCCGAGACGACGGCCGCGAGGAAGGAGGAGATGCAGGGACGGCTGGCAACGATTAAGAGTAGGTGGGGCAAGATTAGGACGAATGCGAGGTTTGAGAGGACGAGGAGGAGGGCTGGGTGGGGTGGGGCGGATGGGCAGTAGTGGGTGGGAGCTGCGAAGGAGGCGCTTTTCTGTATATACTACAGCATTGGCGGGGAATAAAACTGTACAGTGCCGGATCATGGATGGGCCGTCAATTGCGTTCTGGAGTTTGAGATGTCTAATGCTTCAGCAGCTTGTTTGTCACGGTCATGACAATTCTGAGGTGCATAGGCCCGGTGGATTGCTAAATCTCGCTTTCTCTTGCTTTAACTTTTTAACACGTATGTTCTCAAAGATAACTGTAAATACTTGCCGAATTAATCTATGAAAACTGGCGGATACAACTACACAACATGAGGTAATGTATGCCTACTCGGATACTGATTACTCCAGCTTTGTTTCAAAAACTCGGAAGGCTTCAATATGTGCTCAAGTGTCTTCATTCCAGGGTTATTCAATATATCTTTGAGTCGTCTTCAAGCTAAACCAATTATCATGGGAGCTCATACATGGCGCCTCACTCGCAACCGGACCATAGATAATCACTCGTACACGACCTTACCCTGACATGACACCAGACGGTGCAAGTATTAGCATTAGCACGTGGTCCATACCCAAAAGCATGCCCTACCATCCACCCCACACAAGAGAAAAAAGAGCAGTCAACTTTTTGGTAGTAATACAACAAGCGAAACATCCAAGGAAAAGAAAAAAAGAAAAGATCTATTTACAATCCAACGTTACGTTACCCCCCCCCCCCCCCCCTTGAACCCGCTCAATCAATCTTCGTCATGACGGCAACACCCTCCACATGGTACGTCTGTGGGAAGAAATCGCACCCCCTGATACTATCAATCCTATACCCCTTACCCTTCTCATCCGACAAGATATACCCAATATCCCTCGCCTGCGTGTGCACATTACAACTAACATACACCACCCTCTTCGGCGCAAAGTCCAGCAGCTGGTCCAAGAAACGCTTGTCGCACCCCTTCCTCGGCGGGTCAATGATCAAGCTCGTCTCCAACCCCGGGAACGTGAGCTTGCCAAAGATATCCTCGGCTGTGCTGCCGATGAAGTCGGCGTTCTCGATGTTGTTTGCTTTGGCGTTTTTGCGCGCGGACTCGATAGAGGATTTGTCAACGTCGATACCCCACACCTTCTCAAGGCCCTCACCGCAGGTGATGGTGAAGAGGCCGGAGCCGCAGTAGGCGTCTACGAGGTACTTGGGCCGCGCGGCGGTCTCGGTGGCGTCGGTGGAGCCTTCGGCTTTTTTAACGACGGGGAGGTTGAGGTTCTCGCGGATGTATGCAGTGAACTTTTTGGTAGAGGGTTAGCAATGTGGAATTATCCCCGCTTTGGTTGAAGATCAACATACACTTTCTAGGATGGAGTTATTGTTCTGGAAGAATGACCCCGCAGGATTATCAAACTTCAAGTCCCCAATATATTCAATGCTCCTTGCGTTGTGATCAGTGATACACAGCTTCTTGTCAATCCATTTTTTGCCGTCCTCTCCCGCCTCTTCAAGGTATGTCCTCATGGTTGACTCCCTTAACAATAATGTCGCTCCACGTTTAAATGCTGTTGTCAGGTTCTCCTTGACAAACGTCCTGCGCTCCGTGATTCCATCTCTCACCGTATCAGTGCCAATCGGGCAATCCTCGATATCCATAACATATGCCGGGTCTTTTGCAAAGAATCCTATGTTTGGGACCGGCATATGTTCTTTAAACCCGCCCCTTCGTGGCCCGTTGAAATGCGGGGTAAGCTTGGTTCGATACCCATACTGCAAAGGACTGGGCATAGTCACTCCAATCTCAGGGATCAACTCCGGTGGGAGATTCGAAAAGTTTTTGAAGGCCCTTTGGACAACCTTTCGCTTATGTTCGAGCTGGACGGCGTATGGAAGCATCTGGAATTGACACCCATTACAGGTACCAAAGTACCCGCACCCCACTATGGAGTCATCACGGTCCGGCGATGGCTGGTCGATGCTGATAATCTTTGAGACTGAGTGATCATCGTTGTGTCGGCGAACTGTAGCTGTGACCTGGTCTCCAGGCACACCAAATGGGACCGTATAGACACGGCCGTTATAGACCGCGAGACCTTCACCCGTAGACGAGAGTTTAGAAACGGTGAGTTTGATTTCCGCGTCTCTTTCTGGCAGCTGGACGTCCCCAGATTCTTCGATATTGAGGCTAGACAAAAGAGCTTTGATGTCGTAGCCAAGGACTACTTCATTGGAACCTTCTTTAACTTCTTTGGTGTGCACCTTACGCTTTTTCGACTTTTTGGTGCCATCCAAAGGAGCCTTCTGGTAGGATCCCAAATTCACACGTTTCAGATCGTGTGGCTTCTGTGCGGAGGCCGCGCTACTATTTTCACCCATGGAATTCGCCTCGGTATCGCACTTAGCCCCTGGTGCATTGTCTTTTGGAGAAGCTTGCCCGTTATCCCCGCCAATCAAATTTGTATCATCGGGAATAGCTTCATTCACAATCTTTTCTTTTGTGCTCTCTTCAACTTGGTTGATCGTGACGTCTTCGTAATATTCATTCTCCTCTTCCATTTCTACTGCTACTGCTGCAGACCCGAATCCCCTCGTGACTACAAACCTGACCTTCGACTGTGAGTGTCGTCCTAATGTCTTCCTTATTGGAGGCCCCTCAAGGTTCGGTGGGGCGTTCAACAGCCTTCTTATTACTGGAGGCTCTTGGTGTTTAAAGGGGAGTGCCTGTAAATATTCTTCTGTGACAGCTGTTCTAGGTTTTCGCGGGTCCGATATGTCGTGTACCCGTCTGACTAGTGTGGAGTACTCGTATCTAATTCTGAAATTTCGTGCTTCTAACTCCTCAAGTGCAGCCTCTTCCTGCTCTAGTTCGTGGGGGCCTTCACTAGGCTTGTTCGAATCCTTCAGAGGTTCCTGAGGATCTTCGCTAGATTTACTTGAATCCTTCAATGGTTCCTGTAAAACTTCGAGTTTTGCCTCCTCCTCCTCTTTGGGTGCTTTCCGTCTTCCCTTTTGCTTTTTCTTTTTCTTTTTCACACTGTCAAGCCTCCTTATGACCAGTTGTTCCTTCGGCTCGATTTCCGGCTTGGGATCGAGTTCGTACCTCCTCACCAACGGATTTTCGGGGCCTCTTTTACCACCGGGCTGACTTCGCAGTTTCCTTATCAAACCCTGCTCCTTCCTTCTCAATTTCGCTGCCTTCTCCTTCAATTCCTCCGCCTGCCTTCCCAGTTCCTCTGCTAACAATGACAAGTCGCTATCCTCGCTCAAATCCGATGCCCAACCTTTCTTCAACCAATTTAATTTTGGCTCTTGAATGTCAATATCCAACAAACTTGGGCGGCTAGCAGAGAAATCCGAGTTGCGCTTGCCCGAATACCAATCTAGGGTGGGGTTTAGATCAACCTCGACGACGCCTTTGCTCTTAGCAGCGACCCTGCGGGTAGACCTATCGGCCCGTATAGGGACGGACGGGGTCTCGGGGTCTTCGGGGTTGGACCCTGAGGGTTCTCCGGGTGTCCAGTCTAGGGTTGGTGGCAGTGGCGGGTATTGTGAGTCGTGGAATTCGCGCGGACGAAGGAGGGCCAGGCGGTTGGTCCGGAGTATATGGCGATGGCAGATGTAGCGGGTAAGCATGCAGAATTGAGGTTGCGTCTGCTAGTGCAGCAGATGTAGTGGGGAGTGGCGGGGTTGAAAACCAAGGGCGAACTGGAAAGCGATAATAACCCCAGCCCTGTGCCCCGAAGAAACCGGAAAACCCAGGATGCAACGATGAGATGGCATACTGAAGTTTTAAATACCAACTAAACACAGATATGATACAGTATGTATATACCTACATTTACCTGATATGAAAGCATAAGTGGTTTAATATTTACTCGAATCTACATGCTTTATTGGTGGTTGCAATAATTAATGTGGCATTCACTACAGAAACAGTGGGATCTCATCTACTATTCTGACCGACGAACTAAGACACGCATTCACCGATCGTGATTCCCCCTATCACACATGCATAGATACAAGTAAACATGTAGCTACATGTAGTACTTCGACCTTAACCTGGGCTTAATCAGCGTGAATTTTTTTAACTTAATGCTTTAAAGCGATAAAAATGCATTTCTCGTAGCCAACAATTCTGGATCTCTAATTCTCGTCCTGAAGATGAAACCTAAAAACAAATACATCGAATAGAAAAACCTACATACCTAGCGCACAGTCAAATGATACGATAAATTACCTACAACCAGAAACGAAATATAAAGGAAAGAAAAGGAACCCGTTTTTTTGTCTCGCGATCTAACATGACAAAAGAACCCGATCATTTCACGTACTGGCACAGTAAAAGAGAAAAAGCATCATTACATTCCTACTATTTTAAAAAGCAAACGTATCCACCCTCATGTCCACTACTTCTGCAGCCCCTTCAAAGAGCCCAAGGAAAGCGCTAATCCCTGAGATCTACTTCGAATACGTACGAAACCAGTGACTGGACCGTCCTCGCCATCCTTCTCAATGCTAAGATTTGCAAGCGCATCCTCCCCTACAAAATATGTTAGCCGTGATAATAAGCCTAAGCTCAAAAGATAACTTACCGAAAACACTCCTAGCGTAAAGATTTGCACTCAAAAATTGACAGTCTCCCTTCAAGCTAGCTTCGGGGGTCAAACAAGCCATATTTGTACTCTTCATCAATTGATCTAGGAACTCCCTCAAACTCTTTGCCTTCGAATTGATATTAACCTTATTCTCCCACTCGAACTCGGTCCACATAGTCCTAAACTGCGTCTCACTGCAGTAGGCAGGTTGAATATAGTCCATGATATCAACATGAACATCATTGAGGATAACTACATTTGTCTCGGTCGATGCAGGGCCGTCATATACCACATTGCCGAAAATTACAGCAGTATCAGTAGATGAGACTTTGATCGTAGCTTGTACTGAGTGGAACGCATGAGGGCCGAGGTTTTGGGTGGTGGGGCGCTCGACAACCTTAAGATCACCGAGAGTTGCAAATTCAACAGAAAGGTTCTGGAGGGTTTCTGTGGTTTGGTTGACAAGCAAGACATCTAGAATGATGTCAAATTGGTGAACCTTAACGTATGCCTCAGCGTAGACAGAATCCGAAAACCCAGTGAGCTGAACAACACGGCTCAGTTTCGAAGTCAAGTCTTCGACATTAGCATCGCCGCCGGTAGCCTTCTCCATATCCACTTCTACAACGTCGGCGCTGTCGGCAGCGGACTTTTTGCTCAATTGCCTGATTCCTAGTACATCGTCGACCTGGATCATATTCTTTCCTTTCTCCAGCTCCTCCTTAGCTACCCTCTTCTTTTCCTCAGCAACAACCATAGCCCTGAATGCCTTTCTAGTGTCTTCCAGGAAGACCGCCTCAATCTCTTTCTTCTGCTCAAACTCGGCCAAAGACCTGACACAAGACATGATTCGATCCATACTGTCTTCATCAATCTTGGCCTTTACGAACTGACTCTGTCCAACCCGAATAACACTGATCATGATAAGCATGGCCTCAGCCTTAAGAGCATTGGTACGAGAAACATCCGCACCAATCTCAGCATGGCGCATGACAAGCTTTGTAAGTGTCCCAGCAAGGACGGATGCCAAGTAATAATCTCCATCAAGAATAAGGGTGCGAAGTGGTGGCTTTTGTGAAGCCCTGACAGCTTCAAGTTTTGCAAGACTCGCAGATTCGCTCGTGAGGGCACTCTCAGTGGCATAAGTACCATCGGCAAGCACTTTCCGAGAACCAGTAGCAGGCCCAGCAGGTTTTGAGCCTCCATTTGCTTGATCATCATCCTCTCCTGGTTGTTCATCAAGTAGTCGCTGCTCCGAGGCAAGAATAGGAATCTCCCCTAGACTCTGGCGTATCCGTTTCCAGGCTTCCCGAATATCCTTTTCCTCAACACAGTACTCCCCAACAATCCAAAGCGCTCCTCTATATACCTTTCCAGTCCGGACCTCGCTGAGAGTCGTCATAAGACGCTCAACAATGGATGAACGCAGAGCTGGGAACTTTTCGACAACCTCTTTCACAAATGCAATGACATCAACTGCAGATGAGTTGTTAAAATCGCTGATAAAGTCCATAAGCAATCCGACAACACTTGCAGCAACCTCGGAAAACCTGATTGCACAGTTGTGAATCGAATGGATCAATAGCTGTCTGTACTCGTTGTTCTGCGGGAGTATTAGAGGATCTTCAGGCCAAAACCGCAAATTCAATCATTGATACCTTCTCATAATCTTGGTCCACAGTCTTGGAGAGCTCCTTCTTGAGAAGCATAACAACTTCTTCGACGTTCTTACTCGAAATCATATCCATCGCAATATCCAGGACTTTTCTTCGCACATCGATATCGGGACTAAGCAGGTATGCGTGTTAAAAACATCCATTTTGTCCATATCGTTATTAGTAAGCTCAAAATACCTCGACAAAACACGCAGAACCTCCATAACCAAATCGTCCAGCACACCCTGATTCTTTTTTCGTAATTGGTCGACTTTATCGAGCACGATAAGCTTGACATTGTTGTCTGATACCTTGATGCACAGCTCGATAAATTTCCCGGCAGCCGCTTTGATAGCTACTGGGTTACTAGTTAAAGTAGTCAACGACGTAGCAGCTTCATAAACAACAGTGTTTGAAGTCGCTTCCAGAAGATCGAAGATTAACCGGAGGTATCTAGCCTACGATTCACACCATAAGTGAGAAAAGTGTCCTCATTGCTGAACTTGTCGAAGCTAAAAAAAAAACACACCTTGTTGCCGGAATTAAGCACGGCATCTTTTCTGATGAATTCGATGAGAACAAGCTGTGTAAGCTCATCCGAGTTGGCAATCTGATCGAACACTGAGTTCAAGTACTCCAAGGCCTTCGCATGAGAAATGGCGCTCAAGGCAGCGAATGCATTCCTTTTGCAAGTATTGTCACTCTCCGCCTGTAGAAAAGCCAATATAAGATCCGGGGCGTCGGGGATCAGGTGCTCCGAGTGAGAGTAGATAGACTGGATAGCAAGTACCGAATTCTTGCGAACATATGCATGGCGGTGCTCGAGACATTGACGAGCAGATGGTACTAGAGGCTCGAGGAGCTCGGGCTCACGAACTTTGCAGAGAAAACGTAAGGTTGCTCCACGGATGTACTCGTTTGCGTGGAGGAGATCGTTCCGGATGCCATTGCTACACGAGCACTATAAGTTAGTCTATGTCATCCAAAATTCGAACATTTAAGCTTCATAGCTATTCCTCATAGCCTTCAGAAAGAAGAGACCACTTACCAGACCAAAATCATCTCTTGTTTCAGCTTTCCACTCGCATCATGTTTTGGACAGATCTCATAGTAAAAGTATAGCAACTTCTTGAGTGGCTTGCTCTTACTTGGCATGACGAAACGAATGATGTGCATCAGAAGCTGTGGCATCGGATCTCCATTCAACATGATGATCAGGATCCGACGCATAGTGTCAAGCTTAGATTCATCGGTACCCTTTTCCAGCTGCTGCTGGAGCTGCTGGATCGATGGCTGATCCGCGGCATTGTCGAGGTGTACAATAGAGTACGAATGCTCGAGAAAAGAGGACATGTCGGGGTGTGACGCTGGATCGTCAGGTCGTTGGTACGTTTAGGTGTAGTGGATGAGGTGAGAGGAGGGGGAGGTTGGGTGGGTTGAGGCTCGTGGAATGTCGCAGTTGCAGGTGATTGAGGGGTCCGAACTCGTGGTAGTGGGGGAGAGGATAGCGAAGCCGGAGGATAGCGAAGCCGGCGGGAACGTCTAGAACAACGGCGACGATGTGCTCCCCTAAAGCTATATATTAGGTGAGCAAGCGTAGAGGGGAAGAAGCGGGCGGATAGGTAATTGACCCTTTAGTTTAGAGAAGCGAACACTGTGGTGTTTTTGACGTTCCTAGAACTATCCCAGGGGTCTATGCGTCTTGGCGCATGCTCTGCCATACGCTGAGGACAGTGTTCATCATCACCAATAAATGGACGAGAATATGTAGTTAAATTTAAGATTCAATAAAAAAAAACTTCAAAAGTAACTACATAATGTTGGGAACTGTAAACTACAGAATGTCCTAGTTCAATGTAAAGTACACCCTCTGAACCTTCTTCATATCGTGCCCGACCCATTGAATAATCCCAACTAAAAAAACTCGAAAGACACCAGGAATAGACAGAAAGCCAATCTTCTTACCATGCCTAAATTCAAAGTTAAGACATTTACCTCCTCAAAATTGACTCCCAGATTGCTGCCAAGCCAGCAATACCAGACCCGATAAGCTGAGTGTCCCTTCCAACTCCGGCTCCCACGATCTTCAAACTCTCATCTCCTAACAATCCCATAAAGTTGAACCCCTTGTAGTGAACCAGGTATGCTACAAGCGCCTTCGTCACAGCAAATGTAAGAGGGTCGGTCCTATATTCTTCAGGGGTTGTAGATGCAGTAGGATCATATGGTTTAGTAGACCTTGTCACATTTGCGGCAGTTGCAGTCAAGTTGAAGAAATACGCATTTCCAAGAGGCATCAGGACTGATGTCGTCAGCCACGTAAAGAAAGGGCTCCAGAACTCGGTGGTGAGGAGGACAAAGAAGTCCGGTAGGTGAAAGCTGCGGGTACTTGTTCCTAAGGAAGGAACAGCAGGAATTGTGACCAGATAGACTAACGGAATCAACTGATACAGCAAAAGCACTGCCTCGTAGGTCAATGTCACCGCATTCACAGAAACGACGTTCGATAGCTTATCGCGCAACTCTGTTGCCTTTTCTTGGACGTCAACTTTTTCGATCGTCTTCTTCGCACTATCCATCATAGCATTTACACGACGCTCAATGGCATCTGCAAGGGCTGCAGGGGTAGGTGGAAGAGGTGATTCAACAACTTCCTGAATAGCTCTCACAGCTCTTGGTGTACGGCTTGAGAGCTGACGGGAGGAAGACCTAAGAGTCCGTTCATGCATGGAAGGTGAGGGCGCTGGGCTCATACCGGACTCCTCACCGCTATTTATAATTTATAGTTAGACTAAGCCACAAAGAATAGAAATATTCCTAAAGATCTTGAGGTTCATACGTAGAGTCAGCAGTTGAGCTTTCTCGGGCAAAGCGCTCTTTGCTTGCCCTCCACCTGGACCGTGTCGTAGGTACATCAGTTGAGGAGGTTTGTAAAGAGGTTTTTGTCGGCGATCGCCTAGAATATAGGGTGTCGTAATATGCCCCAAAGGTAGGGTCGCTCTCTAGTTCAGCTCGATTTGAGTTAAGGTATTCAGTAAGTATATTCTCGTAGTCGTTCTTTAGCTGGCCCTCGGCTCTGTTACGTCGCTTCGTCAACCAAGACTGCACAGCTCCTCACGACGCGTATCGAGCACGACAAACGGAAGGTAAACAAAACGTACTGTAACCCAAGCTGTTCACATAGTTCGATAAGCTCTGCCTTCTTTTTCTTGCTAACCCAAAGTGAAGACATTGTATATTTGGCTGTAAAGATAGATCTAGTGAGCTCCCTGCAAAAAGTTACGAAAACACCTTCTGATTTGCTAACATAGAAAGAGTAGTAACCTGAGATGAAGAGTTATGTTATGTACGATGTGAGGAGAGATGTGATGTGCGGCGATGTCTGTTGTTGACAGCGAGGCCAAACTGCGGGGGAATGCCTGCCCTTAGCGCGCTCACATCATACTGCACTTTGGTAAATAAACAGAAGCCACATGCATATGAGTTCACGTTGAGCGTTGGCCGCATACCGCAGGGAGAAAAAACGTGATGAGGTAAATGCATGTTAGTCTACACGTAATAATCCTACTCTCAAAACTCAATAGGTACATGTATGTTTTAAGTTGACATCATGATTTATCACTCGCAACGCTTTACGGTTGCACTTGGGCACTGTGTACTGCTTTGTTAATAACAATGAGCTATGGTGATTTCCATACATTTATCACACCTTACGCAAGGGAAAGCACATGTAGTCTTTTAACCACATGATATCTATGTTCAAAGCTCTTACACAAGATTATAATGCATGAACAAACGAGTCCAGCTAGCTGGATACTACAATTCGAAAGATAAATTTCTAAAGAAGGCAATTACAAGGTGGACGACAAAGAATTATATTCTCGAGAATAAGTCAAAGAAGCGCTTCCTCACCAGTCCTTCCGTATCTACCATTCCTCTCCCCTCTTTGTTTTTGCTGGGTACTTTTCTCGACAATCAACCCTTCAAAGTCTTCCAATTTTCCAACAGCTACTCTTGGCTTCTCCGTCAATGGCGAGTATTTAACAATCCATCTGTTCTTCTCTCCGTCTAGGCTTAATGTTGAGCTTTGTGCGAGTATCTTCTTCCATATCCTTTTCCGGAACCTTGCCGTCGGGTTGTGCACTTTCGTGCCTTCCGGCAGAGGTAATGCTGTAAAGGCTCTTCTTCTGGGGGGCTTTGGGTTCTCCAAGCCACTTACAAGACGTTCGAGACGCTCCATGTGGTACTCGCTGAGGGGGGGGAGGACCTTTGTAAGGAGGCTTGAGTGATGCCTATGGAGCATATTGACTTTTCGACGTATGGGTAGTGGACGGCCCCAGATATTCGTTTCGGGTAGTTTGGGTACGATTTTAGAGGTGATGTTTCTGCCATGTTGGGAGGATAGTAATACCCGTAGTGCAGCTGAGATAGCTGGCGGTTTGCTACGGGGCTCATCGGGTATGAGAGGCTCTGGTTCAACTTCCGGATCTTGTTTTAAAATGGGCTTTTTAAAAAAAAAATGAATTATAAGGTAAGAAGTTAGTATTTCAGGTTAATTACGTATAAGCAAACCTCACTGCTGGCACAGACCTCTAGAAGCTCATGTTTTCTCCTTCCGGTTCGCCCATAGCTCATCTCCATGATTTTTGTCAATGGTTTGGGATCACCAGCGTTTGCACGAATGAGTATAGAGAGCCCACGCCGCCCCTCTTTGAGCAGCTTCGTTCGACGCCATGAGTCTGCCGTGAGATTTACTCGGAAACGTTGCACGATATAACGAGTAATATATATCCGTGCTACGTCATCATAGAGAACACTGGCCTGGCGGAGGAGATGTCGAAGGAGTTGCTTCGTCTCCATTGGTGGATTCGGTACTATGTAAGCAAACCCTTTTTTCCCCACTCCGCGTTCGACTGAGGTTCTATGAAATACGCGGTCAGCTGATCACTTGGCACCCTTATCGATATGAAGTTTTACACCGGTGGCGCGGCTGATCGAACTTCCTCTATTGCGTTGGTGCCATAGTAATAGTCAGCAAAATTTACCTAAACTAGTAGAGAGGTTGGGGTGAGCCACGCGGAACGCCAGCAAGACGCGCGCTCTTCTCCGCAGCAGCAGATCGCGACTTCCCTCAGATCTTTTTCCACGACTCAGATCCCGCTGTCAGCGAGTCATTCAAGTCTGCTCTCCCCCTGCAGCCTCAATCCCTTAGACGACCGTCAACAATAGCAACACTGGTAACATAAACAACAACGCGGATTCCTTATCATTACTCTCCCGTCACCTGTATATCCCGCGCCGACGTTGCTCTCCGCTGTTGCAATCTCCGCACATCGGAGGGTCTGGGATATCACCCTTCTGTAAACGTACATACCTCGTTTCTCACAAGCTTTTTCTCATAAGCTTTTTTCCCCAAGTTTTTATTATCACTTTACACGCTTCGCTTCCACCCCCTTGGCTTTAGCCCCCCCCCCCCCCCCCTTTAGCGCTAGTAAATTTATCGACCAAATTTACCCCCAGGTCTTCTGTACGCTGCTTGAGTCTCATCCCTTTCCGAGTGATGGCCTCTTCCTCTAGACCTCCAACTTTTGCTCGAAGCGGTTCATCATCTCTAACCGCTACTACCTCTATGTACCAGCCGTCCGCCGTCGGTTCTTTCGCTACAAACGGTTCCACCTCTGTGGCCTCAACCCCCAAGGAACCCCTCCTCCACCCCCGCTTTCTGCCCATATGGATGACTCAAAACCTACAATTTTTACTGTAAGTCTACCTCTCGATTTTATGAGATAATGTTAAGGAACGTATGGCTAATAGTTCGGTTAAACCATAGGCCACCTATTCTGGTGTTGCGGTATTTGAAATGCCAGTAAATAATGTTGCAGTGATGCGACGCCGTCATGACTCGTGGTTGAATGCAACCCAAATTCTCAAAGTGGCTGGCGTAGAAAAAGGGAAACGAACAAAGGTTCTGGAAAAAGAAATTCTCAACGGTCAACATGAGAAGGTCCAAGGCGGGTATGGGAAATATCAAGGGACATGGTATTAAAATAATTTACTCCAATCACACGATAGCACTCGCTGACTCATATAATAGGGTTGATTTTGAACGAGGTCGGGAATTCTGCCGCTCATATGGAGTAGAGGAGTTACTTGCCCCCTTACTTGACCTGGATGTTCTAGCTGCCAGTGGTGCCGATTCGACCCCCACAAAAGAGCAAGCCATGGCTGCAAAGCGGAAGCGAATGTATAATACCAGTCTGAGCCAGACAAATGGACACACGGGCCCCTTATTCACCCCTATATCATCCACCGTTTCCAATGCCTTTAGTGCCCTCAGTAAATCCACCTCACGAATGGATTCGCAAGAGACTCGGACAGCAAATTCTCAGAATTCCGTTATGTCATCGCAGGCATCTCAGGGTACTGTTCGCCCACAGGAATCACAAGGTCAAGAATCTTGGCCACCAAGTTTGCCGACAGAGACAAGTTTTGTATCTCAGGTTCAGCCTGATTCTACTTATTGTTCTCAAATTTTGACTGTCCCTGAACGAGATTCGCAAGAACCTCCACGAAAACGAGCCCGGCCTTCTACCCCACTCAATGAAGTATCTACCCATTTTTTCCAACCGCAAATTGACACTCCTCAAAGGCCTGTACAACCTGTAATAGCAGATCATATACCAGATGCCGAACATGCCCGGCAGACATTGATGAATCTTTTCATTAACCCCGAGACCGATTCGTCTGTGCTGGCCCAACTGGATACGCTCACCCCAGAACAAATCGATATTCCCCTTGATTCAACAGGAGGCGCTGCAATTCATTGGGCGGCATCTCTGGCACGTGTACCTCTTATTCGGGCCTTGATAGCAAAGGGTGCTTCGATATATAGAGTCAATCATAGTGGCGAATCAGCGCTAGTTCGCGGGTGTTTTGTGACCAACAATTTCGATCAGTTTTCCTTTCCCCAGCTCCTCAACCTCTTATATCCCACCATTCCTATTGTCGATAATAATGGTCGGACTATCTTGCACCATATTGCTGTAAAATCCGGTATGAAGGGAAGGAGTGCAGATAGCAGATACTACCTCCATTGTTTGCTAGAGTTTGTGGCCAAGCATGGTGCCTCGTCCACGAGTCGTACAGGTGGGCCAAAGGTGATGAGTCTGACAAGGTTTATTGGGGAGATTGTGAATGCACAAGATAAAAGTGGGGATACGGCGTTGAATATCGCTGCTCGGATAGGGAATAAGAGCATTATACAGCAATTGCTAGAGATTGGTGCGGATTCTAGTATACCGAATAGGGCAGGACTAAGACCTATCGATTTTGGTGTCGGTGGAGAGCCTGCTCCTGTCCCAAGCAGGAGGGAGCAAACCTGGATTGCACCGCCTGTTGTTGTACAAAAACGGCAGGACATAGTGAATCGTAAGTTCCTTAAATCCCACTGGCTTTCCATGCGGTCACTCTAACACGGTGACTTTCCCCTCTAGTGATAAAAGATGCCATTGCTGGCCTCGAAAAAGACTTTCAGGGCGAGATTGAGGCGAAGCAAGAGCAGGTCATGGCAACCCTGAACCAGTTGAGAGAGGTCACCTTAAAGTTAGGTAAAGAACGTGAAAACATGAATCAACTCCGCCAACGAAGTCGACAGCATGCTGAACTTCGACAACATTGTCAGAATCTACGACGCGCAATCGAAGAAGAAGACTCCCGGTTCAAGGAGAAACTCGGAGCCGTCAATGGCACTTCTCGAAGCATGAATGGAGAGTCAATGGATCCTGACGCCCCTTTTAAAATACTACCTGAATTTTTGGCACCTGTTACGGATGTTAGGAACATGAGTCAGCAACAAAGGGAATACCTACAGTCTCTGCCATCGGCATCAGCCCTTCGGGCTCGGGCCCGAGCCTATAGGGCAAACGAAGATATGCTTAAGGATGTTGCTAGTAAATTGCATGATCGAAGCACTGAGCTGGAGGATAAATTTCGAAGGGTTGTTTCTCTGTGTACAGGGGTGGATGAGGACAGGGTTGACTCGCTACTCGAAGGTCTCGTACAAGCTGTAGAAAGCGATCCAGGAGAAGTAGACACAGCTAGGGTTAGCAGCTTTCTAAGAAAGGTTGATGAAAGCTTGTCCTTGTCAAGGGATTAATCCTTGCGAAGTATAAACAATACTGGATCTTTATTTGACTGCTGTTCATGGGAGAATATTGCGGACATCATTGTCGTTTGAGGACCTTCATAGGCGTCATTGATTATTACTTATCACAGCTATCTTCCGTCCAGTCGATCCTTTTTTTACCTTGGTGTTTGAGAGGATTACTTGATCATCTTCTCTTCACGGAAACTAGCCCAGGTGCGCGAATGTTATTTCTTCTTTTTCTTTCGGAGGAGTGTGGTGCATTAGGCGTCCAATGTCATTGTTTCGGAATTTTCGTTTTGCATCTTTATAATTTTGTGCTGAATAACCCTTGATTTTTACAGGAATTCTTTTACCACGGGATCTTCGAACAAGTTATTAATGTTTCCATTTCTTTCTATGTACATGTATACATCAAAGCATTCATTCCTTTCTTCTTGGCCTGCGTTCTTTTCAGGGTGGAATTAGTTGTATTTTGTGGGGCAAATTGGATGGGAATGAGGTGAGAACGAAGGATACTATTTCCATGTTTTCTTATTGTACATAGCTACAATATTTATGTACACGACCGAGAAATGTTCTTTAGAGAATTTCATGGAGATGAAAATGGTGAATGATACAATAAGGGCCCGTTCGGACAACCCAATAATCTGACGGATTATCGACTTTTGGATTATCACAATAATCTATGCTGTTCGTGCAATTGAATAATCCAACATTCGGAACTCCTGATTATCCCAATAATCTGCTAAGAAAACAATCACCTTCGGAGGTACATGTAATTATTCCCACACAACACAGATATCCTGAGAGCTAACGTTATCCGGACATGTAGATTATCCACTTATTATGAGTATTATGATTATCATTTCCGCTACCTGATAATCCAGTCTGTCCAATAATCCGAAGAAATAATCTAAGGTTGTCCGAACGGGCCCTAAGTAATTGACGATGGGTGCTTACAATCAAGATAATGCATCGAAAACAAATAACTTTAGACATAACAGGAGTAATGCTACATGTACTCAATATCTCCCGGTTTTGGTTTATAAAGCAATAAGATTTACATTTGCAATCAATCGGGGAAAGGATATTTTATCTTCACTTTATTCGCTCTACAGGAAGGTGGTTAGGATTTGCACTCATATAATTCAATCGAGGGCAGTTAAGGTAAAATATCATGCTTTGGGTGGAATAGGTGTTTCCTGATTCGAGTGAGATCTGGTGAACATATACACTCCCTAGCGTCTCTCAACCTCTGGGCCACTCTTAGCCATAGCTACCAGAGTATCATCAGCCAATCTCATAACCTGCCATTCTTTCCCCATATTCTCTGCACCAATACCCTCATAGAATTTAATTGATGGGGTGTTCCCTATCACGCTCTTGTGTTAACTAGGCTTGGCACAAATGGTACAAGGAGTACTAACATTTCAAAACACTCCATTCTAACCTCGCTCCATTAATCTCTATTACTTCCTGCGCAAGGGCTGCAAGAAGTGCAGTGCCGTATCCACGGCCACGGAAATCGGGGCGGACGAATAGATCTTCGAGGTAGATACCGGGCTTAGCACGCCATGTGCTATAGTTATTGAAGTATCTACTAATTTATTAGAAGAGATTACTAAAGTTTATAGCCTACATTAAACTTACAGAGCCATTCCAGCTGGCTTCTCCCCTTCAAAGATTAAAAATGTCTTTGCATAAGCTTTAGATCCTTCCCTGAACCCTAAGGTATCGGTGAGTGTTTCAACAGTAGCAAGTACTGCATCGGGCTCTTTCTCGTAGATTGCAAGTTCATTGATGAACTCAAGGATAAGAGGGACGTCTAATGTTTGTTGGCTTAAGGAATTTTCTGTATTTCTTGTGCGGCTTGAGTAACTCACCTGAAGCGACAGCATGCCTAATGATTGGTTTGGTCATTTTCGATAATTGTGATTTTTGGGAGGAAGTAAAATAAGAGATTGCGGGGTTCACTTGTGGTGGGGTTACATGTAGGTACATGTAGTCTGAACTAGTTGCATGAATCAGCTTTGTAAAAATACATGTGCCTACAATATGTACTTAGGATTTAAGCTAGGTCCAGATGATTGTGCATAGGTAGGTAAAAGGTTTTTATTTGTTCAGAAGTTATAAATGCCCGAACCAACTAAAACTATATGTATCTAGATTTCGAGTATTGGGTTGTGTATTCGTAAATAGGTCAAACTGATGGAGGCTGACTGCTGACAACGACGCCTTTCCGCCGTCTGGGTCTGAGACCCTGGCCCTTCCAGGTTTCCAAGACCTATGTACTGCACCCCCCCTCCAGGTACACACAAGCTCCCTACAACACTCACTCCCGCAGCTACACAGCACCAACACACACGATGGCCTCCAAACCTATCTCCGAAGCCGATATCGGAAAATACTGGGAGATTTTTAGCGCGCACTCCCGCGATGGAAAGCGAATCACCGGCGACCAAGCCTATGGCATGCTCAAGAATTCCGGCTTAAACGAGGACCAGCTTGCTAAAATCTGGGATCTCGCTGATGTTGATAAAGACGGAGACCTCGACTTCGAGGAATTTTGTGTTGCGATGAGGTTGATTTTCGATCTCGTTAATGGGGTGTGTTCTCTCCTGAGCCCCCCCCCAAAAAAAAATAAAAAAAAAAAAATCCCGGCAGAGCTACGAGGAAGCTTTGAGAGGTATAGGGGGGAGCTAATGGCGCGTGTAGGAATTGAAAGCGGTGCCTACAAAGCTACCCGCGTTTCTTGTCCCAGAATCCAAAGCTCACCTTGTTACTGCTTCGGACGCACTCTCCAATGATCCGCCGCAGTTTGAAAGGATGGAAGACTTCGAGGATGATACTGTAGGGCTCAAAGATGGCTTCGATTGGTATATGTCACCTGGGGATAAGTCGAAATATGAGGGAATTTACCTGGCCAATGCAGGCGACCATGGGCAGATCCAGTGTACAACTATATAGCTTCCTATCTTGGTAACACACTTCGCTAATTGCATCCGTAGTTTCTGCATTGGACGGTCTCTATGACTCTATAAACGTCCCGGATACCGATATCCGCTTCGCTTGGAACTTAGTCAACCCTTCTTCGTCACCATCTATAGGAAAGGATCAGGCGTTGGTGTTCTTGCATATCCTCAATGGTCGCCATGAAGGTTACCGGATTCCACGAACCGTCCCGGCGTCTCTGAGAGCAACCTTCCAGAAAAACCAGATAAACTACGATCTTGATAAGGTGAAAGACACAGGGCGGGGCCTCGGAAGCGGGAGGAGGGATATGAACACAATCTCGGGGAAAAAAGAGGCATTTGGAGAGAGCTATCTTACAAGATTAGGGGTTGGTGGGAGAGGGAACTTTAAGCATTCTGGTAGAGCGTCAACACTTAACTATATAAAGCGGATACTAACTTTGAGATAGGAACCGACTTTTCGTCTACAAAGGACAAAGATTGGGAAGAAGTCCGTCTTAAACGTGAACTCGCAGATCTCGAAACCAAGATCGCGGAAGCGGAAGCTGCGGCGGAAAAAAGAAGAAACAGAGATAAATATGGATCTAGCGGATCAAAAGCAGCACTAGTGAAACGGGAACTTGAGCAGATGCTGGATTATAAACGACGAACTCTTCGGGATTTGGAAGATGGTGGAGGTTCGGCAAAAGGCGGTGCAGATTTAAAGAGCGTAAGGGAGGATTTGGAAATGGTTAGAATGCAAGTCGATGCAGTAGAGCAGCATCTGAGGGAGCGAGAAGGAGTACTGCAGGGTGTACTAGATGAGATTGAAGAGGAGAAAGGAAAGAGGTGATTAGGATCTGTGTATTGTTACTATTATGAGCCTTTGACAGTGAAGAAAGGGCGAGATTTTCTGATTGGAAAGCATTATCGAATAATTGTTGTCATTTCTTAGCTGTTTGTTCATTAGTCGGTTCTTCTTCTTCTTCTTCTTCTTCTTTTTTTGTTTTAGATGTGCTGCTGCATTACTTATATACATGTATCTACTGTACTCTATTTAAATTTACTTCTGCTACATCCGCATTAATACTTTATATCCCTTCGTGTGTTTGCACGACCAGGCGCTAATAGTCAACTTTCACTCGGTAATAAACCTAACCCCCATTCCGTGAACCTTTTGCTGTAAAGTCGCCTTCTGTGACCCCTCCTGTACCTTTTTCAGGTGTCTCCACAGTCTGTAGGTAGCTAGATTGAATATCACCGCACCGTGATGGCCTAATATGTCTCCGATTTTGCTCTGACGAACGAAGGGATATGGAGAGTTGCCATCGCTTCGTCAGTCGGTTGTTCGGAGAATTTGATTGATTAGATAACCCGAATTTACTTTATAAAGCCTAAAAGAACGCTACCAATTTAAAGTTCAGAGAATTGCACCGGTGTGAAGCTTTGCCAGGCCAAATATGTATCGAGACTTGCTGGGAGCCAATTCTAAATGTAGGACATAATACATGCAGATCTATTACTTCTTGTGGTAACAAGGCAGTGGACCTAGGTGATAAGTTGCTAACCCAGCCTACCCTTACCCATTGTGACTGCTGTTTCCTCCCACCGCCAAGCCCGACGAACACACATCCAGCGAATTTCTGTAACTTCACTACCGAATCCCCAACGATAGAGACGTCAAGCAACACCACAAACGGCCAATCCACCTATAATCCCCGTACCTCTCGTCAATCGACAAATTAAATAACCAAAAATGGCCCCAAAAGGAAAGAAGGTTGAGCGCAAGGAGGAGAACATCTCTCTCGGTCCTCAGATCCGTGAAGGTCGGTCCTTATCAGCACCTGGTTTATTCGCGGTGGAGTAGGATGGTGGGAGAGAAAAGGATTGCGGGGGAACTGACATTGAGTTTGAATTAGGTGAACTCGTTTTCGGTGTTGCTCGCATTTTCGCGTCTTTCAACGATACCTTCGTCCATGTGACCGATCTCAGGTGTGTTTCGCCCCAAGAATAATCCAAACCAACAAACCAACAATAGAACTATCATGAAAATGAGAAAAATTGGGTTTTTGGAAACTTTCTCATGATTCATGAGAGAGTTATATATAAAGGGTAGAGGCTGACGCTTCGTTGATCCTTTCGTTCTCTCCAGTGGTCGGGAAACCATCGTCCGTGTCACCGGTGGAATGAAGGTCAAGGCCGATCGTGATGAGTCCTCACCATACGCTGCTATGTTGGCTGCTCAAGATGTTGCTGCCCGCTGCAAGGAGGTCGGCATCACAGCCCTTCACATCAAGATCCGTGCTACCGGAGGTTTGTACCCCCCTCTCCCGACGACAGTACCATGGATGTGGAGTACTAACTACGGATGATATAGGTAACGGAACCAAGACTCCCGGACCTGGCGCCCAGTCAGCTCTCCGTGCCCTTGCTCGTGCCGGTATGAGGATTGGACGCATCGAGGATGTTACTCCTACACCCTCTGACAGCACCCGCAGAAAGGGTGGTCGTCGTGGTCGCCGTCTTTAGGTATGTATGTGCGTCTGGGAAACAAAAAAAAAGGCTTCGGGGAATCTTATTTTACTTTTTTTCTTTTTTCTTCTTCTCTTCTAGGGCTTCTGGGTAAATAAATAAATCTGGGCTTTTGTCAAGAAGAGTATTGAAATTGCTTAATATGTGCAGTGAATTTATTGGAATAGCTTGTAGAAATCATAGGGGGGTTGAGGTGTTGGATGTTCGCGGTTTGAGAGGTCATGTATCCATTTTCTACTAGAATACCTAGCGAGTGATAGTTTTATGAAGCTGAAGTCATGGTTGTGTTACACAAGGATTATCCCTGAAGGGTACCATACGATCTTGCCTGTCCAATTTGATCAATTGTTCAACGTGGGTATATAATAAAATAAAGCCCAACGACCTTCCAGAAAGACATATCAATACCCCTAGGCAAGCATCAAACATGTCTACCCCAGGATCTCCAGATCGTACCTTGCGGAACAACCGACTCTCAACGACTCGACAATCAACTTTAATAAATACCTTGGGGCGCGAGCTGGGCACTACTGGTGCTACAGACCCGTGTTCATACCGTGCGTATCTTCGACGCATTCGTGGATCGCCGGCATATTGGTTTCTTTATGATCAGATGCACATTTTTGCTGGAGTTCCATATAACCCACCCGCCTACAATCCTGTGAACCCAGTCTCCATCTTAGAGGTAGCATCCGATGGGTCAACCAAACTTTTTAGCTACGAAACCCTTGATGATTTAAAAGCGCATCTTAAGAGTCCGTTTGCGCATAATGGATATGCTGGTATGCCTAATCAGGGAAGAAGAGTGGTCTTGGTGACCGATATTCGAGAAACTGTGCTAGAAGTCTTAGGAGATACGCATGGGATGGATTTTGGTTTTTTTGCGGATCACTTATTACCGGATGAGCACATAAGCTATACTTCGAAGACAACAAGGGGCAGTCATCTCCATATCCTAGAGGAGACTAAACCAGAAAGTCGAAGATTCCAGTTTGAGTATAGGGAGCTAGGCCGAACCCGGAGAACACATCGGGACACGAGAAACGTGTGTCGAGTATTTGAGAAGCCTAGTGGACTATTGAATTGGGACGCGATATTTCAGAGACGATTCTCATGTTTCACGTGTAGCCCTCCTAGCCGGGGGTTGACTACAGGTAGGGGGATCTGATATTTAACTACGAACCAATTCTTACCAGGGGTTGCCTGCGCATAGATATATATTTGTTCGATGAGCATGCCTTCCGCGGCCCATTTGCATTGACCTCTCGGCTGAATCTTCCTTCATTCCTAGAATTCAAGGAAGGAGACGCGGCATTTGATAGGTCTCTGGGTATCAATAGATACAACCCCGTGGTAGATCCTGACAGCCAACGCACTCCGTTCCAACAAGAGCTAGTTGACTTTTTCAAAAGCTCTGATTTCAACGCTATCCGCGCTTTCGAAAACTTCTCATATTTAGTGGCTTATATATTAAAGCCCACTCTTGTCATGTGGCGACATTTATTAGTCAGAATCGAGCATTCGTTTCTTGGGGCAATGGAGGGTAGAATAACCTCAGACGACGTCCATGATCTAACCGGGGGAAGCTTGAGTTCTGTTAGTGCCGAGTTGTAAAAATGTGCACAGCTGATAATAAGAAAAACAATTCCGACAATTAAGGCATTAAGTCAAGACCCTAAAGCGGGGAATGATTTGGACGGCGTATTGGAGGAATTTACATCACTGTGTGAAGATATGCACTATGTTTCTATGAGGGCGGAGAAAGCGCACAGTATTGTGTTAACGAAATTAACGATTGTTGAGAGCAAGAAAGCCATCGAGCACTCTATAAGGGGAATTGAACTAGAGAAGAGAGTTGGAAGATTAACTTATTTAGCGTTTGTAAGCATTCCCCGGGCACTTACTTGAAGTTGAAGAAATTACTCATTTAATCTGGCTTCAAGATTTTCGTACCTTTATCGTTTTTGGCATCCTTTCTAGGAATGAACGGAATATCACTCGAAAACAACTTCACGGCCGAGACTAAACGTGTCATCTGGGTCTTTTGGGCCCTCTCTATTCCTCTCGTTCTCATTACTGTCTTCCTTGCGGTTCCTTATCGTCTCCTTTCCTCACTAAAGCGGGCTATATACCTTTTACAAAGACTTGCCGGGATCGGCTGGATATACGAAAGGGAAGAAATCGAAAAGTATTACCCAGAAGGAGGGGGTTCATGGCAAGAGTATCATAGATGGCTATGTTCACTTGGGTGTGAAAAAATAGAAGATTCTAGCCCAAGTAATTTGTTTGTTATGGAAAATGATGGTAGGTATTAGGAGGGCCGGGAGATACAAAGAAAGTTGGGTTTATATTAGGGACGTATTTGCAGTTGGCACATGCTTGGAAGAATATCAGATAGTAATGGTAGTACATGCAGTGGCGTAAAGACATGAACTAACGAAACATGGAGCTTGTACATAAACGAATTAACAAACAAACAAACAAGCTGGACACTATAACTAGCTGAACTTAAGGAATTAAGCAAAGAAGAAAAAAAAGAAAAAAAAGCTCATGTCCTGCGAGTGATATTTTATGATCATTAACCCCAACTTACTATATTGTAAGATCTATCCTAGTCATAGTATCCCAAATATGTAACTATGGGCACCGACTTAATGTGTCATGAGGTACGCTGATAAGACAAATCTAATTAGGTGCTTGATCAAGCAAAAAATCTAGCTTGAGGACGTTCATAATCGCCTTTGTAGCCGTAGTAATAATTAATATATTGTTACTATTGAAAGAGTAATAAACAATAATCTAAACTCTAGGTTCAACCAATACAGTCATGCAATCCATTGTACATACAATTAGTTCAAACACTACATGTGTGTACATATTACCCCATATTTAATACATTTTCTATTCAAACGAATTCGAGTAGATACAATACCAAAAAAGACTATGGATTCGCTGCGTTATTTCGTTAACGTGCTAGTAATGCAGTAAGAATACGGTATTCGTTTTGTAATGCCGCTTTAATTCTGTATTATTCACTGAATCCCGTAGTCATACAGTACTGATTTCACCCCGTTTTTTCGTACTGTAATTGGTCGACTGGCTCTGTTGATCTAGATCTAGACACATACATACATGTAGCTAGCTATACTCGGACACCTATACTCGGCTACCTCCCCTCTTATTAATTTGGTATGTAGTATGTACCTTTGTGGCCATATATATTACCACCGCCATTATCACTCGATCGAGCAGGGAAAAAGAGGACCATTGCAAATAGCCCTAGAATCCGCTCATGATCAGTCATGTTGACATGTGATTTCATGTACTACTCATCTATTTGAGGGAAACATAATAACCACGGCCGGCGCTCGACTCACTACTTCTTGCTGGTCATCGGTCATTATATATGTACGCGGTGACGGAATTGATCGATGGCAATAATGATGTTAGACGTATGGATATGCAACTAACCTATATCATGTGGCCTACAGCAGCCAAGGTTTGGAATGGTCCATACCCTACTGTATGTTATATATAAAGACTTGACGATTTAGGGCGCAGCTTGTATCATCAAGCTAGACTTGCAATTGGGTCTCCCTCGGGAAAAGTCTCCCTTATTCCTCTACTAGTACTTAATCCTTCTGGTACATGGTGTAGCTATACCCATTGGTAGTTCTCATAATTATGTGCACACTCTTAAAGGTGATATGGTGGCATACGGAAGTGGAACAATTGTGGCTGCAATAGGGCCTCATGGGCCAATAAGAGGGTCCATTTCTAGCCATTCTGCTGCATTACTGCCACGGATCAGTCAGGTATGCTTTTCTGTGGGTATAAATGGGTATAATACTGTTCCACTTTGTTCAGTCTTGACGCATTTTACATACAAAAATACACCATTTCAACTTGCTAAGGCTTTTCAACCCAGACAGATATCAAAAATCTGCAAAGATAGAACTAAACTTCATCTCTTGAACTAGAGTTCTATCTTTCCGCTTTTTTTTTACCTTTAAGCGTGGGCACCATACATGTAGTACACCATTAACAGGTTACACAACTTGGCCCGTTAAATTATTGAAATCGATTACGATTGATTACACATGGCCCCGTTGAAAGCTCTGATCAACGGTAAAGTATACACTCTAGGTAGGTACATACTTGCTCACTGGATTTCAAATTGAACTCCGATCAAAATAAAATCTTCAGGAGTTTTCCCCATGGTTTGAAAATCAGTTGTGCAGGATTAGAGTCTTTCAGTGCAACCCGAATATTCCAAGGAAATGGCCTTGGCAACCACCGGGGAACCGGCGATTGTGCGTTGTGACATATAGGACGGTAGAGATACGTGTGATTTTGATCAGCGAAACACCGAGTGAGTGCTGACTGGTCTAGTTATTTCTGGATAAAGAACTGATCTACCTCGCATTTTAGACGGTCGAATCAAAACAGCCGGAGCCATGGTTATGCACACCCGGGCATGCTTTCGGCGACAAAGATCTATGCAGGGTACAATTATTATTTATGCAGACGATGCTATGTTGTAAAAACAAAAACAGAAAACATGATACGCTGTGTGGCAATGCGAACCATATCACTTTGGTTCGCAACTTGAGTCGGTCTTGGATTCAATGCTGTGCCCGTGTTCAGAGTTAGCCAAGAGGTGAAATTAATATGATATTGCGTATGTGAGCCGATAGAGAACGGTGGACGGCGCACGGTTCATTATCATACCTAGGCCAAAAATTTGGTGATAGGGCAGGTTAAAGGTGGTGGCGTATGTGCACCTGTTGTGAAACGTTCAACGGCAACGGAATGAACGGATTACGTACTGGAATATATGGAACTGATACCTATTAGCGGGTCAGATTTCACACGGAGCTCCCATCCGGGGCCAGGTATATATCTATCGATCCTTTTGTCCATGTACCTACTCTACCTTAATTACTATACCGAGTGATGATATGTGATTTTCGGCATAGCCCGACTGTTCGAAAGAGGGGTTAGACATGATTGAAATGGTGTTCTAGATCTACCCGTGGCATGACCCTGTTACTGAATGAATTAAATTAGTCCTATATGCTTAGCATATCCCTCGATTTAGTCATGAGTAGGTAGGTAGGTACAGTCGGGGTACAGAGGTTTTGGTAAATTTTGGTTGCCGTTGCAACACAAAATTTGTATACAAAATCAGAAACACTCAAATCATGACTTTAAAAATTAGATCGCACACACCTGAAGAATGGACTTAAAATTCTAGAATTCTCTGTGCTCTGCCTTGAGATAATTTTCAACTGTCCTTGAAACTTTGAAATTTTTTGGATGAGGCTGGGTGGTTGCTTCGGGTAGCTAAACATGGCTACTTTGGCTGTAAAAAGGGTATATTACCAAAACTTCTGTCCTAGTACTATACATGTATTAGAAGGACTTTTCTGTGCGTATATAATGCTAGTATTAGTTATGGCTAGTTACAGATTACTCAGACAGGATTGGCTGATACATAACTTCGTACGTATGTAAAAATTGCTACTTAATTTTTAGAACACAGCCGCCCAAATGAAACCCAACTTCTATTTTACACCCACCAAACAAAAGACGTTCATTGGAAGGACCTAGTAAAAGAAGGAAAGAAAGAAAACACAGTCTAAGTTCTACAAGACGACACTGTTCACCAAAGTATCCATGTATCCCATAACTTCTTCGATCAATTCTGTTTTCCCAAACCCATCCAGCACTCTACCAGCGAGTTCCGTTAATTTGGGCATATTAGGGTCGCCTCTGTCCGACTTTACTACCAGATCTCTCAACCATTCATTTCCGAGCTTTAAAATTGTCACCAAGATATCTCCATCTACCTGACCTAGTTGTGGATCATGGTCTCCTAATGCTGATAGGTTACGCCGGCTCATACCAACTTTAGATCTATAAAGATCTTGGATATATTTCAATAGTCGCAAAGGGCCTTCCTCTAAGAGTGTGAGTTGGAAAATTGAGCCATTGACGCCAGCAGCAATGAGATCTTGGTCCGGAAAAACAACACCAGGACGTGGTTTATTGAGCTGCCATGGTGGCCTCACATTTCCCTTCCTTATCCGAGATATGGAACTGGTTAATTCCGCCTCTACCACTGTCACCAAACTCTCCACATTACGAGGATCTGAAAGAGTATCAGCAATGAATTTGCGCTTCTAGGAGAAACCAACTTACTTGGGGGTTGCCATAGTCCGGCAATGCCATACTGCTTATCAGTAGCTAGGAAGAAATTTTTGAAAAGCTGGAAATGATGAAACCCATTGCGAGCGGTATCATCGCTTAAAAATTAGAATGATGTCCACAAGATTCAAAAGGAAATTTAATTACCTGACAAGCTCTTTGAACTCTCCATATTCGAATCTGAAAATGAGCATTGAATCGGCGCTACAAGATAGGTGAATTAACGATCCCGTCACCGATATTTGCACAGCAGGCGATCGAACTTTCGCCTTGGCGACATCATCAAACCTTTATAATTGATTAGCATCAATATTTAAAAGACTATATCTGATAACGTACTTCTTTGATACTGCATTAAAAGTCTTCATGTAAATCATGTCTCCTGAGCAATATACTAGGGAACTAGAAAAAGATAAAGGTCAGATACCGAGTAATTGGGATGAAGGAATGTGTGGTAATTTACTTAGTGCTATAGGGTGCTAAAGAATAAACGGGCTCATCGCATTGTATCTGGAATCGTCGTCGAACCTCGATGTTTCCGGAAGATCCAAGGATAACAGAAAGCACAATGACCCTGCCCCTGTGTGCGTCTGCGGTTGTGACGTTGATATAATCTGTTCCTAATACGATGTAACGGTAGGGTTTATTTTCGATTTCAATGTTCCATTCTAGATTGTGATTAACAAGAGGAAAATATATTGATAAAAGATAATTATCAAACCTGCAAGGCAATAGATCTGCTCATTCGCTTTCCCAAAAATAAGCTCCTTTTTTGAACTGTCACGGATATCTCGGTCGGCTTTGGACTCTCCACTACATCTTCGTTAGCTGTTGGTTTTTTGGGGACTTTAAACCAAAACGGGGGGAGTCACAGACGTTCTGGGATCTATGAATCTCAGAGAACAGAACGATCTTCTTCTTCCAGGGATATGTCTCTCGCTCTCAACTCGGGGATCATCGGATGCAGTCCGCGAACAGGCAACAATAAGGACGTTAAGAGGCTTGTAAAACAAGAGCTTTCTGGGTGTCTCATTTAGGCGAAGTCTACGAACACAAACCTTCTCACTTTCCCCAACGTCAGCGTAAAATATTTGGTCCTTAGTCATACCAATCACGATATTTTCTGAATCTAGTGAGTTGATTTGCGCAAAGGCGACTAATGATGGCTATATGATTCGTTAGTTTCCTAAGATACTACAGGTATAGGGCACTCACTTCAACATCAGACTCTTCAAATACGACCTGTGAAGCTCTGAATTTCCCATTTGGAGAATCAAACCGAAAGAGCTCAGGCCCTGCCAAAACAAAGGCTGAGTCATACCGTCGCACATCAGGATGGAGCTGAACTGGGGTTGGCCCGAATTTTATCTCCTCGATTCTCTCGAGAGTAAGGCCTTTAAAAATTAGCCATCTCATTTCCAATCAGATAGTTGTGTTTTGAGTAGGCAAATGAGGTCATACATCTTTCCCATTTCACATTTAGTGCAAGCACAGTGCCACCTCTCAACCCGCACAGTAACGTCGAGGAGTTATTAGCGGCGAGGAGTGCTACAGACTCGCAGGTGAACAAAGCCAGTTGACCTTCGGTATTCCCCTCATACACTAGATATGTTAGTTATGCTTCATTAATCCTCAGAGGGACTCGTACTTGGTTTATCTAACAATGGTATTAACCCGTTCAACAGATCAAAAAGGAACATTTGAATTGTAGCTTTCTGCGTTCCAACAACTACCAGCATGCGTTGATTTCTATAAACAGTTATCATTAGGTATTTACCAACTTTGTGAGGGTCCGGATATAACTTACATTTCTAAGATAGTTATGAAGGTTGGGTCTTCAGACAGGGTGGTAGGTAAACCAACAGGATTAAGAAATTTCCCACTGCTACGTTACCATCAGCCTTTGTCGTATTTTCAAGAAGTGTATGGAGACTTACGTATTCTCATCAACTTGTATAGTAGCTAGTATTAACTCCACTACAACACCCTTTCGAATTGCAACTACTAAAAATTGGTCCTTTAGTGCTGCTGCTACAATGATTTCTCCCACATTACACTCATCCTTCATGGTGAGAGGACTTTCCATATCCATCCCAATATCTGCCATAGGAACATCAACATCCCCACCACCATCTCTATGAAGAGTGAGGTTCTCTTTTTTTAATTGAGTAATGATGATTGTACGAGGTGTAACTTGCACAGAAAGTGCTCCCACAGCACCCGCAGCCAGCGTGGTTTCGTCCATCTCCAAAAGACCAAACTCGCTTGCCTCCTCCCAGTCCCCAGATGGTGTTAGGAAACACAAGCTTGACCTATCTGGCAACGAAGAAAGCAGGAAATAGCCTGCACCAGAAGAATCGGGAAGAACCCAAAGCCGCCTAACGCCAGAATGATATTCTGCCGAGCCTTGGATTCTTGCTTGAATCCCGTATCGCAGTTCAGTGATTGCGCCATGGTCTCCGCGACCTGTGCAAGCAAATACACGGTCCCTTTCTGCCTTCCCACGATGTCCTTGGGCAGGTATTTTCACAAGATCAAAATCGAAAACTGGCGACCAATTGGCGACGGATTCTTCAAGCTTTGGTTCAGTTTCCACAGGATGTGGTCCTATCTTTAACTGATCGAAGAGTCTCAGCCCAGTCGCAGGGGAGTAGAATTAAATGTAATGGCTTTAAATAAGTTAATAACTGAACTTACTAGGTATACCCCACCACTGCTCATCTCCCCGCCTGCAACAAGCATATCATTTTTAGTCAACCCAAAATCCAACGATGCGAACGCCGTCCCTATAGAGCAATCGAGATGGCATGCTTTGTTGGCCAACTGTATTAGATTTGGTCCCTCCGTATCTACTTCCAAAAAAAAGATATCCCCATCTTCCATAGCCAGATACATATCATCGTGGTTATATGCATAATTTGGAGTCCTTAAAGGTCGGGCCCATGAAGTTACAAGAACTCCTAATAAGCATATTAGAATTTTTGAAAGTTTATCATTTCCGTGATTGACTTACGTCGCTGACCATTCGGAGGGGCAGGCGGAAATGCAATCTTTGCGAATGAAGGGCTCCCTGACATGATGTCTGAGGCCTTCACAACATGTGTTGAAAACTCTGTGACCAGTAGAAACGCGGAACTGATAACGAGTGGTATCACATGTAAAGGCATGGATATATCTAGCAAAGTTAGATTTACCAAATGGGAATGAACTGGTGGGAGTAGAAGTACCACTGGGTATACGGAATCCATGGTTTCCATGTTTAGTTGCCGTTCGTAACGTTTTTGAGGTCCACCACTCATATAAGTGTAAGCGTGATTTTTGGTTCGAACTATATAAATGTTTAGCTTATTTTTTAATTCAAAGTGAACATCTAGAGATAGAGGACGGACTCGATCACAAATAACAATAAAATCACGTGATCCTGGTCATCAGGAGATGGATGAAGGAATTCCATATGTAGTATCAAGCCTTTGACTTCGAAATTCTTTTCCTCTTTGATTGGGTTTAGAGTTTTCCCCTGGCGTACTTGCTGCTCTAGTTCTTCTGTGGAGTGAAGTGCATAAATCCGGAAATGATCCTGGTAAGCAGCTACTGCCAATGCCCTGGACCTGATCCAGATATTAGTCTTCATGAGCCTAATGACCTTTGTGGTTGGATATTCTGTCATACCGGGGATCTATAGCTATGGATTTCCCCAAAGTTGCTGGGTGGACTCCTTTTGAATCTATTCTCTTTGTTGAAACCACGAAATCTACTTCTCCCTGTACCTCAGAATCTTTTGCGTAGATGAAAGCAAGATGACCCGAATCTAGAGTTAGAGCGAGTATATGGGGTGGTAACATCTGTTTACTAGCATCTTCCCCATCTCCTCGCATATCCGTATCGTCTTGTAACTGGCTTGCTAGCCCTTGCCTAAAGATTGCATCTTGAGCCGAATAAAAGTGTTTCCTCGGCGAGCCAAAAACTCTGGCATGCCGAATGTCGGCTTGAAAATCGGTCTTTGATCCAACCTGACGGAGTTTACCATCTTCTGTGAGAATGTGTAATTCTATAAATGATTCCTAGAAGTTACTCAACAATCAATATATTTCTACCGTTTTAGCACTAAGCCTTAGCAGCATTAAAGCCATATGTTTAACAGCAAGGGCAGAACCAACCCCAATGAATACAACATCGTTCAAATCCTTACTCCTGATGCGAGCCGGGATGATCTGGCGAATGACCGGTGATTGCACCAGGGTTCGAGTCATTAACCCAAAAACCGGGGGTTCCTCAGGCGGATATGAGGGGGAATCATGAAGGTTATTATGTGCCATGAGCTGTTCACGGGCGATGTTCTGGTTCGTCCACGGCCTGTTTACCCATACGTGTGAGTTCGAATTCTCCATCCAAACTTTCCCGCTCCACCAAGACGCTTTTGTGCCGTTGAAAGCCGCGGGTCAAGAGTCTTATATCAATTAAGCCTTGAGCGCAACGCCAGATGTTGATTGGATTACCTATTTGGTGGAAAGCAAAATATTGGAGCTTGAGTATCGCTGAAAAAGCTGACAGCTGCAGGAGGCGAAATGGTGGGTGATCGAAGATCGCCTGCTTTGGAGTGTGTCCGTATTTTATGATGCAAGACGTATGTACTCGTGAAATGACGCACCAAGAAGTCTCTCCCTACAGACCTGATTCTCTACCAGCCGTTTCTTTACCTACTGCCCTGCAAGATCCCACAAGTTGCTGTGTCTCTGCGCCCGTGGTCCTTGGATCGGTAAAGGTAACCTACGCGCACTGGAGGCGGCGTTTTTGCCTGTAGTAGATGCAGCCCGCAGGCAGATGTAGCCGGTATCGTGGGTAAACCGTTTCTTTTTACTTTAGTTTTATCTTGCTAATTGAGTGGGCGCGGAGAGCTATTATATATAGGAGCGGTTACGAGCGACGGTGGTGTAAATTGATGTCGCAGAGGCCCGGAGCCCTGAAAGCTACTGACTGTGCTTCGTGAGACTCGAAGACTATAAGAGGGAGACCTTAACACTTTATCGTTCTACATGTCACACATATTTATTTATCTTACTTTCTAGGAACAATGATATAGGCCCCGGCGTATTGTAGAGTACATACCTTTACGCAAGGCAATCTAGGGCTAGATAGCGGCGATGACGGCAATAAAAAGACGCTCACGTACGCAACAGTTCCTTGGTGGAGGGGTATTCCTGGTGATTTTCTCACAAAATATCGGAGCTCTTAATATATCTTCATCTGGGGAATCTATACTGTATCAAAGCTATCCACTTAACATTGCTTTAATGCACATCAGATTCTCGAGTGTTGTACATATCTCACAACGGGCATTGATAGTCCTTCCACACTTTCTAAGTTCGTGATTGGGAAGGATCAGAAAAGAAAAAAGATTGGTAAAATGTTCCCCGCGGAGGGGTAAATACATAGGAAATTTCATGTTTAGAGACGTTAAAACTTCAAGGGTCGGGACGTTGAATGTTTGACTTGGCATTAAATTGCCTCAAAGGGCAGATTTTTACCCAACAGGGAAGCAACTATTTGTCTGGAGCCACGCGACGCGACTTGCTTTTCTCCCTTGCCGGTTAATTTTCAAAAACATCTGATGTGTCGCATTTTTGACTGCATTTGACTCTCCTTTCGACTTGGACCCTACATACATCCCACAGTACCTACATACCTAATAGGTAGCGCGTCTGTTCGTTTCCAGCCACCATCCATCTCTTTATTCCCGAATCTTCCAGCTTCCACATCCCACTGAAGCCTCGTTCGTGATGAACGACGAAAAAATACCGGCTCTGGATCATGGTAGTGATTTTGCAGAAGCTGAAAGCCCTGGGATAGAATACGTTTCTAGGCCTGTCTCGGGGGCAGAACGAGACCTTGGGAAAGCAAGTGCTGCTGAAGAGGCTTGCCTAGTGGGGGATCGTGAAGCTATTGCTAGACTAGCAATATCCAAGGACGGTCTACTCAATGACAAAATTCGCAGAAAAGCATGTATGTACTTCTCTGACAGCTTTACTTTGCCCAAGAAGCTGGGTTGCTAATCCTCTATAAATCATACAGGGCCCATCTTGCTAGGATACGACGATGCAGATGCAGTAACCCAGTCTCAACACGGCGATAAAGATGGATATCTCGAGGATCAGTCGAATTCGTCATCGTGGAAAGACCTCCCTCCTCATGGGGATGAGAATCAAGTGCAGCTGGACGTCAACCGATCGTTCATTTACTATCCCACCAGTAAGCGGGAGCCTCATCTGATCTCCATCTGACTGGTCCTAGCTGAATGGAACTGAATTATCAAGGATAGATATGTCACCGCGGGAGTCAAAAGCCCGGAAGCAAGAGCTTTCAGACTTAATTGTGGAGGTACTGCGACGTCATCCAATGCTTTGCTACTTCCAGGTAAGCCCGAAATCTCTCGCGAACAACTGTTTATTTATCCCTAAAACGAGCCAAAATAGGGGTTTCATGACATTTGTCAAGTCTTTTTATTAGTACTTGGGCCCAGAAGGGCCGTTCCGGCGGTTGAGCATATCTCGCTGCTACGTATAAGAGATTTCATGCTTCCATCAATGTCGCCCGCTTTGGATCATCTTCACCTACTGTACCCACTCCTATATGCCGCAGACAAAAAGCTTTGTGCTCATATTTCCCGGACACAGCCGTTCTTTGCTTTAGCTGCTACTTTAACCCTTTATGCTCATGATATCCAAGAGTATAGTGATATAGCAAGGTTATTTGATGTACTATTGGCAATGGACCCGGTTTTCCCTGTGTATCTCTTTGCAGAGGTGTGTCACTTCACTGTTTCGAGAGGGACAAAAAAACGCATATACTGCACTTCTTGCTCACTGAAACCAGATTGTTTTACACAGGAAAGAAGAACTATTTGAGATCCCTGATGACGAGCCTGAAATGCTCCATTCCATTCTTTCCAAACTTCCTAAGCCACTGGATTTGGAAGGACTGATTTCCCGTGCGAATCTTTTACTCGACACTTATCCCCCTGAATCACTATCAACATGGAGTAAAATATCACCAAAAAGCGTCCTCAAGACATCTCGGATATCACCTACATCGAGTGGGAAATCATACACTTTAGAACAGGCTGAAGGGTTATTTCACGCACAGTGCAGAGAATTAGAATGGGCAAAGAAGAAAGAGGAGATATTTAAAAGACTTGCAAAACACAAGGGGCCTACAACCGCCTTTGCCTTAACCATCGTTGTTGGACTTTCGGCTGTCGGATTGGGCTGGTATATGCGGAAGAGTGGTGTCAACTTGGATTTGGATGCAATTTCCACTATCCTCACCGGATCCGCAACATTAAGGCGTTTTTTCGCAACTATTGGGCTGTCACGTTGAAAACATTTGCGCCCTGTACTCGATATGTAACATGGGGCTCAGAAGGCAGCAAGATGTTTAGAAGGCTTATTAGGGATTAGATTTCGTATAGAGAAAGGACAAAAGTTTGTATTTATAGGCGTTCAGTTTTGTCTTTTACATATATTTTCTCCTCTCTCTGTTTTTGTATATGCATGTATTCAAAAAGTCCCTACTAACGGAAAGTGGAAAGAGCATCTACACTCGTTAGCTTAAGTGTGAGAGTTAACTTAAACTTACATTAGGTAGTTTTAATTATTGGTTTAAAGATCTACGCACGTCGTCCAAACAGGTCGCCCGGCCTTGTTCTGAGTATATGCAGTGACTGTAAGCTATCTGTACTTCGAAAAACTCAATAGTCCTTCAATTACTTAAGTACATGTACTCTACATATAGAGTACATAGTAGAGTATATATTATTCATGCATGTACCTACATATGCTGTTATGCCATACATGTACTCTAGTCCATGACTGCACAATTTTGTACCTAGAATTAAAAATTACATGATATATATAAAAATTAAAAAAAAACCTACATATGCTGTCCCTAACTTTATATAATGCGTTCTACTACACAAGTATTGTACTTAATAAATTATCAACCAACCAATCAACCAATCAATCAACCTATACAAAAAGTGTTCATTTTCAATAGCGTACAAGGTGATCCCCGAGTAGCAACCATGGGTCCGTAATATATATTTCTGCACTGCATGGTTTCTGGAATATTTCTGCCGCCGGGAACGCGATGGGAGATCATGCACGCCTCCTGCCTGGGAGCTCCTTCAGCACCACCAAAGAGGGGGGTATTTAGTATCATATACACATACAAATACACACACACACGCAGTTACTATATTCCGTTAAAAGAAGGTCTCACATAGTAAGGTTCATTATGTAATACTATCAGCTCACTATACCGGCGAGGACACGCAACATGTAGTAAAACTACATGTACATCAGTACAGTTTTGCACTGGTATAACCACATCACAAATATGTCTTGTGTAATATTAGCTAACTATAGCATTGCGCTGATCTTGAGCATTTATGTCTTTATTTGATATGTAAGCACTCTACCTTACCATATTTGAACGATGGGACATAGGCTTTGATATGAAGTGTGCATATCGAGGGACCCGGGAGGCACCAAACTCTCCCGCAATCACGGAACTCTTAACGCAGAGGCACCATGTGCCCCCTACATTGAGCATGTCCAATTACATTCAACAGATTGGCTTATTTAAGCTTCAGAGAAATAAACGAGTCACATTCTGCAACTTTTGCCCTCGAAGCTAGGACTTCCTGTCGAGTTTCAACATCCCGTGGTATAGACCGGGGAGAATTGCCCAAATAATTCCGAATGCCGGTGATAGAAACAAATGGTACAGGTAGCACAGCCGCTTGCCCGGTGATTCAGGCTTCGTCTACAAGTGTGTTACCGGCTTTCCCTGGAAGCACCTTTCAGGGTCGACGTCTAATGGGCAGATATAAATACATGTATGTATCGTGGCCGACGTGTATCGGATTCGATAGATCGCCAGAGTCTTTTTTTCTTACCGCACTTAACGCCATATATGGGGGGAGAATACATGTAGTGGTACATACATGTATATAAAATATTGAATCAACCGTGGATGGCCTGGAATGACCATTTGACAAGTTAACCAGCCACATGATTCTTTCCAAAGGCTGCGTTATAGTAGCAAAAGACGATCATGATTCTCCGCCAAATAAACTAATCTATAGACGCTATTATAAAAAACAAAATACGGATTCGAATTTACCTTGTATATACCTATATATCTACAACAAATACCTAGTTCGCCAAGTGTTTCATGGAGGAGTTTACAATGCATCTTTATCTGGCGAGGCGCGTTTAATTGGTAGCGATATGTCCGGTCCAAGGTACAGCTAACAACTGCAAAAGTACAGATGTAGGCGCATGTACCTACATGTACTTCCCTAAGTATGTACTCGCGACCAGCAACAAGAACCCGAATATGCAGCTGCAAGTCTTTGGTGTATTTTTGACTTCTACTCCAATGGAAATTGTAGATTAGGACGTGTATTTTCGGGTTCTTGTTGCTGGTCGCGAGTACTTTGCTCAGTCTTGGCGCTTTTTACATACAAAAATACACAATTTTAACCTCTGATAACTTTACAACCTAGACAGATATTAAAAATCTGTCATTATAGAACTAAAACTTCATCACTGGAACTAGAGTTCTATTATGACGCTTTTTTTTTTACCATTTTTCGTCGCAAAGTTATCAGCTGCCTTTAAGAGTGGGCGCACCATATGTACTAGGGTGTAGCGAAAAGTGATCAGAATCTGATAAGACAAATACACCTATTCACCGTAACATTCACTTATCAGATTCTGATCACTTACCCTCAACACCCGGTACATACATACATGCATAAGTACCCCCCGGTAGGAGGACTGGGTAGTACCGCAAAATCTGGGTTCGTTCGGACGGTTGCCAAGAGGACAGCTTTGCAGAGGAGCTGAAAAATATCACCCTTAAAGGAAGAGATCAGAGCCTTTTACGGCAGGATTACGGCCAACACCGCTCTTGGCAACCGTCCGAACAAACTCAGATTTTGCGGTAGGTACGAGCCTAATGAGTACAGTCGCTCACCTACTGACGGCGGATCCTGTCTGATGGTTCTGTTTGCAGTAATTTGTCCTTGGCGTCCATAACCTAACTCTTTTATTGGCCTCAAATCCCTGACCGCCATCAGACAGGATCTACAGCGAGAGGTAGAAACAGGGGTCTAAAAACAGGGTTTCTGTGGCTGGGCAAGCCAATAGAACTCCTCCCATATTTCTACAATAATCTTACCGCAAGCTGTACATACATGTATGTACTTACGTCTTGAACCTACGAAAAGAACCAGTTGCTCAGAGCAAGGATTATTTGTATGATCTCTCATACAAACTATCCCTGTTTCCGTCACTTGCATTTTCTGGTTCTTTCCGTGGTAAACGAGTAGAGTTCTCTCACCATGGTACTTAATTTGAGAATGGCTTGCCGAGAATATGTCACCAGCCGCCGTGTCCAGGTCATTAAATTTTCTCTCCCGGCAATACACGTATGTTCGTAGGGTTAGTCCGGATCAATAATAATCATATATGCCCTAAACGGCCTCCTCCCTCATATGATCATATCTGGCATGTCCAGGAAAGGCCTGCTCTACGTAGCGCTGTTGGGACCAACAATTCATTTTTTCTCCTCAATTTTCTTTTTCTTTTTCCGATTCCCTGCGGTAAAAAAAAAAGCTCGCGGCAACAAATGAATCAAAACGCACTCAGCTGATGGCCAGGGAAGCGATGGATCACCCTTACACTCGGCTCACTCCTGACTATCCATACAAATTGTACTCTACTTCGATAAAACGAGAAGAGACTGGCGGTACTTTTGCTCTTAGTATCAGGAACAGAAAAAAAAAGTGATCGGGTCAGGAAAAGCAAAATTCCATCCTAATGGAGCTTGAAGTCCGATTTAAGATTATACGTCATCTGCGGCTCGAAAACAAGCTTTTTCATCCGGACCAATGCCCTGAAATAGCTTATCTCTTATCTCTTATCTCTTATCTTGGATAGCCTTGTGGCATTTCCTTAAAGGCCCTTTATATACTAACTGTTCAAACCTATTTTCTTTGATTAGGGTGAAGAATGAGTAGAGTTTACTCCCTTATTATACTAAGAGAGAGGAGTGCATGTAATATAAGAGGGTATAAATAAAGACGCTTTACAGAAATGGAAAAGCTACAGACTAAACCAAGGAAAACAAAGTACATATATGTAGAGTAGATATGGCTTGAAGGTTCAAAGTATGCATCGTTGCTTCTCTGGGAAAAACAGGAATCGACATCCAAACAAAAAGTTTCCAAATGCTTATGCTTCATGAATATCAAAAGAAGAAACTCCAAACATGATAATTCCCAATAACTCCATCCCAACTGATAAAATGAAGAAAGAAGTGATACAAATATACAAGATAACGTGCTAGACAAAGTAAAAGTCTAGACGTAATATTCACGGCCTTAAGCGCGCAAAATTATTACTCATGCCATGACCTATCAAGAGGACCATCAGCAATGATACCTCCTTCAACCCCCAAGCTCTTCAGCTTCCTAGCCAATAACCCATGTGGTTCACCCCTAACTAAAGAGGTTTTAACGCTCATTTTCTCAAATTCGCCAGCATCACCGTTGACATCGCTGACCGAATCCAGATCCATCATTTTTCCATGGTCCATCTCAATGTCCGAAGGCGTGAACAGCATTGCCTTTTCTTCATCTTTTGAGGGGGGCATTCCTTTCACCCCAACCATTTCCGAATAACTGGCCCTCCTTTTCCTGTGGCTAGCCAAGGAAGTAAGTGTGGAAGTGCTGTTTTCTGCCTTCCATGGACTAAATTTCGGTTCGGGCCATAAGACCTCATTTCTCAATTTCTCCTTACCATCAGGGACTCTGTTGGCAAAAACAATCCTAATTGATTTGTGAAGGTAGTAACGTCCTCGACTAGGGCAAACAATGTGCAAGTGGATTAAATAACGCAATGCATCCTTTTCCTTTTCCCTTTTCATAGAAACCGTAGAACTTTGGGGAAGATCCGAAAGCAACGCGTTGCCCGCTGAATAACTTTTCTGTCTGATGAATGTTTTCGTACCTGCATCCATATCTTTGAGATCATATGGAACCAAGAAAAGCTTTACGGCCGTCTTATTTGGGTTCTTGATCACAATTTGGAGTTGCCCACGCTGAGGAATGCGATAGGCGCCCCCAACGCCAGGAGGAACTTTCGAAGGCTTGTTTTTCTCGGCACTAAGGGCAGTATCGAGATCAATTTGACCCACATAGGGAGAAGGACTATCGTAGTCGCCCACAGAGTAAAAATAAGCGGGGAAAGGTAAGGTCACATGGGCCGGGCAACGAAGCGAAGCTTTGCATTTCCCAATTCCCAGAACGCCAATTTGAGCGACGAAACTGAGTGGTTTAGACGGGGTGGTGGACATGCGGCCATTGAGTATAGATTCTTCGTAAGAGCCGACGAATGATCCAAAAGGCAAATCCGATGTAGAGTTTGCAAAGCCGGAAAGGCGGCGAGTTTGGCGAGAAGATACTGAAGGAGACGGGAGCTCTTGCCAATTTTCCGAAATACGCCGACTGCCAGTCCCTGATCCAAAAGACTGTCGAGAATTAAGAGGCGCTGATGGCGAGAGTTGAAGTGAAGAAAGTGGAGATGCCGGGACAGGGAAACGTTTCTCTGATTTGGATGTAGAGATAGCTATTGGTTCTGTCCAAGTTTGTAAAGGGTTATTTTCATTATTGTCATTATCGGGGTTGGATGAGTGTACTAGTGGTGATGTCGGTGCCTTCAAAACAAAATTTGAGAAAGATGGGGCCCTCTGCCGGGTTCGGGCTTGGTGAATTTCGGAGACATTGTCCGCACCAAAAGCAATAGTTCTAGGTGACACAGACGATGGGTTTGTCGAGAAGAGAGATTTGAACTCCAAGCTCAATGGGGAACTTTGCTGAAGGATGGGAGATTGAGGATAAATCTGGCTATTTCGAGATTCATTTACAAATACTCCTTGATGAAGAGCAGAATGTGGACGGTCAGGATGTTCATCGATGAAATGTTGTTCTGGTGAGTGTGTTGTGTGGTAGTTGTAGTTAGATAGCTGTGTCGCACTAAGTTAGCGAGTTGACAAAGTTCGGATGAAGGAAGCGGCATGGGATAAGCAATATGGAACATGTGGGAGCAACAGGGAAGCAGCAGCAGAAGCAGCAGAAGTTGTGGGGTAGGCAAGTTGGTGGGTGGGTGGCTAAAGAGGAATTACCGAGCGATTGGGAACCCAGGTAGAAGTTTGACCAGCTTTAATTCTTTCAATCAGTTCTGCCCTGTCGGTGACTCGTGACGACGTGATGATTTCTGGTAAAGATGACGGCGTTGTGGAGGGGAAAGTAGGTGGCGAGTCAGTTGGGCTGGGATCATGGGAATGCATTTTCAACTGTACTTGGGAAGATTCGCCGGCCACCTCGGGTGGTTGTGGTGGTAGTGGAGGAGAAGGATTGCGATGATGGTGGTAGACGAGGGGCATGGAGAAACACTTGTGGCAGTAACTTTGACGTGGAATGGGAGTTTGCTATAGAGAGCTCCATGAGTGAGTGAATATAAACCGAAGAGGAGGAGAAGAGGAGCGAGGACAAGGACAAGAATAAGGGTAGAACCAAGGAAGAGGAGGAAGGGACCATCCGGGTGGGGGGAAATTACATGAGCAACCGTGGAGAAACAGCTCTCCATGCTCTGACAAAACTCATCGATCTGAACTATTCAAAGGGTATCTATCTCTAACGCCTACAATTTTTCTTCCAGTCAGGATACATATCTGATCTACTGTACTACCTGCTGGCTCCACTTATTCTCACGCTTTGATTGTTCGCTCTTACTTTTACATGGTACATACCAGCTTGATTGCATGATACTCTGATTCCTCCTACAAAATGCCCCTCATCGGCGCCTGCTTTGAGAGCTACGTAGACTAACAGCGAGAAGGGTGCAGCGCGCCCTGCACTCCACCTTTCGCCCGATACCACTCTAGAGTACATATACTCTAGATCTATGTACATGTATGTACCTAAATGTAGGTACATACATGTACTCTAGTGCACAGCTTACTTACAACCTCTACCCCCTCGCTGGAACTTGGCCTACAACCTCCTAGCCACGAGATAGCTTCACCAAAAAATCTACTCAAAATCTGGCCGAAATTCCCGTATTTATATTCTCATTCACCTCTCCAACTGCTCTAGCCCACTAAAGTACATGTATATGCAGATAAATGTACCTGCCCATACAGTCAATTTAGCGATATACCGACCTAGGTACCTACATTAATATTATACTGTATCTGCACAAGTTTATCCTCGCGAGGCCACGCTTCTTCAAACCACGGTACTTGGATATATTATGTTATGCGCGTATGATGAACGAAAGCGCAGTTAGCGAAAAATAAACTGGAGGTTACCAGCTGGGTTAGTACCTACCTACATAGGTACATACATGTACTCGCGACCAGCAACAAGAACCCGAATATGCAGCTGCAAGTCTTTGGTGTATTTTTGACTTCTACTCTAATGGAAATTGCAGATTAGGGCGTGCATTTTCGGGTTCTTGTTGCTGGTCGCGAGTAGCTAGGTACACCCACAGGAAAAAAGTGACGAAACAACGCTTGCACTTAATATTAAACTTAATAATGAGAAGTGCTTGAACTACAAAATGAGAAAGGGCGTACATACTACGGCCTCTAAAGTGCATTTAACACCTTTTATAGCCTCCTTCAAATGTCATGGTTGTTGCTTAACCGCATTGGTGGTCACTCGTTGTTTCGTCGCTTTTTCCTGCGGGTGTAGGTACATGTAACTACAATTCCCTTCTCAAAAAATACACCCTTTATTTCTTTCATTAATTCACTGAATACATATATCCAAACCCGTCAAACACTTTGGTCCAATGATTCGAGATTAACCCACAAAAAATGGTTGTTTCCGAACCTCTATGGCTCACATAAAGTAATGATAAGCGCCAATCTTCATGGGTCATGTTTCCGACAAGAGCTTAAGCTTGCCCCTGCAGTCCAAAAGAGAGGTACCAACTTCAGATTTCTTTTTTCTGCTCTTCTCTACTTTCTTTTTGTGTCTAACTCATCTATTACTCTCTGGTGATTTTTCTGCTTGAAATTTATAACAAGGATGATGTTCTAGATATTCCAAGTTTAGGTAGTACAATATGGTGCGTAATCTACAGAATTATTCAAACTCTCGTTTCACAACGCACCCAACCAGATATGGTCAACCCCGCTGTACCTACTCTAGAGTATGCATGAGAGTCGGACAGAAAGGTGGAAGGCGATCAGTGCATGCAGCTACTCTACTCTACTCGTAGCTTTGTAGCGTTTCCGAACACGACCAATATTGCATGACATACAAAAAGGCGCTTTTTTGTATGGTATGCAATAGCAGTTGTGTTCGGAAACGTCATGAATATACGAGTACATAGAGTACATAGAGTACATGTATCTAGTACCTATTCTAGAGTACATACATCTACCTACATGTAGGTACTGTACTAGTATTTCTCTGACGTTTTTGAACTGGGCCATTATTGCATACACCCAAAATCATGAGCTTGGCGTATTTTTGTATGGCATGCAATATCAGTCGCGTCCACAAACGTCAGAGAAATATGAGTAGAGTAGAGTAGGTATGTACATGTATGTACTCTACTCTAGGTCTGAACTAGCTGCCTTATGCAAGACTTGGCCTATATGCAAACCCAGCTGTGTTCAGAAACGTCGTTAATTTGAACCCAGAAGAGTACCTACATCGGCGCCCGGGGGTTGTTTGGCACCAAAACCAATTATTCTGCAAACCCCTCCCTTCAATTGAACTCATGAGCTACATACATACAATACCAGTGCCTAGGCACCCAATTTAACAATTATTCAACTCGTAAGCACCCCCCCCCCTCCTTTCTGCCCTCTTTCTGCCTGCTCACTCAAGCTTCTAAAAAAGAAAAAAAGTGCGGGGCTCTTTACCCTATCTTATCATTAACAACGGGAAATGGGTACAGTAACAAAATGGAAATGTCACTAGCGTTTTAGGGGCGTATCGCGTCCGTATCAATAATGAATTGAGACGTGGCGAAAGATCCATAGTCTACATCGGATACAGATTTCTCTACCACCCATATATAGACTGATAGGCAGATATCGGCAATGTGCCTATCGCGCAAGATTAGCTGCAGCAAGACAGAAATTCCGCAATTTTGAGATTTGTGTGCCTACGTAGCTGAAACCCATATATGCGATTCTAGCAAACTACCCTCCAAATGAAAGGATTGATTTCATGAAATTTAGAAATAACACCTAAACGCATAAGTACATGTAGGTAAATATTAAATGAGACCTAGGGAATGGAGAATTGTGTCAGATCGGTGAGTGATGGCCTATGATTCAGTGCGATTGGTGTGTAGTAGTGTCCAGAAATATGGCACAATCAAATATTCACAACTTAAATGTGACGTTTTGAGATTTGTATGAGGTATTCATTAAGTTTGTGTAAGAATTACAATTCATGTATTGCTAGTAAATGCGTGCCACTGTATGTAGTATAGTAAAGACACGAAACGCCAGAAACACTTAAATGAAACAAAGAAATAGGTTTAATCTTTCTTCAAGATGAGCCCATAATGGCCTTAACCTTATCCAATAGCATTGAGCCCTGCTTCCCCAGCTTCTGCTGACCTTTCGCTGTCCGGGCACCCATGACGTTCTTCCGTCTCTGCCTCTCCCTTTCTTTATGTTCGCGATTCCTCCTCTTTTGCTCAATCTCCTTTAATTCTGCCTCACGTTCCGCCTGAATCTTTGCTGCATATTCCTCTTCGCGCTTGAAAGATGATGTTTTGGGCTTCTTCGGGGGTCGCCGTGAGCGATATCCTTTTTCTTCTTGATAATTTTCTTCAACTGGTGCTGGAGTCTCCAATGCAGCTTGTCGCTCTGGGTGCATCTTTTGGACTTTGGGCTCTGGAGCGTCTTTCTCCATCTCCCCCGACTCTTCTGTTGCCTTCCGTATCCTAGCACGTTCTTTCTCCTCTTGCTCCTTCAATATTACGGCTTCTTCGAGATATTTTTGCGCCTGGGCTGCGTATGGGTCGGTAGATGATTCATCTTTGGAGACGACCTTCGAGAATGTTTTCTTGACTTTTGCTTTGTGGATGAGAGACTTTTTAATCTTGACAACTAGAGCGTGAATGATGATATTAGTGGGTGAATTCAACAATACTTCAAGAGGTGAGTGGTCTGAACCTTTGCGCCTGTAGGTTCCGTCAGGTAGGTTGGCAGGGCCAACATTAAAGCCCTTTCTTCTCTCAGGCTTTTCCTTGAACTGTTCCTTCGCCATATCTCGTTGTTATATAAGTTTTGGGGGATGTGTTGACGTTGTAGACCGTTTTTTCCTTTCTTAACGTCACATGTTGAGGCGTGTCTTAGTCACCGAGCCGCATTTTTTTTTTGTCCAGGCGTTTCTCGTCCCACCTCTGTTGCTTCAAGTCGTGACGGAACCCCGCCATCGGAGCTGCCACATTGAACATTTGGGCTTCAATTCCTCTGAAATTAGTTTCAAAGCCTCCCGCGGCTGCAAATATCACGTTTCGCGCGTGGAGGGCATGTCTGAAGGTTTGTAATCAAATTTTTTTTTATATGTTTGTGTGATTTTTGTTTCAAGAATTGAGTGCCTGATCATTCCTCCGTTTCTACAGACATCACATTCAATTCGCCTGTACGGTTACGGTTACCAGCTGGGGTGTTCACGGGGTATGCTCGAACGGGTTTCCATTCGATTGGAGACTTGCGGTCGCCGTCTTCTACGTGGACAATTGAAAAAGAGGATGCTACATTCTGCATTCTGGGTTCACGGAGCCGGTGAATTGGATTTCAGTTCAACAAGCCTGTTTGGATTTGGGTTGGGAAATAGTGGCGGAAAGGGACCAGATAATTACGACGAGGAGAATGTAGAGGGGGGTCGTGAGAAGGGTTGTTTAAAGGGCCGAAGTGCCACGAAGGATGTCGTTCGATTGGAATTTCTATACCCAGCAAAGACACTCGCATTTTTACGATATTTTTCGATGCCACTACGCAGAGAGGATCACGAGTATTTGCCGCCCGGAACAGTATTTTCTCATGGATCTAAAAGACTATACACAACTGTAAGAAAGGAGCCAGGACTTGAACCGGAAATTAGATTCCCTGACGCCGAAGCCATGCCAGAGTGGGATGAACGGTTTATAAGCCTTCAACATCTGCAAGGGTCTGGAGAACAAGCTTATTACGATCAGGCATGGTATCATTATCTAAACGAGAAAGATAGAGGAAACCTTTCAGCTAAGAAAGATCAACGATATTGGATGCTCTCATATTTACAGTATTCAGACCGACGGATCGATAAAGAAAGGATTGTGACCATGTTCCAGCATATATCAGCCGAGAAAAGGACACCAGATGAATATTCGAAGATAGTCATTGCCCTACTTGATCTCGGTATGATTGATGCTGCCTTTTCGGTTCTGAAGACCAATGTTTCGCGAGGCTATAGCTCGAAGCTTGCAGGCTTTGAGCAGTTCATTGCACATTGTATCGACTACGACTTTGGGATGGCAGTGAAGGCATGGGAGCTGTTAGAAAGTTGCCCACCGACACACCCCCATTCACTCAATACTACTTTGATTGCCATATTGGTGCCCAATTTCAAGGAAAAATTCATTCATATGGCAGAAACAATGCAAAGAGGAGGTTCGATACAGCGATTTGTTGAGGAGCTGTTGAGGGGAGCATTGGAATCATTGACATCTCCACAGGTTTCCCCGAATGATTCTCTGGAATACAAGCATATATGGGACCTTATGCAATCATTAAACATGGAAAAAAGAAGCGCAGACTACGAACACGTCCTTTTTCACCTTTACCGCCACCAGGATTTCGTTCAAGCCACAGATATATATCTTGAATACCGAGAATTTGCTGGTATCAAGCCGAGCGATAGCGTGTTGAATGCTGCACTCCGCGCTTTCAGGGAGCAGCTGGATTGGAAGGGCATGCAACTGGTTTTCGATGATTGGTTCGCTTTCGGATCCCAACCTGATCAACAAGCCTATTACATTCTCATGAAGGAAATGGCACGACGGGGCGAGTCGGGTATAGTGAAGGAGTTGGTGGGCCAGTTTTTCGAGCGCTTTGAGTTGCAAACCGTATTCCCGTATAATCACCTGATGCAGGCGCATACTATCCGTGGGGAATTGGAAGAGGTGGTCAAGGTCTTCAACACAATCAAGGAGGTTGGTTTGACACCTGATAGAGTATCCCACAATATCCTCATCAATGCTCATGCAAAGGCAAATGACGTGGATGGGGCTTTAAACCGGGTCCAGGATATGTATGCTGCCAACCTAAAGCCCGATGAATATACTTTCACTACATTGATAACCATGGCTTCGGAGCGTGGTGATATTGAAAACACCAAGAGGTTGTTTGACGAGGCAATGGAAAATGGTTTCGAACCAAACAACATGATGTATGCAGCCTTAATCGCTGCACATGTGTCTGTAGACGATATTGAGGCTGCAGAGACAATTCTAGAAAAGGTGGAAGACAACAGAGCCGAGAAACCGGAATCTACAATCAAAACAACACAGCTGTGGAATAACTTGCTCGCGGGATACGCTTCGAGGAAGCAAACAGATAAGCTGAACACAGCATATCACCGTATGCGAAACTTGAGTGTACCTTTCGACGAATACACTTACGGAATTATCATGCATTCGCTATGCCTTATCAACAAAGTTGAGGCCGCCTACAACATCCTACAGGTCTTACAGGAAGAAGGATTTCAACCGAGCGAGATTCATTACTCTATTCTTATGGTGGGACACATGAGTAGAAGGGATACTGGAAAGGTGTGGGATACGTTTCGGGAAATGCGAAAACAGGAAATCACGCCTCAGTCTACTTCGCTAGCACTTCTTATCCAGGCGTCAGCATTCTTGGAACACTCCAAGTGGCGGTTACGGGGTGGAGCACTGGCATTGGAGTCTGCAAATGAGATCCTAGTAGAGGTCACCAAAAAGGTCGAAGTGTTGGACCTTCTATCAATGGACCCAGTCAAATCGGCAACTCCTCCTTGGCTTTTCACACCATTGGTCTCCATTTACGGTAAAGAACGCATGTACGCAAAAGCTCTGGAGAAATTCGAAGAATTCCTCAATCTAGCCCATGCGCAGAGGCCCGGTGGAACCAGACCCACACTTAAGATGTATATAGCATTGATGAATGCACATATGAAGGCAAACAACACCGACGGCGTGAGGTCAACGTGGGAGAGTTGCAAAAGACTTGCCGGAAGGTTGGCTAAACCTGTCCAACAATCCACTACGAACACTGCGATCTTTCTTAAGCGTCACACCCTTTGTTCTCCGTTCAGCATTTTCATCAAAGCCATGTCACAGGCCGATGATCTCACATCAATAGATATAGAGATGCAGATTCTCGTGAATATGGGGTACGAGTTCGACAATAATGTTTGGAACGACTATGTTCAAGCATTCACCATAGGGGGAGACCTAAACCGAGCTTTCACGGTCTGTGAGAAAAAGTTAATGCCAGGGTGGCCCGGACGAAAGGGGTACTATTACACCCAGGCCTCAGATATGAAGCCCAAAATGCCAACCTTCTACCCCTTCATCCGGACTCTCGAAACAATGACAACCGAGCTGCGACAGGTTGAGAACTCGATAAGGGAAGGAAATAGGGTTGCAGATGGATTAATGAAGGATTACGACCGAAATTATCCGAGGACTCTGGAAGCTTGCCAGAACTTGATCGACAAGGAGCCAAGAATTGCAAAAGAGGTTGCTTTTAGAATCGGGACGGAGGTTACGAGGGATGGAAGGGTGGTTCCTTGGGGCCGTCACTCGAAGCGGGCCTAGAAGCATGTAGCAGCGGCAGGTTGTGAATTTTCTTTCTTTATTTTTTCTTTCCATCATTTTCTTTATCGGCTTTTATGAATCTCACCTACATGTTCTGATTTTTTCTCTCTTCTTGCTGTAAATGCGTTTTTATATTTGCTGGTGAGTAAACGGTTAGATCATTTTACATGGCGCGGATTATATCTGGGAAAGCAGTTGGGGGCGATATGATATAGTATATATTGTTTGAGTAGTTATTTTGGTGGCGGGGTGTTTATATCTTTTTTTTCCCCCTACGGTTGTAGTGCATGTGCATGTAGAACAGAGAGCGGGAGGAATGTGTGTGTGCGTGTGTTGGGGGGGCAGACGAAAAGGTGGGGGTAGGAGGGTGGGAGGTGGGGGTAAAAACTGAACTGTTATTTTTTTTTTGCTCCTTCACTGCATGTACCTATTCTTTATAAATTGTATATAAATATTATCTCGGGGGTCCGGAAAGAGGCACAGCATGGAGCGATTGTTGAAAGCAATCTTTGCATAAGAAAGACGGGATAGATCCATTAGCTATGAATGTTCCCAAATCCAGCAGTAATAATGGCCTCATAGCCACGGAGGTGATATCCTACCGATTCCTACGTATGGTAAGGCTTATAACTCACGATCGGGATTCCTGCGGCAGTGAATATAGCGCCGTAAGTGTAGTATTGCATATACTTTACTATAGAAGTTGTATCCTATTCGTTCGGACTGTAGTGTTGGCGCTGAAAAGAAAAGAAAAAAAAACTATAACCGAATACCCGTACTACTATTGAAGGGGATTTTGTGCACTTCCGGGTACTTTTCTAACTGAACCGCGACGGGAACAAAACGATGCGTTCCGGCCGGTTCTCGCTGTGGCTTGCAATGCAAATCGAACATGCCAACATTCTTCTTCTCGGGTCGACTGAATCCAGAGACTTCCGGTTCTTGGCATTATCGTTCCTCTTAGGATGCATTTCCATCTCTAAGATCAGTAGCCATCGGGAAAAAATAACTCGTGCTGTTATAGGCATCGATAGAGATCCAAGGACCCGAATCACAGCCCGTCACTCGTTTATAGGTGGGCTGTATGTTCGTCTCCATGCCGGCTATTCTTCCTCTGGTACTAGGATCCTGGAAGGGGTTGGCACGCAGCACAGACGAGTGATACCTTGTGCCCCATTTAGCGGGAAATGAAAAGAGTACTGGTGCTCAGAGAAGACTTCTTCTACTTCTGGGATAATTGTGTGGTTTTTGCACTTCTTTGATGGCGTACTTCTTTGACTGCTCCTGGTGAGTTGTCTGGGAATAATAGGGGTGTGGTGTTATCTGAAAAAAGAAGGGCGTGGGTAAGCGCTTGAGAAGATGGCCCCAGGTATGAGGAGGGAAGAAAGCCCATATCAAAGGTGCCATAGGGTGTAGGTAACCA